CATCTCCCACCTCTTTTCCTCATGCCTCCCACTGCACATACCCGCTCTTGGAGCTCAGGTGCTAAAAGCATGACACTCAGCCCGCCAAACGCCTACAGCTACTATGCCCTCACTACAGGCATCTGTTACAGCCATCACACTTAGTCAAACTGACTTAGATAAAATCAAAGTCCTTGACCGCAGTAAGAACAACTGGGGTGTCTGGTCAGACCGCATGCAGAACTACCTTCTCCTCAAGCATGGAGGTGGTTATATTTTGGGCCTTGTTACTTGCCCTGATCCATTGCTGGACCCCTCCAGTGCAAGTCACTGGGACCTCAACAACCGGTGTATCATGGCTGCCTTGCACACACGCTCCAGTTCTGAGGAGAACAAGTTCCTTTGCAGGTACACTGACACTTACCTCACATGGGATGCTCTCAAATCTCGCCATGAAAAAGTCGGTCCAATCGCCCAGATCCTACATATTCAACAGACCTTAGTGGTCAAATACCTTCATTCTGAACGACTCTCTACCATGAGCACCCTCCTCAACGAACTCATTTGGCGTATTTACACCATCGGTATCCCCAAGGAAGAAGACTTCCTCACCATCATGATGCTTAACGCTATGGCTGAAGATCTTCCCCATGTGCACAACCACATTGCTGATGCCCTCATCATCAGCATGTCCAACAATCCCTATGGTCCATCTAACATCCACTCGCGCCTCGACGTTGAGCAACAGCTTATCAACACTGAGAAATCTAAGGGTGGGGACGTTGCACTGGCTGCCACAAGCAAGGGGGGCAGTACTCACCGTGATCGCATGCCTTGTGGCACCTGTGGCAACACCAGCCATCCCACAAAGGACTGCTTTGGCAAAGGTGGTGCTATGGAAGGCAAACAAGATGAGGTTCTTGCCCGTAAGTGCACAGCTCGTGAGGCTAAAGGCACCTCTACTGCTGGAAAAGGCACAGCTCCTAAGCCTATGGCTGCCACTGGCAAACAGGGTGGTCTGCAATATGACACTAGCGGACGTGTGTACTTACTCAATAGTGAGAGCCACCAGGTCATCTATGTCGCCTCAGCACCTGAATCAACTGACCCCCCCATCACCTCTACCGAATTTGTGGGCCTTGCCAGTGACTCTATCATGCCTGCCTTCATTCGTGAGCTATCTGATGCCGGGGAGGATGAGTATACTACTCTACTTGCCTCTGTTGATTCCCTCACCACTAGTCTCGACTGGCGCTCCAACACACGCCCTGTTGACTTTGCCGGTATCACCTGTGGGGCCCCCAACCAACGTTAGAGCACCATCATGGACCCATCTGTTGTCCCTCTATTCCTCGACAGTGGTGCCTCAGTGCACATCAGCATTGATGAGGCTGACTTCTTTAGGCTCCATCCTATCCCCCCTCGCTCTGTCAATGGCATTGGTGGCTTGTCCATTCAAGTTGTTGGTGTGGGCACGCTGTGTCTCGTTGTCACTAGAGGCATCCATATCACGCTCAAGAATGTCCTGTTCATCCCTGGTGCGATGGTGCGTCTTATCTCAGTATCTGCTCTCTGTGCAGCATACCGCTGCATCGCATCATTTGACACTACCAACTGCTGGGTCCAATCTCGCAATGGCAATCACATGCTCTCCGGCACTCTCACTTCCTGTCGTCTCTATGCACTCTCCGGGGGACAGCTCTCTGCCGAACATGCCTACATGGCCCACCAGAAGCCTACTCTCCAATCCTGGCACTGTCATCTTGGACACGCCAACTACCGCACTGTCTATGATCTCGCTTGCTCTGGTAATGCAATCGGTATGCCCATTGTTCTCTCTACCATCCCACTGAAGTGTGACGATTGCATTCTTGGTAAGCAGACACAGACTAGCATTCCGAAGGCTCATCAGGGGGTTAGAGCAAACAGAAAGCTGGGCATTGTTCATGTGAACTTAATGGAGCACCCTGATACTGTGTCTGCTGGCGGCAATAAATACATCATGGATATTATCGATGATCATTCATCCTACACCTGGGTTATCCCTCTCGCAGCTAAGTCTGATGCATTCTCAGCCCTACAAGCCTGGGCACTCGCTTGCAAAGTCAAATCTGGCACCAAGGTCGGCATATATCACTCTGATAATGGCGAATTGAAGACTGAGTCCATGCAAGAGTGGCTCCTCTCTCATGGTACTCAACATCAATTCACTGCGCCACATACCTCTGTGCACAACAGCCGCATTGAACACCTACATCACACTTTGATGGGTAAGGCTCGTGCAATGCACTCCGCCTGCAATGTTCCCGTCAATCATTGGGACAAATTTGTGCTGACTGCCTGCTACCTATCTAACCGCACCCCTGTGGTCTCACAAGATGGTCACACGCTGTTTGAATGTTGGTATGGTCATAAACCAGATCTATCTCACTTGCGTGAAATCGGATGTAGAGCTTTTGTCCTTGTCCAGAATCGCCACAACCCTAAAGTGTATAGTCGCTCCATTGAGTGTGTTCTGATAGGCTATGTGCTTGATTCCAAAGCTTATCAGTGTTACCATCAACAATCTCATAAAGTCTTTGTTTCTTACCATGTCTCATTCATAGAGTCACATCAGAACAGTACGCCCACCTCTTCGTCAGCTATCACAACAGCCACCTCTGCACCCTCTGCACCTCACCGCATGTCCATCTCCATCAAGGAAGTTCTGGACGTTGATGCTCCCTCACCAAGCGCTGCACACGCTCTGTCTCTCATACCTGAACCATCATGGCGCTCCCCACAAACTTCCATACCCTCTGAACATCATTGTGCCATGGATGGTAAGCCATATGTGTCATCCACTCAGCACGCTGTTCTAGAATCACTCTCGGTGGTGGATCGCCTGCGTGCCTTGTCGCTGGACCATCCTCCTGATGAAGACACCTTGGCAGCTGTCTTTACTGAGGAGGAGCTCGCAGCCCTCATCAATGTCTTTGCTGCTATGTCTGACAATTTAGAACATGAGCTTCCTGATGACCCTTCCACTTACGCCGAAGCTATGGCCTCCAAGCATGCCCCTCAATGAACCGCCACTCTGAAGGATGAATTCGACTCCTTACAGGACCTCAGTGTCTACAAACTTGTCCCTCGGTCCTCCATTCCTGCTGGCCAAAAGATCATGCACGGACGCCCTGTCTTCAAGCTTAAACACAACCAACACAGCCAACCTGCCCACTTTAAGGCACAATACATCTGCTGCGGATATTCAGCTGTATGGGGACAGGACTACACCAAAACTTTGGCGCCTACTGCACGACTTGAGTCTTTTTGTATTCTCACTCACCTAGGTGCCACTTTGGACTGGGAGATTGATCAGCTCAATATTAAGACAGTGTTCCTTCATAGCTTGCTTGAATCTGACAAAGTGTGCTACATGCACCAGCTGGAGGGCTTCCTTGAGCCAGGAAAGGAGGACTGGGTCTGGGAACTACAAAAGGGCCTCTATGGTATGAAACAGGGCAGACTTGTCTGGAATCGCACTATGAATGACACTATGATTTCCTGGGGGTTCACTCGTCTCAAGTGTGAACATTGCATCTATTATTGCAAGACTGACGCAGGAATTCTCCTCATCGCTGTTCATGTTGACGATTTCCTCACTGTTGGCAGTACAAAGGCTGTTATCACAGACTTCAAATCCCAGCTTTGCACTAAGTGGATGGTCTCCGACCTTGGGGAAGCGTGTTTCTGTTTAGGTATTGCTCTCGATTGTGACTGTGCCAACCGAACCATCAGCCTTTCCCAAACTGCCCTTATTGATCGCATTGTCACTCAAGTCGGCTTAACCGACACTGTCCTGGTCTCCACTCCAATGGAAACAAGCCTTCACCTTTCATGCCATACACACTCCCCTACTACAGATGCCCAATGTGACCTTATGGTTTGTACTCCTTACCAATTGCTTGTTGGCTCCCTCATGTACCTTGCTATTGGCACTTGTCCTGATATTGCTCACGCCATACAACAATTCTGTTGACATCTCAATTGTTATGGCCCTGTTCATTGGGAGGCTGCTAAATGTGTCGCTCGGTATCTCAAAGGTACCCGTACCCTCAAACTCGTCCTCGGTGGTGAGCACCCCACATGCTTACTCGGCTTCACTGATAGCGATTTCGCTAACTGCCCTGATACTAGATGTTCTGTCAGCGGTTACTGCTTCACTATGGGCAGCGGCATGGTCACCTGGAGTGCTAGGCAGCAGAAGATGGTATCCCTCTTGACTTGCGAGGCAGAGTACGTCGCCGTGTCTGATGCAGCCAAGGAACTCACCTGGCTATGCACATTACTTCTTGAACTTGACTTCATGCAACCTTCCGCAACACCTCTCCTTTGTGACAATACTGGTGGCATTACCCTCTCCAAAGATGCGTCTTATCATTCAAAAGTTAAACATATCAATATTGCCGTTCACTCCATCCATGAATGTGTCACCTGTGGTCAACTCAAACTCCTATATGTCAGATCCCTGAACAATGCCGCCAATATCTTCACTAAGGCCCTGCCAAGGAAAGACTTCAAACATTTGCGCATTTGCCTGGGTTGACAGTGAGAAATTGAGGAGGAGTGTTGCTTATTGTGTCGAGGAGGAGTGTTGATGCTAAGCATGCTGATGCAATAAGTGGAGTTGAAGTTTGGAATTCAAACCACCATACATATACCTTTTCATGTTCTCACCTTCCCTCAGTCTGTTCCATCGCAATTGAGGGTAAGCCTTTTTGATTACTTGAACCACTGCTAGATACTGACGATCACTTAGGCTAACATTGTATCTAGGTACTTAATATAGTCTGTTCCATCATGACTGAGGGCTAACATTGTATCTAGTCTTAACATCCTACTCGGCACTCTAGCCAGTGAATATATCACCTCCTAGCACGTGGATGCATCCGCATGCTAGGAGGTGATATATCACAAGTACCTTTCTGACCCATGGAATTAGTGTGCTCGGAGTCTGAACAACGCATCTTCAATGATGCACAATGCTTTCCCCCCTGTTGTCCTCCTTCTTCCTCTCCAGCACACAGCACACAGAACACCTGCATTCATATGTGTGCCACCTCCATTGAATTCCTGGTTCTCCTGTTTTCTCTCACTAGGCTTGCATGATATATCACTGTATGTCAGTGAAATGTTAATAATACCGACTGTTAGCAGTAGACAATACATGTCAAAGTTCATTGATGTAGGCAGGGTTCACAGGGACACAACGACGATCTCAATATTAACAGCTTGGACAGGGTTATGGGTATACTAGTATAGTAGGCAGGCAGGCATGAGTACGAGACCCATATCAACATCATTTATAGGATTTTTTCCTTGACTCTGAAGCACTAGGCTGCACCGAGTTCTGCTTCCTCTTGAGCACTGCTTTTGTTACTTGCTGTGGGCTGGCATTGCCAATTTCGTTGGCTTCCTTTGCTTGGGTTGAAGGATGTCCCTCACATCCCAAGCACCTAGCCTTAGTTGTGACTGTCTGTTCCAAAGGTGTTGATGGCTCCAAATCAGGTGCCAATGTGCCCTGGTCAGCTTCAAGTGGCAAGGAAGGCTTGGGCAAAGAGAGCAGCACGGAAAGCTCAGGCAAGGAGAGTGGGCCAAGTGGCAAGGAAAGCTTGGGTGAAGCAAGTGGTAAGAAAGGCTTTGGTGTAGTGAGCAGTAAGGAAGGCTTGGGCATAGTGAGTGGTAAGGAAGGCTCGGGTGTAGCAAGTGGTAAGGAAGGCTCAGGCATAGCGAGTGGCAAGGAAGGCTCAGGTGAAGGGAGTGGCAAGGAAAGCAGGAGTAAAGAGAGTGGCAGAGAGGGTTGTGGTGAAGAAACTACCAGGGAAGGCTGGCAAAGATGGAGTAGTGGAGTTGTACCGGTAAGTGACAGATCGCATGTGGGCAACAAATTAGCATTATTTGAAAATGAAAATTGCGGCAGTGTGAATGGTTCCTGTGCTTGAGGGAGTGCAGTAGACATAGTCAGATTTTCACCAGACACAAACTCCTTTTGCCAGGCAGTGATTGGTGAGTCTGGGTGCACTGGAGCTGCTGGATCATAAGAATACAGGTCGGGATGCAGGCAACCTTGCCATCTGTTCAATTGTGGCGCGATGTTGAAGTCGATGTCCTTGAAATGTACAGGCCTCTGAGGTAGTGGCAGGCCGACATTGGATGCATGCTGCTGATCTAACAGATCATCTAGTGAGATGAGGTCTGTGGCAAATAAAGGAGGAGAACTGCATCCAGATGTTGAAATGTAGTCAGTGGTTGATGGAGGTGTACTGGGTATAGATGTGGGAACTGAAATTCCCTTTGAAGACCCACCTATTCACATATCAGTTGTAGACCTACAAACCAACTAAAAATTGTATGTACCATAGATGCAATCCAGATGTCTTTTGAATGGTAATAAATACTGTTCATGGAAGTTAGGTGTTTATGCCTTGAAGCTTAGACTATCTGGGGTTTTGCCATGGTGATAACTGACAAGTTGTGCAAATAAGATCAACCATATGACTAATATGTAAGGAAGACTACATGCCTTAATGTCATGATATTACCTTCACACAAAGGATCTGGTCCACCCATGATGAGTGAGTAATGCCATCCACCAGTCAAAGTCAAGAGTTCCTTGAATATCTGACCAAGGACAATTGGCAGCTCTTGAATTGTGCTTCCAAGAAGAAATCAGTTGAAGTCTAACAAATCCTGAGGAATTAGTTACTGGTAAATCTCCTCTTTTGTTCGATCATTCCCTGCTGCGACAGAACCTAACTTTCTGGCAGTATTAATATGTTGAGTCTCAATGTGAACTCCATCCTTCACATCTTCCGACTCCTTTGCAAAACATTCACTCGTGTGGTGCCAGACAGCACGAAGCCTCTGGTCAGGTAATGCAAGCTTGTTTTCCCTGATGTCATCTGAAACCAAGGGCTTGACTTTTGATTCATAGTGAAGTTGTGAGTACACCTCGACTTCTTTCAGGTTTTGAGTGCCTTGTGTGTGCTGTCCAAGCAATGTAAATAGGACTTTGCTTGTCAAAGTCCTGCCTGGTCTAGTCTTTCCTTTGGTGTTGTTTCAAAACCACTCCTGCAATTTCTGTGTAATGGCTAATCAGTATTCCGACCTATAATTAGCTCAGCATCAAGAAACACACTTTATGTCAATGTTTTATGGTGTCCTTGAGTACCTTGGCAAGTTCTGCATCCAAGTTACTCTGTTTTTCAACATCACTGATAAGAATTATAGCATTTTCATGGTCCAGCTTGGCAATGATCTCGTTGATGGCCGCATCTGAGTCAAGACTAGATTGGTCAATGTTGGCATCATTGTCATCAGGTGAGTTTTCTGATCCTATGGGCCAAACTCTCATATGTTTTGGGAACTCACTGAACCACTTGGGGTATAGCAGCTCAAAAAACCGAACCAACTTTTTCTCTTTTTGCATCTGTAGGTACATTGGAACCTCATTTTGCAGCCATGTAAGCTGTTTGGCACTTGTTCATCTCGGAGGGGCCATCTGTACTTGCAATGTTAGTGTGATGTTCATCTGTATGTTTTTTTCACTCACATTTGTCCAGTGCACTTTTGTAGCAGGTTCCTTTCAGGTTCTAGACCAAGCACAAATTTTTTCACCTTAGCATTATTAAGCACGAGTTTTTTTTTCAGAGTTGACCAATCAATACCTATCAAACGGCAAGCAGTATAAATACTATTCTCTTCCCTGCAACTTGACCTTGCCACTTTGTTCAGACTTGTGAACATGTCCCAGCCAGATATTCAGTGCCTCCGCAATCGCCGTGTCCAAATGCTACCCCATCCTTGTTTCACACTCAAACAGTTCATTGAGGCCATTCGGTTGGTTCAGTGTGACCACTGTAAGCTATTTTCTTTGGTTCTTTGTAAGGTTTGCTGGTACTGACACACTTTTGCAAAATTCCTCCATCATCTCCACAACCATTTGCTTGGCCCTATCGACCAGAAGGTGAAGAATGCATACTTCACACACAATCTGGTACATACAGTGTATCTACTGCATTTTTTTTCCCACTCACACTACTTATAGGCTCTCACCGGGATGTGATGGACAGTCCAGGTGACAACCCCACAGATGTTGACACCTCCATTGAAGACATTTGGATTGGTGCCACCAATGATGCCACCAACGATGTTCTGCCTGGTTCCCAGCCCGAGTATCATTCTAGTGAGGGGGAAGAATTGGAGGCTGCCAATGCAAGTGCCAAGACACTGGAGTGGGGAGCTCATAGGCAGAGGGTCAAGCAGCAGGCGGTGTTTGCCGGTGTTTAACAGTGTTTACAGCAAAGGCATAGAGCTCGGATGTAGTAGAGTAGTTCGGCATGTCTTCCTGTCCATCCCATAGAGAGTGGTATAGACCACTCCAACTGGTGAACAGAGCAAGATCGTTTTTTAACCAAGCATTACCTTGGTTCCCCCTCAGAGCCTAGAGCAGAGTCCAGAGCAGAGCCCAGAGCAGAGCCCAGAGCAGAATCCAGAGCTTCTAGAAAGTGAAATTGAAATCTAGAACAATGTTGAGCCTCGTGTCAGAACACGAGGAAAGAGCACCAAGCATAGCATTTAATCAGTACAATAACAGTTCTCACGCTGAAACCCACATTACAGCCAAACTGCATCCTCTATGAGAACCCCTGCTTAGAGACAAGAACAGCCAATTTATAAAGAGAACACGCAGCAATGAAGAACATTCAGACACCATGACACCTTCCTCAGATTCATCACCCCTTGACACACCAGTACTAACACTGGTGAAGCCAAGAGCAACACAAGCTACAGTACCACCGCATAAACTGACCTCATTGCTCCCAACGCCCATCACCACACCACGCATGGCCAATGCCGCAGGCCCACCAGCGCTATTCCACAGTCGAGGCGATGAAAATGCACAGAACTTCCTGCAGGGTACAGAAATGTACATTCTAATCAACGGAATCAAAGACAAAGCAGTGAAAGTGGCACTATTCAGCACCCTCATCTCAGCGGGCTCTCAGGCGGATCTATGGTGGACAAACCTCGATGTGAAGCACAAGGCCAACTGGTCAACGGTCAGTACAGCATTTATCGACAAATGGCTGGTGATAGTCGCAGCGGATAAAACCAAACTAGAGTACCAGAAAGAGTTATTAGCGCTACGCATAAAAGAGGAAGAAGTAGGAGAACACGTCACAGTTGCAGGAATTGAAACATGGTCACACGTACACTTCCACAGAACACTGAAGAAACTGGTACAGGATGCAGGAGTCGATAGTGCACCAATCCTGATCCAGCCAGTTTGCGACGCGCTTCTGTGAACGCTGAGAGACGTGACATCCCCAGCACCACCAAATTGGGAAACATTTCTCAATAAGATCAAAGACGCCAACATTGACAATCTACTAGAGAAAGTGAAGCAAGCTAAGGAGAGAAAAGAAGTAGAAAAAGCACAAAACACCTGTATCGCTCGATTCGAGACCAGGCAAAATGACCCAGTAGAGATCCTTCATCTGCAGATGCAGCGAACAGTCATTGGAACACCAGTCAACCAAACCGTACCATACAATGTACCACAGCTGCAGAACCCACAAAACACCACCGCATTCCACAATCCAGCTCGCCAACAAATACACTACGTAACAGGGAACCAACCAGGGGCAGGTCAACCACCAATGCAAGAAGAAAGAGACGTGATGCATACAAGGGTCAATGAGTTGCCCCATCACCCGGACACAGCAGCAGGGCAAGCGGCATACAAGGAGCAGCTCCAACAGTGGAGAGCCAAGTGGGGAAATGGAGCGAGATGTAGCGAGCATACCCCAGTCCCACTAACCCCGGGGACAGCGCAAATATGTTCAGGGGAGTGCTTCAGATGCGGAGCACATGAGCATATAAGTCCAGAATGTCAAGTACCGCAGGATGCACAGCTGACGAAGAACAAAACAATCTGGAGAGGAATGTGCTCATGAACCCTAGGAACATTCAATCAGGCCACAGTGCCCCAAGTCAATGTCATGTTCGACAACTCGTACTTGATGGAATCAGAAGAGCAGGGAAAAGGGGAAGGGTCATCAGTGTAGAGGACCACGTGACAACCCAACAGAATGCTATACCTCACAAGAACGAGCAACCAGTCCTCGTGTGTGAAGAGGAACCACACGAGGACCAATACAACAATCCCGCCGAAACTGCTTCCAGTACCAACCATGTCATCAGCCATCTTGATAGAGAGAAATATGACATCGTGAACCTGTATTCAGCGGAGGAAGAACAGCCTAAAACCAAATGTCTCCCCTTCCTGCAAAATATCTCATTTGCAGGACCAAAAGGAGAAGTTGTTTGAGTTAAAGCCCTATTTGACGAAGGCACAATGATCAGCGCAATGAGTACATCAATTTTCCACAAAGTCAAACATCGACTAGGAGACTGGGAACCATCAAGCAAGCGGTTACGAATGGCAAACAGCACAATTGTACCGTCATTAGCAGTGTGGAAAGGGAAAGTCACAATCACAGGCGTCCAAGCAGAGGGCGAATTCAAAGTCTTCGACAGCGCAGGAGGATGGAACTTCTTATTCAGAAAACCAATGTTACAAAGTTTCAAGGCCATACACAACTATGAGACCGATCAAGTACACATCAGAGGCATCGGGGGCGACAAGACATTAACCAACCAAAGCAAAGCCACGCGGTTGACCATTGAAGAAGCCCAGGAGGAAGAGAAGATCAATGATGAACAAGAATCAAAACCTACACAATCGACGCAAAGTCAGGCAAGAAAGAATTGTGAACAACGAAGAACATAAAGAGTCAAAAACAGCGTATACCTGGCAAAGCACGGAATTGCGAAACAAGTGGGGACAAAGAGGTGCAAGGGTCAAGCCCTAATAGGAGAGAGACAGCGAAGACGCATAAGGGGGAGCAATGAGCTCCCCCTGAGGGAAGTCAAACTGCCTTCTGGGGAAAACCCACAAATTCCCGCAATTGACCAAACGATACCTACAGAACAAGAGATATCAATCTGCGTGTTAACAGAGGAAGGCAACATACCCAGCGACCCACTGAAAACTCTTCTCAATGAAATACCAGCCGACTTCTTGGAAAATGAAGCAGTCATATTCACGCGCCTCACGGACCCAATGAATCTGAACCAAGTCGCATTCGTTGTAAAGAAAGTCCACTATGGCGATGACTTAACAGTCGATGAACGCAGGCAAGCAGAAGCACTAGTCACATCGTTTGCGGACGTTTTCGCAGGGTCACTATCAGAAGTGCTCCCAGTACTGGGAGCAAAGCATACACTCAACATCCCGGAGGGCACAATGTTCAACCTAAGAGTCCATCAGTGAGCACTCACCCCACCGCAACTCAGATTCTTACATGGCAGGATAGACGAAATGCTAGAGGCCAGGATCATAGAAAAGGTGCCACCAGACCTTGTCAAATGCGCGGCTACAACTGTATTAGTGAAGAAAGCACACAAACAGGGCAGACTCACATTGGAAGAGCTAAGGCAGAGAGTCAATGAACAATGCCAGCAAGATGGATTCCCACTAGTGTTCACACTACCAGAATGGGAAGTACAGAACAATATGGCACCACCGCAACCTGAAAAACCACAAAAATGGAGAATCTGTCAGAATTTCAATGAAGTCAACAGACATACCATCATAGCCCCAATGCCACAAGGCGACATCAGAGCCAAGCAACAACGCCTCAGCGGACACAAATACATCTCAGTATTCGATTTCGCATCTGGATTCTATGCGGTTGAAGTACCAGAAGAATCGCGACCATTTATGGTGTTCTATGTAGAAGGAAGAGGGTGGTTCTGGTACAAAAGAATGCCAATGGGACTCACCGGTGCACCCTCCACATTTGCAGACATGACAGCAACACATCTACACAATATGATAGCAGACAGAACCATGGAACTTGTTAAGGTCGTGCTCAAGGGGGAGGTTACTCAAAGGGCTTCGGCTTCAGCTCATGCGCTGTGCCCCTTACCCAAGTACGTGCCCTTAATTTCCAGTGGGCAGAGGGGAAGTCCGACGGAAGTCTGGGGAGTTCTGGAGGACAAACGTCAGTGGAGTTCAGTGGAACTCCGGAAGACTTATGTGGGGATGGAGTAAGGCTACTATGGAAGTCCGGAGGAGAAACAGAACAGAGGTTAGACTACCCTAAGGTAGAGCTGGAGGATTAGTCCTAAGGTTTAACCCCTAAGACTCGGAGGTGGACAAGAGATGAGACTCAAGTCCAGAGATTGCAGGAATGAGCAGAACTAAGATGATATTTGAACTAAGGAGTTCCGGAGTATTACAGGGGTTTATATACTGTAAGTATCATGTAAGTAAATCAGTCAGCAAAGGTAAGGGCTATGTACGAAGCATGTGGAAAGTCTATTACTAAGTATAACAGATCAAAGCAGTGAAGTTGGAAATGAAGTAAGAATGGATGGATCAGTAAGCATAGTGGAATAGGACATAACCGGTAACCGGAGCAATAGCTAATCTAAAAGGAGTTAAGGGTGAGTGTGGAGATGAAGGCAGAGGGCCAGGTGGAGTAGCAGGACAGAGGACTGGACTTTAATGAAGTAGATCCAGAATTCCGGATCCAGAGGTACGGGATATGACAGAACTATTCGTAGATGATGGAGGCTGCTCAGCGGACACATTCCAAGACATAATGGAGAAACTCACTCGAATATTCCAGCACTGCAGAGAAAGGAAGCTTTCACTGTCACTGTTAAAGTGCAGGCTGTTCATGACCGAAATGACATTTGCAGGAGCTACAGTAGGACCATGGGGAGTACAACCAGATCTAGAGAAGTTAACCGCTATCATGAATTGGGAGAAGCCAGCAGATGCACTGAACTTAGAATCATTTTTAGGACTCACAAGCCACTTCAGAGACCTCGTGCAAGGTTATGCGAAAAGAGAAGGGCTGTTAAGAGATTTGGTGAAGTCAGCACCATTGAAACCACCATACTCAAAAACCACGTATCGCCGCATACTCCGGGACTTCAAAATGGCAGAACGATGGGGCGAAGAACACAACAAAGCTTTCCTAGACCTAAAGACAGCATTAGTGTCAAGACCCATCCTACAAGCCCCACGGTACGATGGCTCACCATTCATAGTAACCTCCGACAGTTGCCAGGAAGGTCTCGCAGCAGTCTTATCGCAAAGGGTTCAAGCAGAGAAACAGTCAGGGAAATTCATAGAAAGACTTCTCCCAATAGCATTCACCTCGAAGCGCACATCAGCAGCTGAGCACAAATATAAACTATTTTTACTTGAATTCGCAGCACTAAAATTTGGTCTAGATAAGTTCTCAGATATCATTTGGGGATTCCCGGTAGAAATCAAAACAGACTGCCAAGCATTACAAGACATACTCATAAACGACCACCTTAACGCAGCCCACACATGATGGCGCGACAGTATATTAGCGCACAATATCGTCGACGTTCGTCATGTCCCGGGCAAGCTCAATGTAGTTGCAGACGGCTTGAGCAGACAATGGGAGGGGCAACCACGAGACGCCAATCTACAAGACGGCAGCGACTGGACAGTCAGTGAGGATTGGGAAGTAACATCGGGACTAACCAATGATATCTTGTTAATAACAACAGAAAACACGGAAGCAACGGTAAGTCTACTGGAGAGATTCGCTAACAAACCAGTTTTTTTAGAAGTTGTAAAAGCGATAACACAAATGAAATCAGACGCACCACTCAAAGACCGAAAGAAAGCAAAACACCAAGTGTCGCAATATATGGTCGACAATGCAAAACTTTGGAGATTGAGAGGAGGAACAACGGTAAGAGCACGAAGCAGAGTCGAATGTATCACTAGGGAAGAGGCAAAGGAGTTAGCGAGAATGCAGCATGCTGAAGGGGGACATTGGGGTAGGGATGCGATCAAATTGCACTAACAGATAAAATTTATAGCCCAAGACTTGACGAGTCCATCATGATAGCTATAGGAGATTGCGCTAAGTGTAAAAACTTTGGTGCAGCCCACCTACACTCACTGTTAGAACCAATTACCCGCAGGCACCCGTTTGAATTATTAGTAGGAGACTACCTCACACTACCAAAAGCGAAAGGGTACCATATGCTAGGCATATACCTCGACATGTTTTCCCAACACGTCTGGGTCTTCAAGTACAAGACGGCAGGGACAGCGAAAACAACCATCGACAGCCTATGGAACATTTTCCACAACTTTGTACTGGTGGAAACCTTCATGACAGATGGCGGACAACACTTCAACAACCAGGGAGTCAAAGATTTCTGCATGAAATGGGCATGCAAACAACACGTCATTGCAGTGTATGCTCTGTGGGTTAACAGCCTCGTAGAGGGAACCAACAAAATCCTGTTACACATACTGAAATGTCTATGCGCCCCAGATCTAGGCAAAGACGACTACAGCACCATAACATGGGATAAGTTGCCAAAGAGTTGGCCCGACCACTTAGACGAGGCAGTCATGGCACTTGTTAGGTACCGTGCCGACTCAGGAAGCAGAGGGGTCGGGGCTTGGCTTCAGCTCTTGCGCTGCGCCCTTAGCTGAGTATGTGCCCCGAATTTGGAGTGGGTCCAACGTTGTCCGACGATAGGACGAGTGGACCGCTTTGGTCCGCTTTGAGGGTCAGGAAGTAAGAGCTGCTAGTGGCGGGCCGACTAGGAGCGGAGCGGAGAAGGTGGGGAGTGATGCAGAGGGTGGATAGGAGCAGGGGGAATGTTTGGTAGAGGCGGGGGAGGTGGAGGATAATGCGGAGGGACAAGGGAGAATTTGATAGGGGCGGAGTATGAGGGAAAGACTTAGAGCACAGCTCTAAGTCAGAGTGGAGGGTCGGAGGGTCAGAGGTGACAACAAGTTGAGACTTGTGTCCAGAGGAGGCAAGGTCCTACTGAGAATTCTCACAAGATGTAACTGCAAGAAGACAAGTAATATTAAGACTGAGGAAAATATCTAAGTACATGATATGTTATATACTACTATGTATGAGGCAGTGACCAGGATAACTATGTTGTAAAGCTATGTACCAAGGATATAGTTTGTAAGTACTTTACACAGGCGAAGACATAAGTCGGAGTGGATATCAATATGTACGTGTCGGATCAGCGATTGGGTGGTAATAGGAATTACCGGTGATCCGGAAGTAAGGGTCTATGTACTGAAGGGGAAAGTATTTATCTAAAAGGGGAAAGAGATCCAGTTGAATGGAGAGGTTATGGAAGGGGACCAGTTGAGCGGTTGAGCGGAAGCATAGGGCGGAATGCAGACTTGTGATTGGACGGAGCGGAGGATGGATGGAGCAGAGGGGGTTGGAAAGTGGAGCGGATATCAATATCGGAGCGGTCAGATCAGGTATATGACAGCACTCAACTATTGCATCCTACCAGCTCTCAAGTTCTCACCGAAAGAACTGTTGTTAGGTCAAATCGTTAACACACCACATATGGACTTGGCCAATAGTGCATTAGCAGTACGACTTACAGATACAAGCACCCATATGGCCTATGTAGCCCAACAGCAACTAGATGGCTACAATGTGATAGTGAGACATGCCTTCAAATGGAAAGCAGTGTTTGATAAATGAGTCCTCACGAGGTCACCAAGGAAAGTCGTATTTTCAAAAAGACAGCTAGTTCAATTCTTTCACAGCAGCCTCAATACGACATTCGAAGCGAAATGCAAGATCCTACCACGCTGGTCACCCCCATGCCGCATTGAAGAACGACTGCGCAACTCATACAGGCTCGAAACGTTAGAGGGCACACCCATGAACGGAGAGTTCCACGCACGCCGTCTTAGAAGCTTCATACCTAGACCAGGCACTCAGTTAGCGAAGCAGCAGGAACAAAAAGAGGCAGAAAGTACGGAAGGACAGATGATCGAGGAAGAAGAAGGAAGTACAGCGGACAGAAACCCAAGTGAATGGTTCAAGAACACAGACAAGGAAGAAATGGACAATGAAGAGTCAGCCGACAAACAGGAAGAGGAAGAAGAAAAGCAGAATCAAGAGGAGTAAAAAAGAGGAGGCGAGAACAAGAAATGGCAGACAGAAGGGAGATGTAGCGATGAGGGCATTGCTGTTTTTTAAAGGGGGGCACGTGGAGTGGGGAGCCCCTAGGCAGAGGGTCGAGCAGCAGGCAGTGTTTGCCAGTGTTTAACAGTGTTTACGGCAAAGGCATAGAGCTCAGATGTAGTAGAGTAGTTCGGCACGTCTTCCTGTCCGTCCCATAGAGAGTGGTATAGACCACTCCAACACTCATCAACATTGACCCTGCCAATCAGTTTAAGTGGTTCATAACTGTTAGTCATTATGGAGTTGGATTGTTCAGTGACATGTAGGCTCCTTCATTTATTTGATCTGTACTGTCTCTAACAATACCTATTAAGCTATACTGCATGTAAACTCTGCTCCGCTGGCACATCAGTGCATTATTTTACTACACTCCATGAAGCCCAGGCACACTTCGAGGATGTTTTCAATGTATGGTGCGGTGAGGCAGCTTGATATCTCTGCACTGTAGATACTCTGTCATTCGTGTATACTAAAAATATCATGTGATGTGCTCAATGAGCTTTATATACCCTTTTTCCAGTGTGTTGCTGCTAGATCTGGCATCCGATCAGCCTTCATGCATGAGTTGGATGTGAGTCTTATAACACCGAACAGGCAATCATTGATTGATTGATCCCGGTAACATTTGCACTCAACCCGGATATGCTCCATAATATTGGTGCACTTGGTACCAAGGTATTTCAGCGCGGGGGGCACAGGGGCCCCCATGACTAGATAGTACTGTCTTACATAGAGTTATGCTCTCAAAGACAAAAAATTTGGATTTTTTTTTAAAACAAAAAAAGGTATTTCAGCATGCCAAGAGTGATTGACATGGGCGCAGCATGATATATCACGGTGCAAAACACACAACTCTCTGAGACACCCTACAATGTCTGGTGAATGTGCATTTTTTCTCGTTCATCCAAATGATTGACGTGACTGGTTGACATATAGGTAAGTACAGCAAGCAGTACAAGTATTCTGCACATTGAGATTATTTGTTGTTGAGTACATGGTATCATATAGTATATACAAATCAAATCCATCTGTCCCGAAGTGTGGCTCCTGATGTGTTTGATATGGTGAACTGTATGTGAACACTGACCTTACTTACCCATATCATTAATGCCACCAAAATACAAGTCCAAGAAAGATTGTTGTAATGCTAGATTGCAAAGCAAACAAGCTCACTATGCAAGGTTAGGTTTAATCACTATCTCTAGAATCAATGGTCATTGTATTCATTGTGCTCTAGAAACAAGACTACAGAGCAAGCCAAGTCATGAAATCGTTGGTGAAGGGAGTCTCATATGAGCGATGTATGTCTTTCTCAAGATGGTCATGGTGCACATCTTTGCTGATTTGTGAAGTCCATCATCTCAAACTTTCACAGCCTCGACATGTTATACATTGAGCTTGGCTACAAAGCAGGAGTTCCTGAGCATAATACCCTCCAGAATCGCTTTCTCGCAGTACTCCAATGCATTGACACAGAAGGATGGGATGTCATATCCCCTGAGCTCAAAGATGTGTGTGCTTATATGCACAATTTGCACCAGCGTGTTACCTTGCTGCCAGAGACTGACAGCTATGTGCACTGGGTATCGGACACAATACTCTATTGCAGCAGTGTGAGGAATTGCTCTGTTTGACAACACAACGGCTTGCTGCAGAAAGGAAACTCACCACTCTTATAGATTGGGGTGGTACTGAAGCCTATGATGACATTATGTTAGCAGGTTTACTTGGCTTGCAAATGCCATCTGAATGAGTCGTGCGTTGGTTATTTTACTGCGTGTAGTCACATTCAAATTGGAGTCTGGACTCTGCTTAGAAGTAACACCCATCTGGAAAAATCTGCCATTTGATTCAACACCATTGTCAACTATGGTTACTAGTCAAAAACAGCGAGCACTCCAGAAATTCCAGCGGAATGTCTTTGCTCATAGTGATGCTGCAGGAAGAGCAATGAGGAATGAGACAAACAATACTCCACAACCAACTTGCCAGGAACAGCAGCGCAAACACACCAGCTTCAAGGCAGAATCCAGTGGTCATCTTGCAGCTTCTTCTGTTTACTATATGATTCTGCATTCACCCACCAAACACCAATTTGAAGAGTCTGACTTAGAAGATGCAGTAGCGTGAGGCTATACTGTCATAAGTATTAATACAAGTCCTGGTATTGTAACAAACCATGAATGCATACTTAGCAAGGATCCTCAGCCCCCACAAATGTATGCATAAATGCTTCCTGCGAGGATCCTCATGCTTCCTTGTATCAATACAATAGCTCGTACCTATTTCTGGCTTCCCAGGATGCTTCGTTGTATCAATACACTGGCTCGTACTTATTTCTGGCTTCCTTTTGCTTCCCAGGATGCTTCCTTGTATCAATACATTGATTTGTGTCTATTTCGGGCTTCCTGGGGATGCTTCCTCATATCAATACATTGACTTGTGCCTTCCTCTGCCTTCCTCAGGAGTCGGGATACTTCCTTCAAGTTATATCAATACACTCACTCATACCTACTACTAGATCTGAGAGACGGCCTAGTTTACGTTCACATTTGAACTTTCTTCAGCCATAAGTGCACGCTCTCATTGGTGGAGAGGTATTTAGGCGACAGTGTCCCTGAACTATCCCAAAAGTATCGCTCTCAAGTGTCTCTCAAGACGAGTTCAAACACAGATGGCAGCCTAGTATTTCTGGATTTTTGAGATATTTCTTGTATCAATACATTGACTTGTACCCTACCATTTGGTGCCTGGATGGAGAAGCAAAAATTCATTCTAAGTCCCCACTATCAATGAATATGTTCAAAAACTTGATTGTTTTATGACAGCACAAAGCAAAGTAATACAGCAAAAGCAAAAGCAATATACCACAAAAGATCAGCAAGATATCATAAGAAAAATGAGTGTATCATGAAGCGCCAATGAGTCCATCTAAGCGACTGACTTACAAGCCCTAGAATTTTGCCCTTTCTTTGAAACATGCACATCACCACCAATGCGGTTGGCTTCATCCAAGTGTGTTGATGGCACATGGGAACGCGTACTGCGACACTGTGGTTGATTCACAATATCATCAAGCAGCTCCATAATGTCATCTATGTCCATCTGGGCAGGAGTTCCCACAGCAGCTGGAAGAGGAACATGCATGGGAGATGCCAGGTGGTCAGAAGAAGATTCCAGATGAGAAATAACAGGTGCTGCGTCGGTGGAAGTAACAGCAGACATCAGAGGCACTGCATCTGCAGAAGTAATAGCAGACGTCAGAGGCGCTGTGTCCATGAAAGTAACAGCAGACATCAGAGGTTCCGGGTCCATTGGAGTTGCAGGAAGGTGAGAAGCACCAGGTGCCTCAGCAGACACTGAAGGTGCCACAGATGTGGCGACTGGACAAAGGTCAAACTGATCATACACAGAAGTGATTCTCATCCCTTTGGTCACAGGACGTGGGCAAGGTGGGCAAGATTTTTCCAGACTCTTAGATTAAATTCTGCGAAGGCACGGAGGTGAGATCAGACCAAGCGCAACATCCCTATTCCAGGATGAGATGGGAAAATCCTGATCATTCGCAGGTGCCATGGGAAGAATCAGTAGACCCCGACTCACAGGTGAAGGAGATAGGGAGGGAAACCTTGGTAGATTGAATGAATCCAAATCCACCTGTGAAAAATCTGATGACTCAGGATCCAGAGACAGCAAGTGCTCCAACAACAGCGAGGGATTCAACAATGGCACAGATGGGGTGTGGTGGATCCCATCCAGAAGCATGCCATCATGACTCAGGCCTTGTAGGATGGAAGTAAAACTCTGTGGAGCGACTAGTGCGGTGATATCAGGGCCAACACTGCCCGAAGTCTCATTGACCAATGATTCTCCCACAGGTGGAGTCATGCTTGAGTTCGTCGAAGGATGGGAAGCATTAACAGCTGTGATATCAGGGCCGTCACTGCCCAAAGTCACATTGACCAATGATTCTCCTGCAGGTGGAGTCATGCTTGAATTTGTCGAAAGATGGGAGGTGTTAACAGCTGTAGCACTATCAGTATCAATGTCTGAGGCAGAAGAGCATTTACTTACTGAATGCGCCTTTCAAAAAGGCAGTGAATGGCTCAACAATGCATCCATGGTGATCAGGCAGCGTGTCGCGAAAATTGAAACTGGAAAAGCCCTTTCCATGATGGAAACTGTACCATATATTAGAACAAGGGCCAGAAAGTATCTGTGTGCACATACCTGAAGACACGAACCTCCCCATTCATGCGAGGATCAGGTCCCCCAAGGTAGACACTTCTGTGCCATCCAGTCATCTTGTGAATAGCATCTAAGAGTTGCCAAACCACTCCACCAAGGCCTTCAAGACATCTTCAATAAGTTTCAGTGTCTGATTCAACATTCACCATATGAAGAAGTACTTACTGCGTTTTCAGGGCCTCAGTGGGTGTGTGGATAGCCTCAAGATTAGCCTTCACCTGATCTGCACGATGAGCACACTCGATCTTTGCCTCCATCTCCATGTGATGTATGAACTCCTCACTGCGAGCAGCCATGGACTTCACAGCTTCTGAACGAAGGACGGAGATACAAGGTTTGTCCTTGTGGTCATTGTTGGTCTTCATCTGAGTCACGATCTCGGCCTTAACTTCAGGATTGGCCTTGTACTCTGTTTGAATAAAGTGTTCGACAGCTGATGGACCTCAAGTGTGATTGGTAGTTGTACCCATGATTTTGGTGATGGTCTTTGTGAACTGCATGGTACAAATAAGATCGTATTTGCTATTTAGTATAATTACGATTAGTGAACCAAAATGAAATTGAAATATGACACATACGGAGTGTCATTGTTTGGTGTACACACCCAACTGCTTCATTTGCTCATTCATCAACTGACTTTCCATGAGCATAATACCAACATCATCTTTGAAATGCTCTGCTATTTCTGGCCATTTTTCAAACCACTCTTGGTAGGCGTTAGTACAGTATTCAGCCACTTCCCCTTGCAGCTGACTGAGGCAAAAGCCATCCACCTTACTTTTCAGGAAGTCAGACTGCTCATGGGTCATCCATGACGTTCCAGGTATCTATCAACCGGCGGAAGGCTAAATGAATGTCATAATTCCGGTTGATGGTGACACATACCTTGTGTTTTTCTGGTCATTTGACTCGGCATTAGTATGCTTGGAGCTGTGTAAACAGTATAGATACTCCATTTAGCCAACAGAATCTGAATTTTTTTCATATCAACAAATGAGAGCTTGAGAGAGCTGGAGTTTGCTGACAGCTTATAATAGCCAGGCTGGACTTGGGTTTTTTTTACCCACCTAACACGTTTTCCACTCTGCGCCACTGCCCTTACCGCTGTCACTGCCACACTTGTTTGATCAAAATGAAAGTTTTTCCCACCTTAGCGAAGGACGAAACTTTCAGTTTGTCTGAGCTCGCTAGTGCTTTGGAGCTGGTATGCAGCCAACATGGTAAGGTTGTGTTAAGGTTGTGCTCAAGGGAGAGGTTGCTCAAAGGGCTTTGGCTTCAGCTCGTGCGCTGTGCCCCTTACCTGAGTATGTGCCCTTAATTTCCGGGGACAGAGGGGAAGTCCAACGGAAGTCCGGGGAGTTCTGGAGGACTTAGTGTTGGTGGAGTTCGGCGGAACTCTGGAAGGTTTATGCAGGGACGGAGTAAGGCTACTATGGAAGTCTGGAGTAGAAACAGAACAGAGGTTAGACTACCCTAAGGTAGAGCCGGAGAAGTAGCCCTAAGGTTTAACTCCTAAGACTCGGAGGTGGACAAGAGGTGAGACTCAAGTCCGGAGATTGCAGGAATGAGCAGAACTAAGATGATATTCAAACTAAGGAGTTCCGGAGTATTACAGGGGTTTATATACTGTAGGTATCATGTAAGTAAATCAGTCAGCAAAGGTAAGGGCTATGTACGAAGCATGTGGAAAGTCTATTACTAAGTATAACAGATCAAAGCAGTGAAGTTGGAAATGAAGTAAGAATGGATGGATCAGTAAGCATAGCGGAATAGGACATAACCGGTAACCAGAGCAATAGCTAATCTAAAAGGAGTTAGGGGTGAGTGCGGAGATGAAGGCGGAGCGCCGGGCGGAATAGTAAGATGGAGGAACTGGACTTTAATGAAGTGGATCCAGAGGTATGGGATATGACAGGTTGTGTAACCTTTGCATGTTACTGTGCTGATCCCTTTTGTTAGCTATCATGCAGGCTGACCAACAAGCTGACAAAGACACACCTGCTGCGGATGACCTTTGGTCTGGTTACTGCCCAGCATGTTCTCATTGTGTGCAAGAGTACACTCTCCCTACAGCGAATACTAATGGTGAGTCTTCATTATGTGATCTTCGTTAGTCCAACATTGAATTTTTGATCAGCAGCCAACAATGTAGCGGACAATACCAATACCGAGAGTAACAACTCCTCAGCTGTTACCATCTCTTCTCTTGTCAACAATGTGGCTCCCATCCCTAGCATCACTGCCACCACTGCTGTTACTACTACTCCTGTCAATAATGTGGCTCCGATCACTCCTGTCCCTCATGTCATCACTGCCGCCACCCAAGCTGCACCTAATATTAATAATGTGGCTCTGATTGCTCCTGCCCCTCATATTATGGCTGCCGCCACCCAAGCTGCACCTAACTTCCACACTAATATGTCTGTGTCCCAGTGCTGGTATGTAGTTACCGCTGGACGCAAGACTGGTGTATTTCAAGGGTGGTATGTATCTCACTCGTTGATCTTGTTTTTTCATATATCTTTTTTTGCTAGGCATAATGTTCACATTCTTGTTATTGGCGTGCCAGGTGCCTGTTTTGCCTGCCACTCCTCTCTTAGTGCTGCCCAGGCTGCATATGCACAGGCGTTGAACGATGGTTCTGTCTCGCACTTGCTGTTTTGAGTAGCTACATAGCTAGACTAGATACCAATGTAATTTGCATGTCTTGAAGTTCTTGCGTCAATGTATACCATATCGTCTTGTTCAGTTATCACTCTTGTGTGTGCGAATTTCAATCAAGTTTGACAGGGATTGCCAATGCTGACACTAAATATTTTGATATGACAACTGTTGCACCATAGCCGCTTCAGGAACCATTGAAGTTCTGGTTCATAATAATAATATTCAATAGTCCTGGATCTGTTTAGATGATTGTATATATATAATACATGGAGCATCCGAGTCAGTTGTGTGTAGGATGATAAGTGTCCCGAAGTTGTGGCTGTGTCTATGGGTAAGTCGACCAATCACAGACTGGTAAGTGGTAACAAGTATATACAAACTTGCCCCATTCCTTACACACATCACACACACAATTGCACACCTATTTCTCAATACTCATGGGACACTGTCGCAAATCATCACCAGACCGACGAGAAGCACGTCAGAAGACAAAGCATACACATTACTTGTGGTGAGTATTTGTATATGTTAAATAGTTTATTGGGAAGGAACTTGTTCATCAGGCATATCGGTTGGGAACACAATAAAGCGCAATGCAGGTGGAGGCAGAGACAGGGAGCCAACAATGTATGCTAACTAGATCTATTGATGTATAATACTAATTTTATTGCAGGCCATGCTTGGTGCTTTTGAAACCTTAGATGAGATATCGAGCAGGACATATACCAGTGGCAGCCACAATCACAGTGGTTGCCAAGACCGTGTTGGTGTTGTTCTGCAGGATATAGATGCATGAGGGTGGAGCGTTGTGAGACCAGAGTTTCTGGAGCAAGTATCAGAGGCTACCACTTTGCTCAATGATGCAAAAGATCTGTCGACATTTGTTGCAAATTTAGAGGGTCCATGCACCACATATCTTAAAACTGAATGTTCACGTCTTCTTCATACAGCACGTCTCTGGCTTGCAGCTGAGGAGCAAATTTTATCTCTGATGGATCAAGAGCCAGGAGCTCTGGAGCATGCCCTGTTCAATGATGGGCTAGTATGGCAGCATGTTTGATTACTATACCCTATACCGTGCTTTGATTACATCATGTGATGAAATGTACATTGTTGAATTTTGATCTAGGTAACCAACCATAAATCATGGTCTCAGAAACTAAGTGTAAAGGTTATTGTTGAAAACTCAACAAGTATGACCGCCAGTTCATTGTGGAGAACACTGCTCGATACGCTGCCGAGGCAAAGCACCGACATAATGATGACACTCAAGATGGCACACCACCAGGAAGTGTGTTTCATGCACACACATCTATAGACATCACACAAAGGGACCGCCACTCAGTCAAGACTTCATATTTTCGGGCACCACAAGCAATATCATTGCCACATGTTGTTTTACCTGCAGCAACCCCATCAGCTAGTAATTCAGGACTTTCAGAGGCTTTTGATTTTGATGTGGTCAATGAATCTTATGTAGAATTCCTCGCGGATACTATCACAGACATGGAGCCTATTAAAGCCAAAAGGAAATGCACAGCAGGGGTAACTATTTTGTCATCTTTTCTCTGTTCGTATCTTGCTCACCATGCTCAAGGATGAACCTCAGAAGCTGTGGATTCCTGAGCGAGAAAAATTCCTCAAGGAGTTCATCAGACTCAAAGGACATGGAGACACTATGTTGTATCAAACATGCCAAGGTTTACCCGGGTGCCCGAACGAAGCTGTCGTGTGCTGTAGGGACTGTGAAGGGCTTCAGCTATACTGTCAAGGATGCACAGTCATGCAGCACACTGTGACGCCTTTGTATCACATGGAGGTAAGTTTTTTTATATTTGTATTTTTGGTTTGCATTGTTCACCCTGCTCAGATATGGACAGGTACCTATTTCCACTGTATTTCACTCCATGACCTTGGCCTATGTGTTCAACTTGGCCATCCTTCAGGAGTCATGTGTTGTAACCCAGCCTCTGCGTTCGACGATGATTTCACCATTCTTGAGATCAACGGCATACATAGTGTCACCCTGAATTTCTGTAACTGCACTACAGCACAAACACATGATATTCAACTGTTGCACGCACGCTTGTACCCAGCTACCACTACCAATCCACGGACGACTGCTACTTTCCACCTTCTAGACCATTTCCAGATGTATACCTTTGAATCCAAAGGATCTGCATTTGAGTATTATCAATCACTGTCGCGTCTGACAGACAATACAGGGACACGTCAACCGAAGGTACTGAGCTGATTTTATGGTGTGGTTGGGATACTGACATATATTTAGGACCATTATGAGTCTTTCTTAAGGATGAGTCGCCAACATCGTCACCTCACATCTCTTTTATGAGCTGGACATGGCCACGATCCAAGTGGTATTCTCAGCACAAAGGAAGGGGAGCTCGCGGTACTTTGTCCAGCTTGTCCTCAGCCAGGCAGAAATTTGCCACAAGACTGGGAAAATGCTCCACCGAATGTCAAGTATGTTTCATATTCTCATTTATTTAACATTCATACTTACATTTTGACAGGTGGCTCTATGGATTATTTCTGGCTATTGACACAAACTTTCGGTTATGCCATTGCAACAAGTCTTCTGACCAAGTGGATCCAGGTTTAAGTAATGGCTGGTCATATTTTGTGGAATGAACCAGATTCAAGGAGGTACTGGATGCTTCCAGTAGGCAGCTACAAGAGGTGAGTGTCTGTCAATTAGTGACGTGTGATGAGTTGATTTTGTTGTTTAGAAAAGTTCCTGTGCAGGTCATAATGCCATCAATCTTGCTGACACTAAAAATGCACGTGGGATGGCGGCCACAGGTGTTGGTGCCATAGTTTGTGCACGGCATAACCTGACTCATCCATCCATGGTCGGTGACCTACAGAAAGGTGAAAAGTAAATATATTTTCTATTCTGTCTCAATGTGAATCCTGATAGATATTTGGTTAGATATGTCAATATGGATTATCTTTTCTTCTCAACTTTACAGCATGCGAGTGACATCCATGTCCTCAACATCTCTTATGATATCGTGTGCCAATGGAGCAAGCATCTTTGGATGCAGATGTCGCGGTACCCTTCCAGGATCCACTTGCAGCCCGACAACAAAGTCAGTCACATTTGTAGTTCCGAAATTTCATCTGCTGGCACACATCCTTTCTTGCCAAACCACATATTCCCTCAACCTCATCAAGGGTATGGCAAGGACTGATGGCAAGGCCATCGAACGTGGCTGGTCTAATATCAATCTGATTGCTATGAGTACATGGGAAATGGGTCCAGGATCATGATGCGACATCCTGGACGATCATTTTGGTGATTGGAACTGGTGCAAAGTATGTAACTTGGGTATGTACTATATCTCTCTTCAAATTGTCTCTTGTGCACTCACTTGTCACCTTTAGGTCCTTTACTTTTACAGAAACTTAAAGAGGCAATTCCTGAGTGTGACCAACATATCTTTGACCTCCAAGACTTCGAAGAAGCAATTCCTCCAGCAAGTCTTGCAGCCTGGCAGGTCATGATCACTGAATGGGAACAGGACCGATCAAAGCCAAACCCTTTCGAGTTGGAGGCATCGGGTACATATTTCAAGTTCATGTTGTGTATTGAGGTCTGACACACTTGTCACAGTCGCCACACAAGCTTCTGTGAGGCTTGAACTCTCGCAACTCGAAGGGCAACAGCTTAGCCATGGTGTCAACACCTCCCTGCATCCAGACATATCTCCGAGTGTGTTAGTAGCCGTAGAAATTGATCTCAAATCTCTGCAGTAAGTCTTTCATGGCGCTGGCTGCTGACCATTCATTAATATTTTATTTCTCAGATGGCGCCTAGCTATAGATAGTACCAATGTTGGCACTCACACCACGGATAATCAGCTTTCTCTGCTACAACAATGAACGAATGGTCTGTGCCGCCATATCGAACAATGGGTACAGATACAAACACTGTACATGCCATGTGTTGCCCGCCTGCAAAGTGACACCCCTGATATGCCCAACGCGTGTGAAGAGGCAGTCCACTGTATAAAGTTATGGATGCCTTCTGCTGTGGCGAATTTGGGTATGACTTGTGATATCAACCTCTATGACATCGAGTGGAAACTGCGTTGTGCCCAGGCACATGATGCTCTCCAAGAACTCCGTAAACATCTACGACTCAAACGGCATCTCACTGGCTTCAAGAGGGATTGGATTAGAAGACAGCAGGCGCATATGAGATCACGGGCAGTTATCGATACCATACAGCTGAAGATAGATGCTGCCGCTACAAAGTATCGCACAGCTTGGGCTGCCTTAGCTTCCCTCAGGGTTAAGCTCTCGAAGCTCACCTGGCAGGTCGAGTTCCCGAGACTCAATGATGATGATATCCGAGGGATGACAGAGGGACAGGCAGGAGGAGAAGCTGAAACAGAGGGTCGAAGATTAGTTTCGGTTTCTTGGATTTGGAAGCAACACCATGGTGCGGGTGAGGAAGAGCTTTCCACAGCCATGCGTGTTGAATGGTGCAAAGCACGCGCATGTGCTAACAGGTGGGCTGAGGAAGTTGATCTCGTGCAGGAGGAGATGCAGCATGTGCTTGCCTATTTTGATTGGCAAGGAAGGTGGTGGGACGAACGTGCAGTTGCCAGGGTTGATTTTGCAGTGCAGGAGAACGAGGCACTCATTGCATATGCTTCATGGCAAGCTAATATCCAATGTTTGACGTGAACCTACTGTCTTTCTTTGTGGAGAGTGGTTCCTGGCCTCCTCGCTCAGTCAACAACATCCTATACTGCATAATATGTTTTTCAATGCTTTTATGTTTTTTTCATATACTTCTTGTATTTGATGGCTAAATCTTGATTATTATCATTGCATTCAACTTGTTTTCTGAGAGAACGTGTACATTTGCACATTTTGGCCAGTAGAAAACAAATTTGTGTGACTTCCATTATTTCCATTTATGGATACAAAAAAAAAACATGTTGTTCAGATACAAGATCTGCTAGGGCACGGACTGTGAAGCCTGATGGATGGACAGAAGGTGATCTACCAGAGATCTGCAATTTTGAACTGTCATAAGTATCAATACAAGTCAAAAAACATGTCGTTCAGATACGAGATCTGCTAGGGCACGGATCGCGAAGCCTGATGGTCAAGAAGGGATGGACAGAAGGTGATCTACTAGAGATCTGCAATCTTGAATGATCTTAGTCAGTGCACATCGCAGGGCACACTGGGGATAAGTGCCCAGGAGAGTATGGATACAGTACTACAGGGAGTGTATTAATACAGGGCACCAGGGGGCAGTACTGCAGGGAGAGTACTGATACAAGAAGCCACTGGTCAGCACCGAGAAGTATGCATTCATGGCTTGTTACTATAGCCAGTAAGTATTTATACACCTGCCAGGGTGTGGTGGTAGCGTGTAAATGATTGACGGCCATTCTCAGATGTCGGATGCACTGAGAGAGTATATACTTTGCATGCTCATCATGCAAAATAAGCAGCTTAGAAGTTCCCTGCAAGAACCTAGTATTATGTGTTTCAACACATGTGTTCGTTGTACAGTGTGTGAAGAAGGTTTTCGATGCCTTGGGTAATGCTGACGCGCAACTACTACTGCACCATGAAAACTCACTTATTTTTGTTGAAAGTAGCATAGATCTACTCCATTTCATGTGTACTTTGATGCTTGCTGGTCAGAAATTCAAAAAACCAAAATTCAAAATTTTTGTCACAAAAATTTGAAACATGGTAAGAAAATCAGTGTTTGTAGGCCTAGGAGGCATACCTGGTGACTAGAAATGATACTACAGAGCTACAGGAGGTTGATGTGTGCCCCTGCAGCATTGCTAACACATGCAAGGACTTCAGCTGTCATACCAATGCATCAATGAGACTTGTACTTCCTCACAGCAAATGCAGCTTGTCGAGCATCAAGTCCTTTTCTAATTTAAGAGTTCAACAAATATGTTATTTGACGAGAAAGCAGTAGTGCACCTGTAGGCATCCATATAGCACCAAGATTTGCGGAAAAATGCCAGATAGTCAAGGTACCACAAAGATCGAGCCATTGAGGAACAAGAATTTTTTGCAGTTGGGAATTTACCATCCGATGCATTACAAAAACCTAAGCTTTCATCAATAGATGTTTCAATAATATTGATAGCTGACTTACAATACTTTCCATACCCCCATACCATCTCCAAAGGATTGAGTTCACAGTGAAACTTTGGTAAGAACTTAGTCTTAGAAAAGGCAAACATGCCCAGTACACTGTCCTAACCCCCCTCAGCAAGAACCATTAAGACAGACCCAGGACACCCTCGAACATCACTTCGCTCCAAGAGGAACTAGACCAGCAAGAGGCACATCTCACCTCCCCCGCAACGTGGGATTCTCAGCTCGACAATCTCCCAGTCTCCAATACTGCTCACCAACGCCAGACAACCTCCCCCTCTCATCTCAATATGTATAATACACCCGACAATCAGGCTGTAAGATTACGAATCTGGCAAGAAAATCTCAACAAATCTAGCACGGCACAACATTGTATACTCAGCAGCCCATTCACAGCGAAAGACTACGATCTGGTCGCCATCCAGAAACCCTGTATCGACTTTCTAGGCAACACGAAAGCGACTGCGGATTGGAACGTAATATACCCCTCATACAAGTTTACCAACCAGAACCGTTCACACGCAGTAACTCTCATCAATAAGCGCATCAATATGAACAACTGGCGCCAACTCCCATTCCCATCAGCAGACGTAGTGGTGGTCCAGCTCAACAGGGAATTCGGGAATATCACCATATTCAATGTTTACAATGATAGCAAGAAGCGACAGACCATACCCGTCCTAGCCGACTATCTAGACAATGAATCAAGGAAGATCTGCCTGCAAACCTCTGACCATATAATACTGCTAGGCGACTTCAATGCTCACCACCCTCTGTGGGAAGAAGCCAGAAACACACACCTATGCACCCCACCCGACCCACAAGAAGCATCCCAACAGATCATTGAGCTTCTAGCGGATAACAATCTGCAGATGGTGCTACCGAGGGACAACCCAACACTCCAATCCACCAGCAGCAGCAATTAGACGAGACCCGACAATGTCTTTTGTACAATGCATGCCCTAGATGCCTTCACATCATGTACCACAGCACCGAGATGCCGTCCCCCCTGTACAGACCATGTACCAATACTCAGTACCCTAGATCTAGACCTACCGTGCTCCTCAACCACCACAACCTTCAACTTTCAAGACGTGGACTGGGAGGCCTTTCGCGGAAGTCTAAATGATCACCTTAGCAGACTACCCGGACCAGTGCCCATCACCTCAATAGATCAGTTTCAGACAGCTGTGGCCAACCTTAGTGCAGCCCTAAAATCAACTATCGAGGAAAAGGTTCCACAAATGAAACCAAGCCCGCATGCGAAAAGGTGGTGGACCCGGGAACTAACGCAAATGATAGATAAGAAAGATGAGCTAAGTGACAAGTCATTTAAAATGAGAGGACTACCCACTCACCCTGTACATGAGGAACATCACAAATATCGAAACCAAGTCACCGAAACCATCCACAAGACGAAGCAAGAACATTGGACCACATACCTGGAGGAACTAGATCAACAAGAAGTCTACAAGGCAAACAGATATGTCACTACGCCCTATGGGGATGGAGGAAGGATGAGCATCCCAGTACTCAAAACTACAACGATAAATGGAAACGCCCGTGAAGCCATCACCAATGAGGAAAAGAGTATTGTTCTCGCCGAAACATTCTTCCCTCCCCCACCAGCGACAAGCTCAGTCCCTCAAGACTTCGAGTATCCAGATCCAGCAATGCCATTTACTCCCATTACCGAGGAGCAAATCGAGAGAACAATCGCTAACACCAGCTCCTACAAGGCCCCGGGGCCAGACAGCATATGCAATATAGTCCTCAAGTGTGCTTCAGAAATACTCGTACCGTATTTTCTCCAACTTTTCAATGCAGTGTTCACGCTGAAAACCTATTACGATCCGTGGTGTGAATTCACCACGGTGGTTCTGTGCAAACCAGGCAAGGCCGACTACTCAATACCCAAGGCATACCGACCCATCGCTCTCATCAACACAACCTGTAAACTACTAACCGCAATCATAGCCGAACAAGTTACAACAATAATGGAACACCATAACCTCCTACCAGACCATCATTTTGGAGGACGCCCAGGACGGACCACAACCGATTCACTGCATATACTAGAAAGCACCGTAAAGAATGCTCGGCGAAACGGGAAGGTAGCATTGATACTCTTTCTAGACATAGAAGGAGCATTTCCTAACGCCGTCACCGACCATCTCGCCCACAACATGCGCAAATACCACCTCCCACTGGAGATCGTCAACTTTACAGTACGAATGCTAGAAAGACGCAAAACCCAGTTGAAATTCAACAACTCCATATCCGGGTGGATCGATGTCAAAAACAGTATAGGCCAAGGAGACCCACTATCTATGATCGCATACTTAATTTACAACGCTGACCTTATTGATATAGCTAAAGGACCAAGATACAATGAGACCACGCTAGCTTTCATTGATGACACAGCATACATTGCAATAGGCCCCAGTTTCGAAGACACTCACAGCACCCTCAAAGATATGATGGAGAGACCAGATGGTGCACTGCACTGGTCAAAAGAACATAACTCAAAGTTTGAAGTCAACAAATTCACTCTGATAGACTTCACACGCAGCAAGACACATTGTCGACCTCCCCTCATAATCAACAACACCACCATCAACCCTGCTGAGTATCACCGCTTCCTATGTCTACTAGTCAACCAAGAATTAACATGGAAATATCAAACAGGTCACGCAATTGCTAAGGGCACGGAATACATGCTCCAACTCAGACGCCTATCAAAACCAGCTAACGGAGTATCAGCCAAGTTAATGCGCCAACTATATCTCACTGTCGCCGTCCCAAAGTTCACATACGGTGCCAGTCTCTGGTTCAAACCGACCTTCAAAGGAGATTCAGAAGAAGGGCAGCGTGGATCAATAGGCGTAGCCAAGAAGTTAGCGAAAGTACAGAGAATCGCCACCCTTAGCATCACCAGAGCCATGATAACCATGGCAACAGACACGCTAGATGCCCATGCCAACCTCCTCCCCGTCTCCCTACTCTTACAAAAGATCTGCCACTGGACAGCACTCAGACACGCCACCCTCCCACAATGTCACCCCCTGCACAAGCACCTACAGCACATTGTTAAGCACCACAACATCCATCGTCACCACTCATCCCTCCACAATCTAATTGCCACCTTCGAAGCCTTCCCAGACAATATCAAGACACTAGACCCAATCCGTAGATCAAACGCACAACACAAAAACATCTACAAAACGCACATAGCCCTAAAGGAGAAACAAGTGATTAAGGAACAGGAAGAGCTCAAACACACTGTCCAGATCTTCACGGACAGCTCAGGTCATGATGGAGGAATAGGCGCAGCCGCAGTGTTAATACGGGAAGGAAGAGAACCACGCACCCTCAGATATCACCTGGGGGAGGACAAGACGCACACAGTATACAAAGTAAAAGTAGTCGGCCTGACGCTGGCCACGAAACTCCTAGCTACGGAGCGAGACATGGAGTACCCAGCCACCATATTCATCGACAACCAGGCAGCAATCAAATCCGGTGAGAGCAATAACACGAAGCCAGGCAGCTACTTAGTAGAAAATTTCTGCAGAATGACAAGACACCTCGAAAAAAGGTGTCTAGAGCAAGAACGCAACTTTGATCTCACAATTCGGTGGATCCCGGGGCACAAAGGAGTAGTGGGAAACGAGCTAGCTGATGCAGAAGCAAAGGAAGCAGTGAAAGGTCAAAACAAGTCAAGCCTAAGAAGGAAGCTGCCTCGCTACCTTCAAGACGGACCCCTACCAGACAGCATGTCAGCACTTAAACAATGGCATCAAGACGCACTGAACAAGCGATGGACAGAAGTGTGGAAAAGATCGCCGCACTACGCAAGAGCCAAGACCGTAGACTCTAGTATGCCCTTGAACTGCTATCTCAAACTTGTCTCCACCCTCCCAAAATGCCAAACCAGCATCCTTACACAACTTTGCACCTGTCACATCCCGCTCAACCATCATCTTCATCACATTGGGAAAAGCGACACGCCACACTGTCCATTATGTCCCGGGACAAACGAAACCGTTCACCACTTCCTATTCAACTGTCCCCAATACAATCGTGAATGCCATATCATCTCCAATACCCTGCGTCGTCAAGCAATGTCCATAGCTCACCTCCTCTCCTCCAAAAAGGCCACCCAACCACTGATGCGGTACATTAACAGCACCGGTAGATTCAAGTTAATATTCGGTGAGACTACACTAGATTAAAAAGAATTCACATCATTCACGCAAAAACAAACAGATAAACTAAAACCACCCACCACACCAAACCAACACTCTGTACATCAAGTGGGAAACCGATACTCACAGGCCGAGAATCACTGCGGGAAAAGAGGACGAGGAAAGAGACAGTTTCATGAACATAAGAGAGCACGACAACAACCACCGCCTGCTTAGAAACTAACCTACCTAACATACACCTCATACCGCAGCACCTCCCACTGTACAAAGTCGGCGTTGGCCTTTGCCCAACACTATGCCAACAGAGTACGTGTTGCATCACATGGGATAGATTACATACACCTACAATAGGTAGCTGGGAGCAAGCCCCCCGCACTCGAATAGGGCTATGTCCAACATAGGGTCTACGACCCCAACGGACAATAAATATGAATTAAAAAAAAAAAACAAAAAAAAAAACAAAAAAAAACAAAAAAGTAGGACTCGCTCGGCTCCTCCGACCAGGCCTTCGCCTACGAACATATCATTACATAATATTGGGATGCGAGAGGGAGAGCATTTGAAGCTCCGATCGAAACAATATTAATCAATGGCAAAATTTCTTCGCCCATCAAAATTACTTGTCCTCTTTCCCTCCGTGGCCGACGCCGTCTCCCATATCGCATCTTATCAATGCATAGATGGTCTCTCCATTAATTATAAGGATGGACTCCCGCGTCCATTGCGGACTCACTTATGATATTAATAATGTCTCATGCTTCCTGGAAAGATCGATTTTCCCGCTTCTGATGTGATCACGGTGCGTCATACATTCCACTTCCGTCATGCTTGACGGATGTATCTCTTTACCAATAACCTTCGTTCTTCTGAGTAACAGGTTTCACCTGTGATTTGCGGATATCGTTTCTCTTTTGGCACATCTGATTTTTCATCTCATCGCCTCCCTTACGTGGTCACAAAACTGATACTTGTTCTTCAGAGACCGGATACTGGGGAGCTAAGCTTGTCGCCTCACGCGACGTGCAGTTCCAGCCCCCTGAAACATTTCCCCATGTCGCTTGCGTACTACAGCATCTCATACGATCTCGTCCTCATTCTGATCATACTCCGCCATTTGCCATTCCTTGTCCATGGTACGTGCAACCCACCCGCCAAATCAGCACAAATTAACTAATCTTACGGACGGACGGTGTGTTTGGTTCTGCAGAGGCGATTTGCGTGACCGCGTGTGCGAACTCCACTTGAGTTCCTTCCCTATTGAGTGTATTTCCCCCTTGTCGAAGGCGAGGCATGTACGAAAACCATTTCGGCACTCGTGTGCACCGTGCCTCTTGCCAGATGGCTGTACATAGATCGATTGTGTTCTGTTCCTATAATGTGTCGTTAATATTAACTTCATGGACCACCGAGGTACCGACCTTCCTCTCAGTGTTTGTTCAATCACCGTGCGCAAAGGATCTGTATAGATTCCTCATGAGTTTTTGCCTGTACAAGAACCACAAGGAATCTACAAATGTTCTTCTGGTCTTGCCGGAAGTCACTGTCGACTCGAGCTTCATGTTACGCTGCCACGCACACTGGGCCTAAACTTTGCATCTTTAAATTTGTTCTTAGCTAATGAACACTATTTGCGCCATCTAGCTTAGCCGAAGATGATGTTAAAAATACGCGGGTGCCTGCATCTGTGAGAGGCCTCTCTTTACGTTGACAATTTGAAGCTTTCCCTAGCTTAAGCTAGCGCTCTCATTGGTGGAGAGGACTAGAAGTCCGAGACTATACCAAACAGGGGTCGTTCAACGATAGCTTTTCGACGGGTCCAAACACTGATGTGCATCGCAGCTCCTCCGTAAATCCCCCGAACGGGGGATTCTTTGTATTCCTCTCATCTTCTTTCAATACCTCGCGCTCGAGCTTCGCTGAATTATAAACTCGAGACCCACGGTTTTGCGCTACAACTTTCAACGGCTTTCAACGTCCCCTGCCAATGGCGCACACACTTCAGCGGTTATCTTCAAAGTTTGCACGGCACGTTCAACCCTGCGGGGCCAAGGGCAGCACTTACTGAAGTTCCTTTTTGAGCATAGCCATAAATCTCAAACCTTATTGCACAACTATCACCACCTTGGGAAGCCACTGGGAGTACAGCCCTAAGCACTTGGTTCCATCCATTTCATTGCACTAGATTGCAGTTCCTGGCATCTGGCAGCTGTGTTCACAGGTGCCCGTATTTGGTTTACTGTATAATGACTATTGATGCATTTAGCAGTGTGGCGCATTGTGTAGACTTGTGTAACATGGACATGTTGCATCCTCAGGTGTCGGTTGTAAAGCCTAATGTTCGCCCAACCCGAAGGTCTGTGTACTAGTTGACCCAAGCTGAGCAAAATCAATCAAATCATGCCTTCAATCACAAGGTAACCAAAGAAGACTCATTTTGAAATTCCGGGTTTCATACTAATGGTCAGGGAACGGTCTTCAGGGAGACACTTATCAGGGCCTGTCGGACACGCACAGTTAGCTTCGAGCAGCCAGATCGAACGATTAAGCCTGGCTCCAAGGATTTTACCGAGATCTACCACTGGTTTGAACCGGTGTGTGTGGATTCTTGCAAACCGGCTGATGGCAGGCGAGTATTTTAATCCGTCGAACAATGATTACGGGCAAATCCCGAACTTCCAGGCCAGAACTTACCAACATGAAAGCGGTCGTTGCGCCCCTCTATCGGCCTCATTTCCGAACTTAAGTGCGTTCTCAGCATTTCATTGTTCCCTTGTTGGTATTATAGCCAAGCGCTTGACGTTGTGAGCTTCTGCAGCAGATGCTACCCAACCCGTCGGGGCTTGGGACCTGACATGGACTATACTGGACTGTACTTCTGTGACATCTCAGCGTGTTCCTTGTAGCGGAAGTCGGGATCAAGAGCAGGTGCCGGATACCTATAAGAGCAACCATGATGGGGTGAGTACTCGTTATTGAGTGCTGGTATCAGCATCTACTTCTTCTCGTACAATGCTCTCCCTTAATGTCATTTTTCTTCTTTGCCTTCATCTAGCACATGGAGCATCCATCATCTCGCGATCCACTTCCTATCCACTCAACGCTCGTTCGAATACCATAGGTCCTATAACCAATCTAACAATTTCTAATCAAGTCATATCTCCAGACGGTTTCCTGCGCTCGTTAGTGTTTGTGTCTGATGTCTTGTCTGCACCTTAACTATTGTTATAGTGCAACGCTCGCTGGAGGGACATTCCCGGGTCCAATTATCGCAGCCATAAAGGTTTCTTTTTGCCCATTCGATCGAGCCTTCGGGAACTGACTATAGTTGAAGGGAGATAATTTCGCGATCAACGTCGTGAACAGCCTCACTGATGATGAAATGCTCAAAAGCACCAGTGTGGTGGGTATATATATGTTCAGCACTCATAAGCCAGGCTTACCCGCTCTGTTTAGCACTGGCATGGAATCCATCAGAACGGGACCAACGAGGTAGATGGAGTCTCGTTCGTCACACAGTGTCCCATTGCGCAAAATCACTCCTTTCTGCACTCCTTCGATGCTGGGCAACAGACCGGAACCTACTGGTATCATAGCCACTATGCGGTACAACAATGGTTTGTTCATATGCAAGTGTTTTTAACTTTGCAATAAATGACCCGAAACGGTTTAGCGATGGCCTTCGTGGGCCTTTGATTATCTATGATCCTGAAGATCCTTTATCTTATTTGTACGATGTTGACGATGGTATAGTGATCGATGCCATAATAATTAATCCACTCATTTAAACCATTCACAGAGACCACCGTAATCACCCTCGCTGACTGGTACATCTCAGAACTATTTGCGACTTAAATCCGCGTTACTAATTGATCATAGGTACCATGTGGTTGCCCCTGTCTTGAGCCATCTAAATATTGGTGCCATCAATGGCGATGCGACACTCATCAACGGTCTCGGCCGATATCAAGGGGGACCCAACAGCGACCTTGCGGTGGTCAACGTCGAGTACGGGAAACGATACCGCCTACGCATGATAGCAATGTCTTGCCATTCCAACTTTATATTCTCTATCGATGACCATAACATGACGATCATTGAAGCGGACGGTGAGCTGACAGAGCCCCTTCTCGTGGACTCGCTCCAGATACTCGCTGGACAGCGATACTCTTTTGTGCTCAATGCGATTCAGCCAGTCGACAACTACTGGATACGCGCAGTCCCAGACACTCCAAGCTCAAGCTTCGTTAATGGCCAGAACTCTGCTATCTTGCGATACAATGGTGCACCCGTTGCAGATCCGAATACGAACCAGACCACAAGTACCATGCCGTTAGTCGAGACCAACTTGCACGCGCTCATCAATCCCGGAGCACCCGGGATTCCAGAGTACGGACAGGCAGACATCAACTTGATGATGGTGGTCGGCAACACAGGTGGAATATATTCCATCAACAACGTAGCATACAAACCTCCCACGGTGCCCGTGCTGCTCCAGATCCTCAGCGGCGCGCAAGATGCAACCGAACTCCTTCCGAATGGAAGTGTTTATGTTTTAGAAGCCAACAAGGTCGTCGAACTGACGATGTTGACTAGTACCTTTGGTGGTCCTGTAAGTTTCACGCACATTCGCAACGTTACATACATCTCATAGCATCTCCCAGCATCCGATTCATCTTCACGGTGTGAGTATTTCTGGATACGCCTTTGCGCCTCATTGCTCACTGTAATGATAGCATGACTTTGATGTCGTGCAGAGCGCCGGAAATAGCTCTTTCAATTACGTCAATCCCGTCCGCAGGGATGTAGTATCCGGAGGGCTCCGAAACCAACAGATGGTGATTAGATTTGTCACAGATAATTCCGGTCCATGGTTCCTTCACTGGTGAGCACCGCGACATTTATGGATTCAGCACTAGCACTAATCTTATCGTCCACCTAGTCACGTCGACTGGCATCTTGATGCGTGCGTTTTGCAAGTTCTCTGAAATTCTGCAGTAATCTGACTATGTTGCCAGTGGTTTCGCTGTAGTCATGGCCGAAAGTCCATCGGAGACTCAGCAGCATCTGGGCTACATACCTAGTAATTATCTTCGATGTCCGTCTTATATTCTTGAACTGATGGTATACATAGATGCATGGGACGATCTTTGCCCGACATTCGACTCGTTGACCCCAGCCCAGATTGGAGCGGAGAATTCTTATCAGGAAGCACAGAATATCAGTACATCCTTATTTCCCCCCACGTAGTGTTCATGGAAGTCCTCGACGGGAACCTTCGAAACTGGCGTGTTTTGAGAAGGAGGTTAGCTTGGGCTTGTTAAAGGACTCCTCGACTTCCTCGGCTAGTGCTCCTAGTGAAATTAAGTGAGTGAAACGACGAACGAAGCTTCAAAGTTAGCATGTCGCGGACAGCCTGTGCTCGATGTAAGACACTCGATTCCTCAATTAGAAGTCGTTGATCAAACGAGTGCTACAACGAACACGAGATGCGAGAGAAGATCTCCAGAGTAGAACTGGTTCGAACAATCCATGGGCATTCTCATATAAATAGTTTCAGATGGACGCACTGAGACAGTATTACACTTTGCATGCTAACATGCACAATAACCTAGTGTCAACGTTGACGCGGATATCATGCAAAATAAGCAGCTTTAAACACCTCCATGTGGGGTTGACCAACTGGGGGTTTTTAAAACTAGTATATTTCGAGAACAGCCAGCGCTCGAGGTGTAGAAATCACTTTAGTCACAATGATGAGTAGTGAACATGAGGTGCGAGAGCAAGAGCATTTCAAGCCTCGGTCAAAACTGATTTCGATCCTCCCCATCGAAAGCAGGTGTCCTCTCTCCCTCTGACTCACATCTTACCAATTTTTTCCGTCAAGGCCCTCGTGGACTCCCGCGTCCAATGGTGGCGAATTCATTTATAAAGACTTCCTCATGCTTCCCGGAAGATCGATTCTGCTACTTCATGGTGCCGTCATACATTTCACTGGCGTCGAGTCTTTGCCGGATGAATTTAACCTTCGTTCTTCCGAGTAACCAGTTTTGCCTGTGATTTGTGGATATCATTTCTGTTTTGGCATATCTGATCTGTCATCTCACCGCCTCCCTCTCGCTCATGTGACCACAAAAAACTGATGGCTATTCTTCAGAAACCAGATAAGTTAGGCTCGTATGTACCAACACTTGCGTGCACCGTGTCTCTCGCCTGATGACCGTACATGTTCTGGTCCTGTATATGTCGTCGACGTCACGAACCACCGAGATATGAACCTTCCTCTCAGTGTTCGTTCGATCACCGTGCAATGGTCTCACTTAGCCTCGCGGAAACGCAGGCGGCGAGGATTAGCCAGGAAGAGGGTCCCTCGTGCGAGGGCAGCGAAGGACCCTATGAAAAATTGAACGAAGTAAATAAGTACAAAGCAGCAACCGACGGGAAACTCGGAATATGAGAAAAAAACGAGACTTGAATCTCAGACGTGCAGAATTTGTGCGTGGAGAGTGCACACAAATGAAAGGGTGGGAAATAGGGAGGGTAGCCGAAAAGTTAAGTACTGACACGACGACGAGCAGATGAGAAGAGTCGCTAACTAAAGACTGATACCAGCGACGTACCTGACACGACGACGAGCAGATGAGAAGTGGGGCTGCCTCCTAATTGCTCAGTCATGTCAGGTAGAGGTCGAGATCATTGAGATCGCTCGGCATCATCGACAAGCCGAGAGCGCCCAGAGCGCGTGCCGCAAAGGCAAAGGGAACTGGCCCTAAGGTAAGCCCGCACGTGAAAGCTTAGTCGTAAGTATCAACCAATTAGACTTGTGTAAAAAAGATTAAACTCGAGTAGATTCCTTGTGGTTCCTCCTTTGGTATAAGAACAACAAGGAATCTACGCATGTTCTTTCCACAGCATATTGAGTCTTGCCGGACTCCATGGTACGCTGCTACGCACACTGGGCCTAAACTTCACATCCTTAAATTTGTTCTTAGCTAATGAACGCTATTTGCGGCATCCGACTCAACACAATATGATGTTGAAAACACGCGGGTGCCATCTGCATCGCAGCGCCCCTCCGGAAATTCCCCAAATGGGGGATCCTTTATATTCCTCTCACCTTCTTTCAATACCTCGCACTTGCACTCGAACTTCACTATGAACTACACCCACATGATTACGCCACAACTTCCAACGGCTTTCAACGTCTCCCGCCAATGGCGCACACACTTCAGCGTGTTATCTTCAAATTTTGCACGGCTTGTTCACCTCTGCGTGGCTAAGGGATAAGGGCAGGCTGCTAGGATAGAGCACGCGTACGGGTAAAACCGCGGTGTATCGCTGACGGGTGTGGCAGGTACGGGTATGGTGTGGATTCTGGAGCCCCGTACCTACACATAAGCAGATTGTACTGAGACGTACCAGAGCTATAGCCCACAGCAAGTTGGTCTTGAGTGTTTCGAAGGTATAATCACAGTTCTCGCGTAGATATCTCTTTACTGCATCCCAGAAAAACTCGATAAAGTTGAGTTCACAGTGGTATTTGGGCAAGAAGATGCACAAGTGACCAGCGGCCTCGATGATTTCTTGCATGAGTGGTTCTGTTCCACGAAATCTGGTTGATGTTCAAGAATGCGCTTGAGGCAGCAGTTTGTTGCTTCGTCGGCACACTTTACTTGGCACCTGCCTCAATGTCTCGCCTCCAGAAGACCACGTTCTTCGAGAACAACCTTGATGCCCTTGGGTTCATTTGGGTGATCGCAGTGATCAGAGGGAAACACCATGGACTGCATAACCTTTTGTTCACCAGCATCGATGAACCAACCGTCTTTCATCTGTGCCTGGCCATCGATTTGGCGGTTGCCCCAAAGTAGCGGCACATAAGTAAACTGCACCATAGCTTCAGGGACCCGCGGGTTCACCCGTGCTCAACCCTAAGGGCAGCACTTGTATAGCTGTAAATCTCAAACCTGACCAATTACACAAGTATCGTCGCCTTGGCAAGTCACTGAGAGTACAGCCCTGGGCTCCGCCCAATGATCCATTCCATTGCAGTATATTGCAGTTCCTGGTGTCTGTCTGTTAGCTGAGCCTGTGCCCCCAAGTGCTCGTATTTGGTGTGCGAATTGCGTGGTATGTCGTGTAGCGACCATTGATGCATTTGACAGCCTGTGTGTCGCGGCGCGTGGACTTATGTAACATGGGCGTGGTTGAAAGCCAGCAGACTGCGACAAAAGGAAACAGACAAGCGCTCTTCACAATATTTGCGCATTACGGCCTCGCAATATGATATGAAATAGAACTTCCTTGGCGCACAATGTTCGCCCAATCTGGAACTCTACATACTAGTTAACCCAAGCCGAGCAAGATTGATCAAATTACGCCTCCAGACTCTTTTCGAAATTCCGGTACGTTTCATACCAAGTGTCAGTAATGGTCTTCCTGGGCCCGTCGGACACGATTAGCTGCGAGCAACCAGGTCGAACGATTAAGCCTGGTTCCAAAATTTAACCGAGTTCTACCGCTAGTTTGAACCGGCGGACGTGCATTCTTGCGCAAAAGCTGACTGCAGATGCGGTAGGCGATTATTTCAATCTCTCGAACTTCCAAGACAGAACTTACTAACTTCAAGGTGGACGTTGCGTTCCTTGGTCGGCCTTTCCAAGTCTGCGTTCTCGGCTTTTCTCCTGCCAAGCGCTTGAAGTTGCGGGCAGTACACTTCTACGGCATACGTTACCTGTAACTGGTCGGAGCTTGGAACCTGACATGGGCTATACTCTTAAAGTCTGTTCCTTTTGGCGGAAGTCGGGATGAAGAGCAGGTGCTGGATACCTATAAGAGCAACTATGATGGGGTGAGTACTCGCTATTGAGTGCTTGGTATTAGCATATACTTCCTCCCGTAAACGTCATATAATGCTCTTTCTTGATGTCATTTTTCTTCTATGCCTTCATATAGCACATGGAGCATCCATCATCTCGCGATCTACTTCCTATCCACTCAACGCTCGTTCGAATATCCTAGGTCCTAAAACCAACCTAATAATTTCTAATAAAGTCATATCTCCAGACGGTTTCGCGCGCTCGTGAGTTTGTGTTTGTTGTAATCTTTGCACCATAATCATTGTTATAGTGCAACGCTCGCTGGAGGAACATTTCCAGGTCCAATTATCGCAGCCAGAAAGGTATTTTTTTGCCTAGTTGATCGAGCCTTCAGGAACTGACTGCAGTCAAAGGGAGAGAATTTCGCGATAAACGTCGTGAATAGACTCACTGATGATGAAATGCTCAAAAGCACCAGTGTGGTGGGTATACATAATTTAGCGCTCATGAGCCAATTTATCCCACTCCGTTTAGCACTGGCATGGAATCAATCAGAACGGGACTAATTATGCAGACGGAGTCTCGTTCGTTACTCAATGTCCCATTGCACAAAATCACTCCTTTCTGCACATCTTCGATGCTGGGCAACAGACCGGAACCTATTGGTATCATAGCCACTACGCGACACAACAGTGGTTCGTTCATCGGAAGTGTTTTTAAATTTGCAATAAATGACCAAAACCCGTTTAGCGATGGCCTTCGTGGGCCTCTGATTATCTATGATCCTAAAGATCCTCTATCCTATTTATATGATGTTGACGATGGTAAGGTGATCAATACCATGATCATGAATTCGGTCACTCACAAGCATCCACAGAGACCACCGTAATCACCCTCGCAGACTGGTACATTTCAGAACTATTTGCGACTTAAATCTGCCCGACTAATTTATCACAGGTACCACGTAGTTGCCCCTGTTTTGAGCCATATCATTGGTGCCATCAATGGCGATGCGACACTCATCAACGGTCTCGGCCGATATCAAGGGGGACCCAACAGCGACCTTGCGGTGGTCAACGTCGAGTACGGGAAACGATACCGCCTACGCATGATAGCAATGTCTTGCCATTCCAACTTTATATTCTCTATCGATAACCACAACATGACGATCATCGAAGCGGACGGTGAGCTGACGGAACCCCTTCTCGTGGACTCGCTCCAGATACTCGCTGGACAGCGATACTCTTTTGTGCTCAATGCGAATAAGCCAGTCGACAACTATTGGATACGCGCATTCCCAAACACTCCAGGCTCAAGCTTCGTCGGCGGCCAGAACTCTGCTATCTTGCGATACAAGGGTGCACCCGTTGCAGAGCCAACTACGAACCAGACAACAAGTGCCATGCCGCTAATCGAGACCAACTTGCACGCCCTCATCAATCCCGGAGCACCCGGGATTCCAGAGTACGGAAAGGCAGATATCAACTTGATGATGGTGATCGGCAACACAGGTGGAATATATTCCATCAACAACGTAGCGTACAGACCTCCCACGGTGCCCGTGCTGCTCCAGATCCTTAGCGGCGCGCAAGATGCAACCGAACTCCTTCCGAATGGAAGTGTTTATGTTTTAGAAGCCAACAAGGTCGTCGAACTGACGGTGTTGACTAGTACCATCGGTGGTCCTGTAAGTTTCACGCACAATTGCCGCGTTACATGCATCTCATGGTATCCCCCTAGCATCCGATTCACATTCACGGTGTAAGTACTTCTGGATGCGACTTTGCGCCTCATTATTCACTGTGATGATAGCATAGCTTCGATGTCGTTCAGAGCGCCGGAAATAGCTCTTTCAATTACGTCAATCCCGTCCGCAGGGATGTAGTATCTGGAGGGCTCCGAAACCAACAGATGGTGATTAGATTTGTCACAGATAATTCCGGTCCATGGTTCCTCCACTGGTGAGCACCACGACGTTTATGGATCCAGAACTAGCACTGATTTCATCGTTCACCTAGTCACATTGACTGGCATCTTGACGCGTGCGTTTTGCGAGTTCTCTGAAACTCTGCAGTAATCTGACTATATTGCCAGTGGGTTCGCTGTAGTTATGGCCGAGAGTCCCTCGGAGATTCGGAAGCATCTGGGTTACATACCTCGTAACTACTTTCGATGTCCAGCTTATGTTCTGATTGAACTGATGGTATACACAGATGCATGGGACAATCTTTGCCCGATATTCGACTCATTGACCCCAGCCCAAATTGGAGCGCAGAATTCGTATGAGGAAGCCCAGAATATCACCACACTGCTATTTCCCCCCACATAGTGTTTACGGTTGTATAAATCGAAGAGATAGCGCTACCGGAACTCTTATAATGGAGGCCATTTGTACTACACTAAAGCATCTGTAATAAAGTAGCCTATCATCAATTATCCCATACACCATCCTTCTGTGTAATCCATACGAGTTATCCGGACCATGTCCAATGTTGTGCACACGTGAGTTCTGCATGGCACTTTGCATTGTGCGAAACCATCCCTCGAAATGTTCTACCTGGCAATTCCAGGCACCTTACCCCTGCTTCAGCGATGACACACTATGTGTCACTGGCAGTGCCCACTGTCGTTGTGCATCGCATCTGAGAAATACCCTACAGAGGTCGGACCACAGGAACACTGATGCATTCGGAAAGCCTTCCTTCTGTTGACAGTCTCGGATGAGGGCTGTGACCTGTCGCTTCACAGAGTTGGCTCGTCAGGGACTCGGGTTCAAAATTTGGAAAATGGATTGAATAACAACTCAACCTTCAAGTGGGGGAAAACAGATGCAGATACATACTCTGACCACGGACAATAGCATAGTGTCAATGACACGGACGGACGGACGAACGTAGCTCTCTATGGTATTCCCCGAACATGAGTATACCTAAAATCAGGTATTCAAGACGACTCCTGTGACGAGGCGGCCAAGCAGCGCAGAAGCTTTGAGAGATCTGAGATGCACGCTGACTTTCTCCGAGTCGTTTGTGCACGTGCTAAGTTCGTCGACGCAAGGGAGCGTGGAAAAAATGATGCGAACGACAGTCTTATCATCTACTACGTGAGAGACACTGATCAGTTCAATGTCCGTAGGGGGGTGTGTTAAAATGATTCGACTGTAGGATCGATATCGATATTCACGTTGTCGAATAATAGGTGCAGCGTATGCAAGTGGGAAATCGACGGAGCGCTGCGAATAATCCGGGGAATGTGATAGTAGCTTGGCGGCGATGTGGGTCTTCCAATCTCAGAGAGCGCATGTGTGGTCAACTGGACATGGCTTCAAAAAAAGAAAAAAAGGTCGTTATCAAGGCAGATAAGGCGATGAAATCTGAGCGACAGGGTTCGGAGCTGTGTGAAACACAAGAGATGTGTAACAAGTATCAAAGAACTGTCTGAGGGCTCCTGGAATATCGGCGTATAGGTCAATGTCCTCAAGGGTCTGGTGTGCCTTGCACTGGGACAGTGCACAAAAGAGCCGCTCATCTTCTTTCGAAAACCATGCATCGACACCAATCTTGAACTTTTCAGCGAGGGAAATTCTGAATGTTGCATGAGTGTCGTGATGTATGCGGGCGTGTCTACATATAAAGAAAGGGAAAAGTGCGAAATTGAAATTATCGAGATCCAATCGGGAAAGGACTGTGTTGAGTCTGTTCCCCCTATTGGTCGCGAGAAGGGTACGGAGGTTGGAGAGGTGCGCCCATACTGCCTAGTCGAGTGCTGGACGAGACAGTGACAAGCCGCTCGTGAAAACGTACACTATCAGACAGCAGGAATCGATCACCTGATGCAAGGTCCATAGGATTTGGTCTCTAAAGCAGCACAACGTGTCGCAATACGTTTTAAACCTCCATTAATGGCCGATAACGATGGCGCGGCGTATGGGACAGGAAGAGGCCTCAGATTAACGACCGCAGCCTCGGAAAGACGCATGTCTCGATGGGGAGGACCGACAGAAGGTACGAATGGACGTCGAATGTTATACGCAATGAGGGAACACGGGCAGCGTGACGCAAAAATTGACGAGTCTCATGCTCAGATAATGGTTCGACGCGTTCTGACCAGGTGTACTGTTTAGATCGGTGAGCCAAGACATGAAAAGAGCGCGACTCGTCCGCACTCACTGTTGCACCCCTACGAGATATCATTGAATGTAGCCTGGACTACTGACGGTACCAGGAATTGATTCACATGCACAAATATGTCCAGGAGGATTTCGGGAACAAGTAGAGTGCGATGCATCAGTTGGATGTCGAGTAGTGCACAAAACAGAGATAAACAATCGTAACAGCACTCACGCCCCGAGACATCTTCTTGGCTGTCCCGTGGTGACAGTTCTGGTGTGAATGAGGCGATTCAACTTGATTGTCGCCTCAGTCAAAACAATCAACTCACATTATTTGAAGGAAACCAAACTCGTTCCTTCTCCTCCGTAGTCAGTGTCTCTTTCACAATCAATTCTGCGTAGTTCTCGTCTGTGATCGATGAGAGGTATCCGCTCATCCCACAGCTGGAGCTCCAGTAATGTTGAGTCCGATGAGAGAAGATACGTCCTACTGTCACAAGGGTGTCCAGGAACGACATCTCCCGGCCCATGTTGTGTTGCAGGGGTGAATGTAAGACGCGTACTACTGGTGAGGGACTTCCGCTCAGGACGGATTACCCTGGAGTCCATCCAGCCGAAAAGGATCGAACATTGACTAGCCCTGTGAGGGACAGAAAACTGGCAGCGCACACCAAAGGCCTCATCTCTATGCTCGGGGTACTTACAGACGAAAAGTTTGCTCCCAGTGACACTGACAAGTCTACTAGTTTGCATGAAAGGTAACCGAACATTGTAAGGTATGGCTGGTGGCAGTGAGACCTCTATTTTCTCCATTTCTCGAGTGGCAGTAAAATGCAAACATGTTTGTGACGGCAAGTAGACTACAACGCAACAGAGACTCGCGCAATACAGTACAAGAGCCCGTGATAAAAGAGAAATCAAATCCATTTGAAACGCATGTAAGCCAAGACTCGTAACCTTAGGTCTGCACTCTTCGTCGACGATCGTGATCGGTTCCTTTGCCACTCGATCAAGGCAGGTTACCGTCACATTGATCAACGGCCACAAACTACGCGCTGGTGCATATAAAGAGGACCTACCACGCCAGTGAGTCATGTGGTTAAACCCAGGACGCAAGCTACTGATACTCACACACCATTCATCCCAAGGGCAGCCTTGGCATTGTGTGCTATGCACGCAAAAGAAATTGCAGTCATCAAGACTGTCAGCGTCACTGGCAGATATTGATGCTGTCAAAGCAGCAACAACCGCGAGGACAAAGGTGAAATGCATTGTTTGCGAGGATGTAATATAGGATCAAATAAATCTGAAGGGGACAGCAGGAAGACACCTTGGTTTTGCGTGCTGAATGTTGTTCTCCCATATGGCGATGTAGGAAGAACTTATATATCCACCTGGAATCCTGATGATATCCGAAATGCCAGCAGATTGCCACCTAAGATCTACCTTGGGAAGCAAGGTCAATGTAAGCTCGCAACTTGTTTGATCTCCTGCTTACATTGTGTTGCATATTAAACTGCAGTGCTACTTTTTCAAAACTCGGCCTCACTACGATACGCGCTCCGTATCGTACCATTCACTACAAAACTGGAAATCACCGGCTGAATTGGTGAATTGTCCGATTCACCTGGTAAACCGGTGGTGAGGCCTTGAAACTTTGGGTACCAATGCAACTACTCAACTTTTCCCTTGAAAGAAGTTTGGGCCATGCTATTGAGATGCTAAGCTATCTACCAGTCAACATCCACCATTTTTTTGTGTTGTGAACGGTGAGCAAGAGATTAAACCCGTCATAACCCACGAATGCCCGGGTACATCCAGTAGCACCAGCACTTGAGTGCGACAAATCTGTGACACTACGATTGTCATGGCACGCGCTGGCACGCGTCACTGCTCCCACCGTGGCACCTGTTGACGGCGGTCATCGACTTTGCCGCATTTGACGGTTCTTTGTGACTTTTTTCAATGCATCACAGTTAGCACCTGTGAATCTGCGACTCCCACATAAGCTCTGTAATAAGTAGTGACAGACAGACCAGGCCCTCTGCATCTCGAAGTAGTGTTGGTTCAATAATTGATCGATATCTAGCTGTGGGGACTTGTAGACTTTGCCCTAACCGTGCGAAAATGGCATTGTGTGGTAAGCATGCATGGGTCTCCACGTCCATCCCAGTTTAAAAGTCGCCTCGGGCCTACCACACGTAGCTGGTGCATTTTCGCAAAATGTCGATGCGTGCAATGTCCAGACCAGAGCAAGACTAGCGCCGTTTTGCCGTCTGATCTACACCTGAGCGTGAAATTCGAATTACTTCAGTGTGGTGAGTTTTTTGAACACTCCCACCTGAGACATGTTCGGATAAACCTGTCATTATTTTTAATTGTTTTGATTCCGCCATCCGGGGGTGCACTTTTGGTCAACTTTGGTTCACCAAGTCTTGAAGGAGAATTCATTCTCGGTATAAATGTCGCAGAGGAGGATCATCCTTTCCGCGCATTCTGCGACGAGGCGATTCAGCATACAGGTGAGCACTAATGCACTTACCCTGCGTCAGAGAAACTCGTCAGTTGCGTAGTTGAGAGAACCGTCCTCGTTTCTATAGTAGAAGCTCAGGCTACCTTGGAGGTTGACTGGAGTTATTTGTGTCCTCATTCAGAGTAGGATTAAGAACACATCCTGAACGGTCAAGATGGATCATGACAGCTCAGGATGTTCGCTTGAAATTTGCAAAATCTAAGCTCCGTTTGAGTAGCTGTACAGATAGTAGAATAGGGACGCTCAAAGTTGGGCGCACACGTCGCACACCGCACACCGCACACGCACACGACCCCCTCGCACCTGCACCCCTACCCAAAACGGTAACCTTAGATAATCGTCGGACTTTAGACTAAATTTTGCGGCGCGCAGCGCCGAACAATACTCTACAGTACTTGTCGTGAATTGTCTATAGCTAAAGCAGCGTTCCTAAACCTTGCCCGAACCAGTTCCAAACCTCGTCATCCCTAAACCCCAGTGAAAAACGGTCCTAGCCATATCTATGGCAAACGACGGAAATATTAGCTTTATGCTAAGAATATTGTGATAACTACGCAAATCGATAAATGTAAACTTACGTCAACAACGCTAGATCACTGTGCTGAGTAAATGTGTTCGATCTGCTCATGTTCTGACATTTTGCATACTCAATCATACACTAATCAATTGATCACACAAATTGCGCAATGATTCAATTACGATCACATATACTGAACATTTTTTGTACACAAGTACTTGATTATTTTATGTAATCAATTCAAAGTTGTATTTCAAGTGATCACGTGATATATGATATATGAAAAAGCACAACATCGTATATACTGAACAATACACTGTGTGGAAAGGGTTTAGAAGGTTTTAAAAGGACTGGTCAAGTACTGAGGTTGAGGCAGGGTTGTGGATGTTGGACCTAGTGGTTGGCTGATGAGCTTGACTTGGAAAGACCCGAAATGTTATCTAAGTTGCTGGTTTGGGGACAAAGTCTAGGCCAAACATGGCAAGGGTTACAATGGCCTGTAAGGTTTAGGGATAACGAGGTTTGGAACTGGTTTGGGCAAGGTTTAGGAATGCTGCTTTAGCTATAGACAATTCACGACAAGTACTGTAGAGTATTGTTCAGCGCTGCGCGCTGCAAAATTTAGTCTAAAGTCCGATGATTATCTAAGGTTACTGTTTTGGGTAGGGGTGCATGTGTGAGGGGGTCGTGTGCGTGTGCGGTGTGCGATGTGTGCACCCAACTTTGAGCGTCCCTAATATTACAAGTCTTATGGTAGGGTTAGGGTTAATTGACCTTGTAAGTTTCACCAAGTATTTGCAAAGTTTGAATTTGTGGTCTACACAAAAGAATGCCGCTGAGAAAAATGATGCCTTGCAGATATCTGTGCAGCACACAGTGCCTGACCACCCAAGCTATGTGCAAGGTGTATCTATGAGCAAGAAAAATGTGGGAATGGAGTACCACTGTGTGAGGAACTTTGAGTGTATGCAGATGAAGTACCAGTGTGTGAGGCATGTTCCTAGATGAAAAAAAATGAGCATGAACCCCACAAGATGTGTACTATGCCATACCATGTGTGCCAGGCACATCCCTTGGAACAACATCAGCAAAACACTTATTTGAAGTCCCCATATAGGCAGCATTGCACAGCATTGCACAGCACTACACAGTGCTACACAGTGCTGTCCATATGGGGACATCCCTGCACATCCAATTAGGGTTTTGCTGATGAAGAGTGGGAGCCTCGCTGTCAGTTTGTACGATGGACAGAAGGTGGATTGCATGATTGACTTTGGGATCAGATGCCAGCAGGTTCATGTAGCCTGAGGATGACTTCAATGGCTCACCATTGGCTTTGGGATCAGACAAGACCAGATAAGATGGGTTATCATGAATGAAGGTGACCTGGTCAAGACGACCTGCAGCAGCTGCTATCATTGCAGTCATAGTACTGTGTGGATACTGCAGGACACTTGAAAATACCAGAAAGGGCTGGAGAATTGAGTACTTACCAGCGGTACATGTTCCATCATATTGGTGTTTGCTCTACAAGCATCTACATCCATTGTATCTTTAGTAGCACCTGGGTAGCTACAAGAGGAGGGTGTTTGGTGCTTTGAGAGCATCAAGGTGTTGCTGGCAAAGTGGTGTATGTTGGCTGGTGGTGCGGAGCTCACCGTTTCACTTGATGGGCATGCTCTCTCCAACAGAGAGATTCAAGCTCCGCTTTAAATCGTGTAGATGCGCAGTGCGCATATGATTATCGATAAGATCTGTGAGTACCATGCCCCCTCATCAGTCCCTTCACAATCAGCTACTGTAAGGCTAGTTGTGAGTTTGAAGGGGAAATGTAACAAGACGAAGTAGATAAGTGACAAGTGCAACAGGGAACAAGATGAGTAGAGAAAACGTATAAGACTGAGGACTTTCTGTGTTAGTTTTCAGTCGAGCTTGGAGCGGGGAATCAGCATCTGGGATTCTGCCTCCACTTCGCTATAGGTATGAGTGTACGTGGGCAGTATATATATGTTTTCAAATGGTTAACTAAACCAGAACAAGTGTAGGTATCATGTGGTGAGGTGAAAATACTCAGTGAAGGACGGGAATCCTGAGGTATATGCACAAGGTAAGATTGTAAAAGGAATTGAAAATGGAAGCTTGTATCCGCGTAACTCAGATGTGAAGAGTAACAGAGCCATGTTGTCTTTGCTTTGAAGTGTGATGAGTGTGTAGAGGATATGCAATCCTTACATCCCCTCTCTACTTCAAATATCGACCGTCCTCGGTTGATCTTCTAACAAAATAAACTAAAAAAAATTGTATTGTAGTTGATCAAGGAGAGTCTAGAAAGAAAGAAAGAAAAAAATGCATCTAATCTTTGTCTGCAATGGTACCTGCAATGTCATTGATATTCAGGTATTTGGTGACATCGCGAGAGGTCGAGGAGCAATGATGGTAAGGAATGAGATGAAAAGGGTGAATTTGAGTTTGGAGACAGAACTGTCAATGTAGGCGAGATGGTGAGCGATGAAACGAAGTGGGGCAAGGCCGCAAGCTTGAACTTGGATGTGAAGCTGATGATTTTGGAGGAATAAGTGGTGGAAAATAATCATTGCGAACCCATCCTTTCTGATTCTTATCCCATGCAAGAGCTGACTTGTTGCACATGCTCAGATAAAGTGGAGGAGTAATGGCAGTGGTAGCGAGAGTGATGGGTGACAAAATGGCAGCTTGGCACTTGTGGCAGTGTTCTGTGGCTTCTTTGTGGAGATCTGGACTACTTGCGAGGAGGTCGGCGATGGTAACATTGGGAATAGTGGCATTGAGTGTGTTCTGGTGGATACATGATGCTGTGTCTTGAATGGCTGCTTTGGACTCATAGGTGAAGGAAGGGGGATCTGCTATGGGGGCTTGGGTAGGGGGTAATAGAGTAGACACTGGTGAGGAGACGTGCTTCTCGGCAGGAACTTCTTCTGCACTTCATATGACTTTTGCTTTTGACCTGGTTAATACTTCTCCTCCCTTGATGGTAACTACGATGGCGTGCTTCTCAGTGACAGGAGTACATTGCAGAAGGTAAGATTCAGAAAGGCGGAGGAAGGGATTTTGGTGGATGGCTGGGAGGTGGATTCTCAATGGGAGTTGTCTATAAGAATAGGGTTGCATCCAGTTGTGGGCATCGAAGGTGTGGGAATAGCGTATCTAGTGTTAAGGTTGTGTTTAAGGGGAGGTTACTCAAAGGGCTTCAGCTTCAGCTTGTGCGCTGTGCCCCTTACCCGAGTACGTGCCCTTAATTTCTGGGGGGCAGAAGGGAAGTCCGACGGAAGTCTGGGAAGTCTGGAGGTCAGATGTCGGGGGAGTTCGGCGGAACTCCAGAAGACTATGAGGGAATGGAGTAAGGCTACTGCTGGACAAGTCTGGAGTAGAAACAGAGCAGAGGTGAGACTACCCTAAGGTAGAGCCAGAGATTTAGTCCTAAGGTTTAACCCTAAAACTCGGAGGTAGACAAGAGATGAGACTCAAGTCCGGAGATGCAGGAATGAGCACAACTAAGATGATATTTGAACTGAGGAGTTCCGGAGTATTACAGGAGTTTATATACTGTAGGTATCATGTAAGTAAATCAGTCAGCAAAGTAAGGGCTGTGTACGAAGCATGTGGAAAGTCTATTAGTAAGTGTACACGGATCAAAGCAGTGAGGTCGGAAATGAAACAAGGATGGACGGATCAGTAAGCATAGCGGAAAGGACATAACCGGTAGCCGGAGCAATAACTATTCTAAAAGGAGATAGGGGTGAGTATGGAGATGAAGGTGAAGCGCTGGGCAAAATAACAGGACAGAGGACCGGACTTTAGTGGTGGGGTTCTGGAATTCTGGATCCAGAGGTACGGGATATGACATCTAGCATCAATAGCTTGCTTTAACATCTCATTCCATGAACATTGTATATGAGATTGGTCGGGATATGCAAAGAAATGTCCATCCTGGATAATTTGTCCAGCTCGTAGGTACTGTCCCATGATCAAACAAGTGCGCATGACATGAGAGCTGCCACAGAAAAAGCATGTCAGGTTCAATTGATGAGCAGAGGAAGGAGGAAGGGGAGGGAGATATGATAATGGGGCCTGAGCTGGGGTGGTACTGATGAGGTGACACAATTTTGGGGGTGCCCATGCTTGAGCTATGGCTGGGGCTAGGCAGACGAGATGCATGTAACATTCTGTGTAGGCCACATCTTCAATATTGAGGTCATGCATCTTCTGAGCAAGATCTTCAACTTCGTCCAAGGTAGACTTAGCAGGAGCTGATGGTGGAGGAGTGAAAGCAACTCGTTTAGTCTGTACTTCCTGTCGTACGTCCCTTCTTTTGTCTTCTTCACCTGAGTCTTCTAGTGGTGTGGTGAGTTTCGCTCGGCTAGTTCGAGGCACATTCCTGGACTCTCATATAGCCCAAATCCTAGTTGCAATAGGCTCATTGAGATCTGCATCAAAGGCGTCATCTGAAAACACAAAGTGTCCTGCTTTGACAACCTTTTTGAAGTCCATGGCTTCTGTCCTCAAGTAGTTTGTATCTGTAAGTTCCAGATGCCTGTCGATAGCACATTGAGTGGCAGTGGGCAATTCTTGCCAGAAATACCGGACTCATTCTCGTGTGGATATTTTTCCGTTAGTAACAAGCCAATGTGCTACAGGACAAAATTGCCTGTAATATTGCTGCAGCTCTGTCTCTGTTGAAATATCGTTATCAGCATTGCTAATGATGACATGTTCAAGATTGCAAATGGTATAACATTGACCCTTGGCTGTGCCTGAATATTGATCTAAAATACTAGCTTTGAACATGGTTTAGTCCCTGCTCTCATATCTGGTTAATGTTACCCAGAAACACTTCGTCATAATGTCTGTATATTGAACTATAGTCCTGCACTTCTGTTTATCCGTAAGTGCACAGGAAGCAGCTAAGTATTTGAAGAGTTCAAAAAACTCGAGAAGCTTGGACATTTCACCATCAAACAAGGGTGCTTTGCTTGATCTGGGGCTGGGCATCGCCAATATTCCCTCGTTTGCATTTGACATGAATGGCACAACTGTCAATGAAGTAGGATTTGAGTGTGATATGTGATGGGCAGAGGAAGAGGCTGAGATGGTGCAGAAGACAGAATTGGGGCTTGCGAGGCAGGTGCTGTGACTGAAGAATTCAAGGGAGTGATTTGAATGGTAGGAAGAGTGGAAGGATTTGTGGTTCTATTGGAGGTTTGGGACTGACCGGGGTGAGAGCAAAAGGTTCTAGGAATGATATGGGGGCATTGTAGATATCTGTTGCAGGGGCATCTTCGTCGTCAATAGAGGTTGATGCATCTTCTTTCATGCTTCTTCAGCAGTAGGTAAATTTCGATGGGGCGAGCACAATGGTGTTTCTTGCTGTTCAAAGGATTTCTGCACATCAGGATGGGTATGGTTTGAGATGGCAAAGATAGGTGGTCAAAAGACCGGGTACTAAGAGAAAGACTAGAAGATCATTAGTAGATCAGTGAATCCATCTCGGGGTGCAAGGGGTTGCTCGAAAACAATCCCCCTCACGGTGGGCTCCAAATTTGTAAGGCTAGTTGTGAGTTTGAAGGGGAAATGTAACAAGACGAAGTAGATAAGTGACGAGTGCAACAGGGAACAAGATGAGTAGAGAAAATGTACAAGATGAGGACTTTCTGTGTTAGTTTTCAGTCGAGCTTGGAGTGGGGAATCAGCATCTGGGATTCTGCCTCCACTTCGCTATAGGTATGAGTGTACGTGGGCAGTATATATACATTTTCAAATGGTTAACTAAACCAGAACGAGTGTAGGTATCATGTGGCAAGGTGAAAATACTCGGTGAAGGACAAGAATCGTGAGGTATATGCACAAGGTAAGATTGTAAAAGGAATTGAAAATGGAAGCTTGTATCCACATAACTTGGATGCGAAGAGTAACAGAGCCACGTCGTCTTTGCTTTGAAGCGTGATTGGTGCATAGAGGATATGCAATCCTTACACTACTTGAGGAGATCAACACTACCACTCTTGAGGTAGTAACAGCCCTTTATGATCATATCATGCAAGATGACTCTGATTCTGACTCGGATATCATTATGAACCTCTCCCCACCCTCTCCGATGTCCCTGTATGTCTCTGACACCGATGCATCTAGTACTAGCAACTCTAGCGACTCTAATGATATTATCACACGCTATGCTTGCCTCCTAGGTGCGATCAACACTCTTCGTGATGAGGTTGAAGCTGCAGATATCTTCAATCCACCCAATTGCCCTATTCCTTGGGCTCTGCAAATCCAGCTCTTATCTCACTTTGCAGAGGATCACCCCAATTTATTTTGCCAGAAGCTGCAAATTAATCCTGAAATTTTTGATGCTATTTTGGATGAGATCAGCAATCACCTAATCTTTCAGAATAATTCAAATAACTGTCAACTCCCCATTGCCCTACAGCTTGCAGTCTTCCTTAATTGTGCGGAGCACTATGGAAACACCACATCAAATGAGGATATTTCCCAATGGGCAGGAATTGGTGTCGGATCAGTCACCAATTGCACGAACTGGGTAATGATTGCACTACTAGATTGTCATGACAAGTTTATGTCCTTTCTGACTGCTGATTCAGACAATGCAGAGAAGGCTTGCCAGTGGGTAGAGGAGACAACTTGCTGAGAGTGGTGAAATGGCACTATTTGCCATTGATGGATCCATGGTCAACCTGATGAATAAGCCTGGCCTTCACAGTGAGGTATTTTACAACAGGAAAAGTGACTGTGCTCTTAACTGCCAGGTTTTTCTCTCTCTCCACAATTCCCTTGTGTTTAATTTGATTTTTTTTTTCATTACAGTTGCTTATCATGCCACACAACCTCCTTATAGCTGACTACTCTGTTGGCCATGCTGGAAGCACACACAATGTCCTTCACATTCCAGTCAACTCACCTCTATCGGCAGCATGCGGACCTTCTTGCCGATGACCATCGGGTATGGGCTGATAGCACATACCCAGTAGACATGTGGTGTACCCTGCCATTCAAGAAACTGCAGAATGGAGCATTGGCGCCGAATCAATGCACATTTAATTTCCATCTTTCCCAGGTGCGTTGTGTACTGCATTTTCAAAAGTGTCCCATTAATTTTAGATGGTGTAGGTTCGGGTTTGAGTTGAACATGTCATCACAGCTCTCAAAGGGCATTTCCAGTCTCTTCAGGAGCTCCACTGCACTATCAGTGCCAAAAAGGACCTTCACTATTCCAGCTACTGGATTTTATGTTGCTTTATCCTCCACAATATGATTGTTCGATTTGAGGAAAGGAAACAGAGCAAAGACACGGTTGAGTGGGCTCGTCACGAAGGGGAGCAGTTCTTAGCTGGACTGGGGGATGGTGTGGCAGGTGATAACCCTGATGATGGTACTCCAGGTCAACTGCATCAGGCACAGCTGATGGATCTCTTACTCAACAGTCCAGACCGTCCTGATGCAGTACGTAGATAGTTATTTCAAGTCAAAACAAGCCTGTACTAGTACATGAATACAACAAGATCTATGGACATAATGAATGTGCATAAGAGCATGTGAGCATAGAGGACTGACATATGTATATCATGAGTGGTGGAAAAACAAAAGCAAAAACACAACAGCACACAATAATAAGCACAATGTACAACAGTGACAACAGAGAGCAAATGAACAACAATTACAAAGCATGTGATGACGATGATCCAGCAGCAGCTGGCAACAACTAGTCTGATGAATGCTGCTGGAGCTTTAGCTGCTGCTCCCCCAGCTGGAGCTTACGGCGGATGAGTTCCATCTCCAAAGTGTGGGTTTGAGCTTTTGCTTGCTTGAGACAAATATCAGCATTCTTCGATTCTAGTGTGTGCTGACAATCAAGTGAACTGTTCAACTGTTGCATCAATTGTTCCCCAAGAGCGAACATCTGGTCACATTCCTTTTGATGGATTTGCAACTTGATCATCTTCTCAGACGACTTCGCACTGTCGTACTCAGCTACTACCCCTTGGGCAAGTAACTGTACCTTGTCGCAAACATCTGTGATATCAGATCACACACATTTGATGCTCTTCGCCTTGGTAGAGAATGACATATTCAATGTCGGTGTACACATTTGAACAGATCCAGACTGTCCAGATGATGAGCCAGATCATACAGATGAACTGACGATTGAAGATGCAATGAAGGGGGGGTGATGTGACTTTGGAAGAGGTGTGCGATTAAGTGCACGGTCTGCATGGGTAGTGAACAATGCTTGCATGTCATACAGTGGTGTCGTAAGTTGTGAAATATGAGGTTGAGGCGGTGGTGAAGGGGAAAATGGGTGTGGGTGCTTGTCAGTGTGATTCCTGCCAGCAGTTTCAGTTTCAAATGCCCCCATCTCATAATCACCCTCAACGCCATCACCCACATCCATCTCACCATCACCCACATCCATCTCACCATCACCTACATCCATCTTGCTGTTGCCCGTGTGCATCTCACTGTCATCTGGATATATATTATTGTCGTTCACCATGTCGTAATTAGATTCATCATCATTCACGTTAAATGACGGAGGTTGGGGGAGCTGCTGGGGAGGATTGGTATGAGCAGGAGGGAGACATCAAGAGGGATCTGGGTCATCGACAGTGTTGGTATCGGCATAAAGATCTTCATTGTCAGCAGGTAGGCAGCTACTACCTACAAATGTGGAAGTGGGAGTACTTTTTGTATGCATGATTGACTGCAGGTGGTCAGAGTGATTGGCTTTGGGATCTGATGAGAATGCTTTAGGGGCGTATGATGGGTTATCATGCCATAACTTGTCGAGGTCATCATAGAATGGGAACTGCTTTAACACGTCCTCTACAAATTTATTAGCTTTCGCTGTTTATTATTGAAGAAAAAACTCATGGCACAAATTGGAAGCTTCATCAGGATCAGTGGGGTCAACTCTACTGCCAGTCTGGTTAAATCTTGCCCACTGTGCTTGATATTTTTTCTTAAGGCTAAGTAAATCAGTGCAGGGAAGGCAAAGAAAAATAAAATAATGCTCACAATGTAAGACGATTTGCAATGGCAATCACAAACTTCTCTGGATGGCGATCATACAGGCTACTATAGTTGGCATCCTCCATGAAGACCTCACATGCAATGATGGCATGGATTTTGCCTTTGTCTCTGCTAGAAGGCTGCTCTCTGTCATTCTCGTCAGCAACATTTGAGTCTTCTTCTTGTTCTCACTAAAGAGTACACGGTAGTCTGTACAATGAGCCTTAAGGTAAGTGATGAGTGTCTGGGTACGATCAATGCCATGGCATTCCCATTTGATCATGAGTTTTTGGATAGGGACTGAGGCAGTCACAGCAGCAGGCAAAACAGTAGAGCTGACGAGGGGAGAAGCAGTGCTGGTGCTAGCGTTAATAATGTTAGCTTCTGTGCGTTGAGCTAGGATAATAGCTGTGCACTGAGATCGTTGTGTGAATGAACTGATAGACTATTACAAGAGCTGTGTTTGTGTGCTATGCTCGTCTGACTAAGCTATGGAGGCTTCTGAGAGCCTGAGTCTCTGGACTGCTGCCTTGGGACCCCTGGTCCATGCACCCCCCTAAAAACAATTGGCACCTGTCCTCAACGCCACTATCTGTTATCTTCCTCTGTTCTCATATCTTTGTCTTCTGCTTCAGTCGTCTTCCTTTCCACTATCTTCTTCATTATTTTCTGTTTGTTCTTCTTCCTGTTCTTCTCATGGTTCTTCTCTGCTCTCTCTGTCTGTGTTTTCTTCACTATTGTCTTTCTCCTTGATCTTGTTTTCGTATGCTTCTTGATCTTATGCTAGTTGCGTTCCTGCCCTCAGGGTGAATGCTCTGATCCGTCTTGCGCTGAATTCTCCCTGGAGCGGGATTCCATTAAGCGTTTCGAGTTTGTACGAGTTCAACACCCTTGCACTTATTCTGCGTGGGGCTGACCATTTCGGTATGAGCTTGCAGTTCAGCTTTGAACGTGTAATCTAAATCGTTGTGATAAACTTGAACCAATTGACCAGTTTTAAATATAACCTCACCTGGTGCTCGCTGGAGTAATTTCTTATCGAATCCCACTTTTCTCTTGATCGCGTAGCATACTACTTCGTCAGTATCCATCTAACCAGTTGTTGTTCAACATATGCTATTTGGGCTAATGCTTCCAAGGTTCATAGTGTCGACGTGCTGTCTTCTATACTCGTTGTTGGCGTGTTGATTATGAGTCCTAGAAGTAGTTCCTTGGGGGAGAATTTCAGTGCTGGTAGTAATCAATGATTGAGAGCATGGACCGCATCATCTAGATGATCCGGCCATGACTTAGGCAATTTGTCCCATGTTGTCTCTTGATCCTGGTCTTCTCCTACTTCCGGTGCGCATAGTCGCTTTAAAACATGCAGTAAAAGCTTATTTGTCCCTTCCACTAGACCGTTGACCCAAGGTGAATATGCTGCGATGGTATGTACTTTGCATTTTCGTGATTTGCAGAACGCTCTTATGGCGTCATTATTAAAGTGTTTACCTCTGTCTGCCATGAACGTTTCTGATGGTGTAAATGTGTTGAATATTCTGTTCAGGCTGTCGATTGTCGTTTTTGCACTGCCTGAGGTTTTGTACTTGAATACCCAGGTATGTTGCGAAAACGTGTCCAAGTAGACTCTGATCGTGCTATGTCCGTTCTTCCCTTTTGGTAATGTGAGGTAGTCCCCAACTAGTAGTTCGAATGGATGTCGTCTGGTAATTGGTTCAAATAGTGAGTGCATATGCGTTGGTCCAAAGTTTTTACACTTAGCGCATTCCTGTATGGCGTCTAGGATTGATGTGTCTAGTTTCGGACTGCATATTTGGTCTAAGAGTGTGATTTTGATTGCGTCTCGTCCCCAGTGGCCTCCTTCTGCATGGGTTCTTGCTGCTAGTGCTTTTGCTTCTTCTCTCGAGATGCACTCTACCTTGGTTCTTGCTCGTGTTGATGTGCTGCCTTGCAGCTTCCAGAGTTTTTCGTCCTCGATGATGTACTGTTCGGCTCTGTGTCTTGCTCGACACTTCTGCCGGATGTCCTTGTCTTGATCGAGGTTACCAATTGCTTTGATGACTTCCTTGAATACTGGTTCGTTTGTGAATCTTCTACTGAGTGCATCTATTGGTTTGTCTATGGGCGTTATATGCATGATGTCGTTGATTAATCCCGTTCTCGCTTCCCAGTCTTCGCTTACCGTCCATTCACTCCCATCTCCTGGTGCTGGCTGTGTATTCTCCCACTTTCAACTAAGGCCGTCAGCTACAACATTTAGCTTTCCCGGTATGTGCCTTATGTCCACTATATGATATGCTAATATTCCTTCTCTCCATCTTGCGTGCGGTACGTTCAGGTGCGGGTTGAGTAGTGTGTCCTTCATTGCGCTACAATCTGTTTCGATTTCAACTGGAAAGCCCCATATTATGCTCAAGAACTTGTCCAAGCCGAATTTGAGTGCGGCGAACTCCAATAGGTAGGATTTGTACTTCTTCTCCATTGTTGATGTTCGTTTTGATGCGAAACCTAACGGGTGTAAGCACTCTGTCCATTTACCCGTTGATGTTTGTGTTCTGATCCTCTGCGCTAGGACTGCTGCAAATCCTTCGACGCATCCATCCGACGTTACTATGAAGTGCGATCCGTCGTATCTGGGCGCCTGTAGTACTGGTCTTGATGTTATCGCTGTCTTGAGGTCTAGGAATGCTTCAGTGTGTTTTTGCGTCCAAATGGTACTTAGCTTGAAGCCGCTCATGGCTCGACAATATGCTGCTTTTGACATTGCATTGTCTATCGGTACTTTGAGCAGTAAGTCTCGTAATGGGCCTTCTCGTTTTGCGTATGCGTTGATTAGGGTTCAATAAAAACCTGTTAGACCTAAAAATGAAGCTAAGTTTTGTGTGTCTTGAGGTTGTTTCCAGTCTACAATTGCTGTGAGCTTCATTAAGTCTGGTTTGACTCCGTCTCGTCCTATTGTTCCCCCTGCAAAATCTGTTTCTGATATGCAAAGTTTCATTTTACTTGGTGCGATTGAAAATTGACATTCGCGAAAACGCTGAAATAAAACTGTTAGCTTGTTTATCATTTCTCTAAATGTACTTGTTGCGCAACCGCCGTCATCCATGAATAGTTCCATGTAGTGCGTTATAAGGAGATTGTGTAGCCTCTCTGCTAATGCGTTGCAGAATGCTGTTGGCGCTCCCGTGATTCCCATCGGCATCCTCTTATACCAAAAGTATCCTCTTCCTTCAATGTAGAATGCCAGGTAAGGTCGCCATTTCTCCGGTACTTCTATTGCATAGTATCCCGCTGCGAAATCGAAAATTGAAATATACTTTTGACAACTTAACCTTTGTTGTTTTGCTAGAATGTCCCCTTGTGGCATTGATACTACCTCCGTTACCTTGTTGAGTTGCGCGAAATTTTGACAGATTCGCCACTTCTTTGGTCCTTGTTCTACCGTTTTGTTGTCTGGTGGGGGCAGTACTTCTCGGGGTGGCATTTCGTATGCTGGGCATAATCCTGCTGTTCAATGCTGATCGTTGATCTGTTGCTTCAACTCCTCCCAGGGTAAGCCGCCTGTCTCGTGTGCTCTCTGCGCTATGACCATCGTTGCTGTGCAGCAGATCAACTTGGGGGGTGCTCATTCTATAATGCCTGCTGTTAGCATGTCATTTGCTCTTTCGTTATAGAACTTTGATTGCTCTGGTGTTAGCAGGCACTGATGCATTCGCAGATTGAATATTGCGTTTTCTGGAATGTTCAAATTTAGTGTCGCTCCCGGGATTGAAACTACTTCCTTCAATGCTAGCGCGAAGCTGTCCGCATTGTCCACCATGAGTTGTTCTAACTCTCTCCATTCGTCTTCTGTTAAGTTGTCTCTGAACTTGATTTGTCGTATGATCTCTTTAACTCTTGCTGGGTTGAACGGGTCCGTTTGTCATGTGTATATCGCTGGACTGCTTGTTGTTGGTTCGATCTCTGGTAGCTCTCCTAACAGTTGATTCTCTTCTTCCTCTTGCATCATTAGCACGTTCATATTGGCACTATGCGCTGTGGGGTCAGTCGTGTCAACGCTTTGCTGCTGTGTTGATTTCAGAGCTATCATGACTTCCCTTGTGGGGAGTGTTTTTCTCCCCGTCGCATTTTCTTGTGCTCTGGCTATCTCTCTTTGTCTGACGTATATTCCCGTGGGCTTCCACTGGCCCATTGGACTATTTGACGGCTTCCTGCTACCGTTCGCGCTCCATGGTGCTCCTTCCGTTCGCTGTTGTTTCTCATCTAGCGTCAGGTTGACTGAGTCTTCTCTTTGTAGCATTCGTTGATCTGCTACTTGATTGTTCAATCGAATCTTTTGAGTGCCGTCGGTTATCACGATAGTGTCTGTCGTATATTCATGAATTGCTGTGAATGCTTTGAGTGTTGGTTTCCCAAACAGGAGGCCCCAACTTCCGCCGCTGTCAAATACTTCGAATGTGCTCTGCGCTTTGATTCCTTTGATTTTGATGGCTCCCGTCCACTTTGCAACTGCTCTAACCATGCTCCCGTTTGCCATTCATAGGTGTCTATCCGATGGGCTCCAGTTATGTTGTCTGTGTTTGATTTTTTCGAAAATTGATGTGCACATTGCGCTGACCATGGCTCTGTCATCAAATAATGCTCGAACTCAAACTACTTCTCCTTGTGGACCCTCTAGTTCTATCCGATGAATGAATGGGATTGCCTCTCCGTTTTCTAGCTGGGGTCTTGTGACATGTGGGTGTCCAACCGAATACACATCAGTTATCTTGATTGTGTTGTGAGATTCAATAGTATACACGGTATTCCTAGTTATACGTCCAGCAGAAACTTCGGGGCTATAGAACTTGTCATTGTCCTCGCACGTTGCCTCCTTGCATGCAAGGACTTCAACTCCAGCTTGGGTATTCTTAAGACTCTGGGTCGATTTATTGTTCCGTTTACGCCGACCCGTCCGCTTTTCCCTGTTGCTCCACTATGTCTTCGATCCATGCTCCCTGTGTCTCGTAGCTGTTGCTCTGTTGTAAGCACCTAACACTCTGCTCGTGATTGCTCTCCATGCTGATTCTTTACGTGTTAACCGTTCTGCATGATCCGGTGGTAATGGGCAGTTTCGTCCGTTATGCCCGTGGGTTCCGCAAGCGAAGCATTCGCTTGATGCGATGGCCACTGTGCCCGGCTTCAATGGGTACCCCATCTCTTGTGAGACTCTTGTACTCTCTCACCATTTCGCATTCCATTGTGCGAGTTGTGCTGCTGTACGCTGTTTGCCCTATTGCATTATCTGGGTGGTGAGGTAGTGTGTGAATCAGTTGTTGGACTGCTGGTCTTCATCTCTTCTGTTATCATGAACAGCTGTTGCGCTGTGGCTGGCTGACAGGCTGTATGTGGGTTGCTGGCTCTGTTGGTTAGACGTTGCTGAGACTCGAGTGAATGTGCTATTTGCCGACGGTGCGTGTGGCGGGATTGTTGGGCTGAGCGCCATCTTGCTGAATTGATTCTGAAGGTTGGCCATTGGGTTCTGTGGTGGCACTTGTAGCTGAACTCGGGCTACTTCTGCTCGTAATGCCTTGAGTTCTTGAGCTTGTCTGGTCCTCTGTTCTTGCTTCTCTGCTAGCCGGCTCCCTTTTAACTCTGTCACTGCTTTCGCAAACTCTGTCCACGTCTTGTATTCTTCGTCCTTGAGTAAGTCTTTTACGACGTCTGGTAGCTTGCTGCGAATTTGCCAAATCATCGATGTACCTTAATCGATGTCTGCGTTGGTGGCGAGCTGTAGCGCTTTCGCTGCCCAAGCGACGTGCATCCAGCATTCTCTATCGTAGAGTTTCGTCTTCTTTCCTACTTCTGTGCTTGGCAACACATGGTCTAGTAGCTCTCTCTCATATTCTGCTTTCGTCTTTTCTGCGATTGTGACTAGCGGCCAGCGTTTTTCGAATGCTATTACGAATGCAGTCCAGGTAGCCTTATCTGCGGGGGGAAGTGCTTTGAACCATGTTTCTGCTCGCGAACTGGTTCCGAGATAATCCCCAAAGGCGTCTAGTTTGTCACTGCTCGTTGCTATGGTCTGTTGGCGCATTGTGCGATTGAATGGTTTTAGGAAATCCACTGGATTTTCTGATGCACATCCATCGCCATGAAAGATCTGAGGGGTTTCTGCGTGCATGTTGATCTTTGGTTGTGCGAGTGCAAAGAATCTGGCTAAGTCATAGTCTGGTACTGTGGAGATGGATGTGAGTGGTTCTGTTTTTTTGTAGCGCTGTAGTGATTGGAGTCTAATCGGCGGTATCTGGAGATCTAGCTCTGGGATTTCTAGTTCTGGGAATGGGACGACATTATTGTGCTCTTCGTCTTCTTCTAGACTGCTGAGAGATGAGCTGCTGGAACGTTCTGGTGTATCTAGTGGGGAGGATGCGGCTGATGTTTCTGCTGACCACACTGCCCAGTTCGTTTTTAAACGACTGTTGGTCACCACTTGTCCTGTTGCTGTTCTGGGTCTTAAGCTATCAGTGCTAGGCATCAGGTGTCCACGTAAAAGTAAGATAGACACAGCCCTTTTTTTGTAATATGTGCAGGTTTTTAAAGTGTGTTGCGACGTAATAAGATTGCGGATTTTTTGTTTTTTTGTTTTGTTTTTGGAAATGGCTTGTTTTATCGTTCTGAACCGACGTTGTCTATATTCTGATCGAATGGCTAAGCTGAGATTGCGAGTTAAGACTATGAGCGATGGCTAAATGCTAAAGCAAAGCTGGGCTGATTCGAATCTGCTCTGTTCACCACGATGAGCTAGGATAATAGCTGTGCACTGAGATCATTGTGTGAATGAACTGATAGACTATTACAAGAGCTGTGTTCATGTGCTATGCTCGTCTGACTAAGCTATGGAGGCTTCTGAGAGCCTGAGTCTCTGGACCGCTGCCTTGGGACCCCTGGTCCAGCGTCCTTCTGCGCATCCTCTTATCCCTCCCCTGGAAGTTCCTCCTCTTGTTCCCCCTTGTGTTCCTGTCCCTCCTCTTGTTCCACAATTTCCTCTAGCTCAGGTAGTCCTTGCAGTCGTTCTGACCACCGTGCATGAGGGCAAAGGGCAGGCATGGTGCTTAAAACTCTGCCTCAAATCTACTGCATGTTTGCCATCCATGGTGACTGTGTCAGGGTGCTTCCTGAAATTTCAGGAAGCAGCTCTGAGGGATGCTATTGTTGTTTCTTTTCGCATCAGCAATATCACTGATTCCTTATTTAGCCTTTTCCTACTTAATGACCCTTGTTTCTTGTGGACGAGTCTTTTGCACTGCCTTAAAGGTTACTTTTTCTACTTATCAGAAAGTGATTCAAGTGTGCACACAAGTAGTAGCATCATGGCTCAGCTCTTACCAATTTCCCAGCCATTCGGCGATCCCCATGAACCAAGTCACTCATGTGCAACTCAGGTCTGGTCCACAAGGCACCTGAACCAGCACAGATAGCACAAGCCAAGAATATGGGAACAATGGCTTGCATCAGTAAATTCACACATTCCTTAGCCCAACTTTTTTTGGAAAATTAAAACTTATTTTTGACTTATCTATATTTATTCACTTGGCTTTTACTTTGATAAGTCGAATAAGGAAGCACGTGGTATGCAAGTGGCGAAAAGCAGCATGAGTGGGATCAGATGCGCAAAGCCCAAACAAGCGCAGCAAGCAACATATCATTACTGATCTACCAACTGCTAAAACTCTAAATGCATCTACACCAACATCTCAAATGCAATCCAGTACATTCTTCAGCTTGTTGGTTGTTCATTGATTGATGCTGGAACCTTGACAGACGATCGTACAATACATGGTGGCCTCCAACTTGAAACCAAGATCAATGGGCTCAGACCAAACCAGGGCTTAATACACAAATGAAGTCTAGATTTGGAGGTTCTTTAAGAAATGCCCAAATCACACAAGCTCATTGATGTTTCGAGCCACACCAGAAAGGTGTCTGATACAGTGAACTCTGGTTTCACAGCACCCAAAGAATGCAGAAAGTGTTGCCTCCTTGCCTCCTTGCTAGAAAGGTTTTGGTAAACATTGATGTTCAAACTGCTTGCCGAGAAGGGTTTGGTGAATATTGACACCTTGCAGCAAAACTATTGGTCAAAATTGATATTCAGGCTACTGGGGCCAGTGAAAAAGTACTGGTAGACCAATATTTGGGAGCAGCAGGTGTGAAAGGATCATGGTAAACTAGTAGGTACATCAGCTTGGTAAGGGTCAATGTAGATGTTTATTCAGAGTCAGCTTAGACTACAATTTTTGAAGGATGGTGACGAAACACACCTTGTTGTGAACTACCATCGCCCTCAATTTTCTTAGCCTCCAAAACCCTCCATTGATACCATGCCTGCCAGCACAGTTCCAAAATGCATGACGACTCAAGCTAAGAATGCAACTCAGCATCCAGGACATATTGTGACCAGGGGCAAAAACTGCATAAAAAGATGTACCAAAGCTCAAAAGGCTGCTGATGACCAACATGAAGAAGAGGAGAAGGAGGCAAGTAAAGCAGCTATACAGGAAGCTCATAAGCACGTTGCAGCATTTCAAAAACAGATGCAGACAGACCAAGCTGCTGCGCGTGCTGATGCACCTAAGCCTAGCTGTCCTCGTCCTGTGAAAAAGGCTGTGAAAGCCCTAGAGACCACCGACTTGACTACAGCTGCCAATAAGGCTGTTGGTGCCATAGGCAATTGTGGCAGGGCTGATAGATCAGCAGCCAGTGCCAATATTGAGCATCCTGGGAGTGAAGACAATGAGGAATTGGAGGTGCAGATGCCAGGAGCACACAAAAAGAAGGGAAAGAGGATGGTGATACCAGTGAAAACACCTGTGAGAGATGCAATTGATGTGGCAGGTGCCCTTATCGCTGGTGAATCAACACAGGCACATGATGATGATAAGTCATCTGATTTGGATGTGTAAGGCATTTAATCATTTTAACCACAAAGTTCCATCTGACCGAAACATCTTTTTTTTCAATCTTATGGTCTATGATAATGATGCTAGCTCTACACCAGCTCCTAAAAAATTCAGCCTTGCTGGTCGTATCCTGAATTGGAGGTTGAGTATTCCCATTGGTGGTTCAAAGCCACCCTCCAACTTGAAGCACAGACCTTCTGGAGCACCTTCTGCTATCTCTAGTACCACTTCCTCCTCTAAGCATACTAGGGGGGAGCACTATGAGTAGTGGTGGTGCCTTACTCACACCTATCCATACTCTCAATGCTGGGGCCAACAACATGTCGGATCTTTTTACAACCCTGTTTGCAGACAATGAATTAACCGATTCAGTTGAGCACTCTCAAGCCCTTGCTCGTATGTCAAAATAAAAGGCTGCTCAGGTGAGTCCAATCATCTAGTTTATTTCCATGTGCTAACCACATTTCCAGGGTGTCAAAATTTCTCAGAAGGTCCCAGAGAATTCTCTACTTCAAATGAACTTAGCCCATCACAATGCCAAGCTGGCACCCAAGCAGCTCGACCTGATTGAGCCTGATGTCACCACTGATGATGGTGCCTTCAATATCATGGACAATGATCTTGAAATAAATGCGAAGACTGCTTCTCTAGTAACTTCCCTTGTTGACTATGAATCCGACACCGATAGGGAATCTGATCTCAAATCTCCTCCTTCTGCGCAGGTTCCCAAAGGATATTCGAGAAACCATTTCAATCTGAGCTTATCATTCAGGTTCTTGTCCAGCACACATGTGCCACTTGGGGCACTATTGTCAGTCATCACACATTAACACATGTGAAAGGCACTCTCAGTCTTTCCACTGCAGTGGCATGTATTTTCCCCCTCTCTTCACAGCATGGCTAACTATTTTATGTGTTCCAGGTGGAACGCGCCATCCGTCTTATCACTGGGCCTTTCAAGACACTCGTCAGTGAATTAGAGGTGAACAGCAAAGGCAAGGCCGTCAAGATCCCTCACTCTCATAACAATTCCTCAAGCAAGATCAGCAGCTCTTGAAAGGCCTTTTCGGACACCAACTTCGGTGTCATGACCAGGTGCTACATGACGTCCATCAACCGCCTCCAAGAGTCGGTCCTCCAGGATGTCTGGGAATGGGTGAAGGAGATTGCCCTTAAGAGGCGTGGTGTGTCCTCCACTCTAGACGAAAACTCTGAGGATGAGTGTGCACTCATCTTCTAGTACTACTAGTTGGTACTGTCTTTCTTCTTGCCCACATGCATCTCACTAACTTGCGTCTTCAAGTAGACTGCTACTACTCTTCGCTTCGTTGAAAATTTGCTGCTGCTACTATTGCATCTGAAATTCCTTTTTAATGTCTTTTTTCCATACTTAATCTACTTGTCGCTTGAAATACAATCATGTTTTGCAGTCATTTTTCTCTCAAAAAGTGTGATTAAGTTGGAAACATGTAGAAAATAAGTGAAATAAGTGTTATCACTTGCTGCTATTTGCTAGTACTTGCACTACTTGCAAAGGTCAAGTCAAGAGGAGGCATCTGCTTTTTCGACTTATAATTGCTTGTGGCAAGTTGGTGTCACTGTTCTTGTGAGTGACTTGTCCGCTCCTTTTTTGGAAGTTAACCGGCGGCAAGTTACCAAAAAGGAAGTTCAAGAAATATGTGAATTTACTGATGAGTCTACTAGTTTGCATGAAAGGTAACCGAACATTGTAAGGTATGGCTGGTGGCAGCGAGACCTCTATTTTCTCCATTCCTCGAGCGGCAGTAAAATGCAAACATGTTTGTGACGGCAAGTAGACTACAACGCAACAGAGACTCGCACAATACAGTACAAGAGCCCGTGATAAAAGAGAAATCAAATCCATTTGAAACGCATGTAAGCCAAGACTCGTAACTTTAGGTCTGCACTCTTCGTCGACGATCGTGATCGGTTCCTTTGCCACTCGATCAAGGCAGGTTACCGTCACATTGATCCACGGCCACAAACTATGCGGTGGTGCATATAAAGAGCAACTACCACGCCAGTGAGTCATGTAATTAAACCCGGGACGCAAACTACTCATACTTACGCACCATTCATCCCAAGGGCAGCCTCGGCAATCTTTGTCATCCGAGCAAAAGAATTTGCAGTCATCAAGGCTGTCAGCGTCATTGGCAGATATTGATGCTGTCAAAGCAGCAACAACCGCGAGGACAAAGGTGAAACGCATTGTTTGCGAGGATGTAATATAGGATCAAATAAATCTGAAGGGGACAGTAGGAAGACACCTTGGTTTGTGTGCTGAATATTGTTCTCCCATATGGCGATGTAGGAAGAGCTTATATATCCACCTGGAATCCTGATGATATCTGAAATGCCAGCAGATCGCCACCTAAGATCTACCTTGTGAAGCAAGGTCTATTGGTAATTTGGCGTAGAACAAAGTATCTTCTTGTGAAGCAAGGTCAATGTAAGCTCGCAACTTGTTTGGTCTCCTACTTACATTGTGTTGCATATTAAACTGCAGTGCTGCTGTTTCAAAACTCGGCCTCGGTACGATACGCGCCCCGTATTTATGACTGACCGGGGACGACCGGCCGTGAGTCACGTACCATTCACTATAAAACTGGAATCACCGGCAGGGTTGATGGATTATCTGATTCACCTGGTAAACCGGTGGTGAGGCCTTGAAACTTTGGGTACCAATGCGACTACTCAACTTTTCCCTTGAAAGAAGTTTGTGCCATGTTATTGAGATGCTAAGCTATCTACCAGTCAACATCCACCATTTTTTGTATCGTGAATGGTGAGCAAGAGACTAAACCCGTCAAAAGCCACGAATGCCCGGGTACATCCAGTAGTACCAGCACTTGGGTGTGAGAAATCTGTGACACTACGATTGTCATGGCACGCGCTGGCACGCGTCACTGCTCCCACCTGTTGACGGCAGTCATCAACTTTGCCGCACTTGACGGTTCTTTGTGACTTTTTTCAATGCATCACAGTTAGCACCTGTGAATCTGCGACTCCCACATAAGCTCTGTAATGAGTAGTAACAGACCGGGCCCTCCGCACCTCTAAGTAGTGTTAGTTCGATAATTGATCGATATCTAGCTGTAGGGACTTGTAGACTTTGCCCTAGCCGTGCCTATATCTGACGAAAATGGCATTGTGTGGCAAGCATGCATGGGTCTCCACTTCCACCCCAGTTTAAAAGTCGCCTCGGGCCCACCACACGTAGCTGGTGCATTTTTGCAAAATGTCGATGCGTCAATGTCCAGATCAGAGCAGGACTCTTCCAGTCTAGCGCCGTTTTGCCGTCTGATCTACACCTGATTGCGAAATTCGAGTTACTTCAGTGTGGGTAAGTTTTTTGAACCCTCCTACCTGAGACATGATTCGGATGAACCTGTCATCGTTTTTGATTGTTTTGATTCCGCCATCCGGGGGTGCACTTTTGGTCAACGTTGGTTCACCGAGTCTTGAAGGAGAATTCATTATCGGTATAAATGTCGCCGAGGAGGATCATCCTTTTCGCGAATTCTGCGGCGAGGCGATTCAGCATACAGGTGAGCACTAATGCACTTACCCCGCGTCAAAGAAACTCGTCAATTGCGTAGTTGAGAGAATCGTCCTCGTTTCTATAGTAGAAGCCCACTTGGAGGTTGACTGGAGTTATTTGTGTCCTCAATAATTGACGTTTCTTTTCGAGTCAGCAGATCATAATGCGTGCATGAGGGCGTCTGTCCTTAAGGAGGTCCCCTAGGTCAATTGACTGATCGCCCCGCATCTGTCCAGACCTTTGCAATCAGTTCCATCAGGTCTACAAGAATGTAAGTGAGATGGATAAATATGGCAATGAATATTGATCGCACCAACGTTGTTTGTGTTGAATTGATCCGCGTCAACGAGCACGCCAACCATCGCTGATCTCAGTGTCTAAGTCATCACAGGGCCCATGATGGGGAATTTGCGTTTATGCACGTAGTCCACAATCATCGAGTCAAACTAGCATGAAGCCAATGTCAGATCCCCGCGAAAATCCACCTTTAGTAGTCACGCACCCCAATGTGAGAGTGCATCACTAAGCTGATACCAAGCAGTACGTCAAGGACGGGGTACGATAACCCGGAGATCACGAAAGCAGCTACGGTCATTGGAACGAGGGAGACCGCAAGAAGTCGCTCAAGTGCACAGTGATATGAGTCATGCGTCCTGGATGGAGGAGACTCCATAGGGTCGTTGACTGTGCCCTTTAAAATAGCTGTCGAGCGTAAGAGTGAGCTCGTCTGGTATCAAACTAAAGGGTTCATGAACGTACATCTACCTGGGACATATTGCGTAGCGGAGCTTGCCGCTCTCACCGGAGAGGCTGATGTTCTGGTTTGATGTGCGTTTGATGTTCTGCAGTGGTGTGCATGGAGCTGAGAATGCAATAAGTGGACGGGATGTTCCTCATTTTACGGGCTGATGCTGGAGGTTGGACCTTGGAGAATTGATGGAGAGGGCGGCCTTGAGACTGTAGAAGGATCCTGGGAGGAGTACACTAATATGGTATATGGTAAGTCTCAGAATCCAGTGTGATACTCACTACGGACTCTCGATCAACGCCTAATTAAATACACCCTCAGCACCCACCTCTAAGCCTTGTCATCCCCCATGCTTTCCGTGACTCAAGAAGTATCCGGCGTGGATCAGCCCAAATATAATCAGTGCACACTCAACCATCTATTTAGTCGCGCCATAGATTATGGGAATGAATGATAAAATGGAAATGATGTATGAAACTCACTCTCGTCCGCCGCATAGACAAGATCGCCACTCCCCGAACCAGAACCAGTATAAATAGAGCACCCCAGCGCATCCGGCCTCCATCCCTCTATCTCCACTCGCGTTGCCTCCCTTTATGATGCCCCCGTTTTGAGCAACGGTATAATGTGACCATGTGGTACCAGGTGCAGCGGGATTAGGGGGCAGGAGCGGCAACGACAATAGGAAAGAGAGGAGCGTGAGGAGGAGCGAGGTATGCATGGATTGGTGGATAATGTGGGGAGTAAGGGGTGAGAGAAAGTCGTAGTCGTCAGAGTTAGGTAAAAGGAGCTACTGAAGGAAATTGCTTACGAGAGGCGCCCATGAGAATCGCTTGAAGGTTCAGCTACTCTCCGAGGCTAGCGGCGCGATTGGAGTAGGTGAGTTCTTCATTAATGTTTATTCGGATGGTAAGGGGATAGGATACGTAGAGAGCACATTATGGCTGCTATTATAGCAGCGAGAGAAGGAGTACTAGACGCCTGCTGTTCCACATGAAACTTAACTCGACAAGCAAGAATGGTAAAGGTGGAACGCACACAAGACCGCGTAGGCAGAAATCCAGACGCCAGTAGTAGTGTATTTCCACCCACATCTCCACATAAGGACCTCCTCCACTCGATCCTGCAACCACGGAACTAGGGCTGGCACAAGTACTTGGGAATAGAGGCATGGAGAGGTTCTGCGGAGTGTGGAGAGACTGTGTTGGGCTGAAGATGGTGCTAGTTGTAGGTGGAGGAACAGGTGAAGGAGATGATGATGGAAATGACGTGTTGATTTTAGTGAATGGACGGACGGGGTTACTCGAGGAGGGAGGTGATTGGAAACGGCTCGTGTCTGGGGGAGACAACAACTGAGTTTTGGCGGTGAGGGGCGCTCGAGCCATTATATATATCAGCTAACAGTCTTTAAAGTCAATCTAACACGCGCTCACTGTCAACATCTAGATAATATCTACGAGCACTACAGCTGGCAGTGTACCACATACGTCTCAAGCCAAACTCGAACGAATAAGTAACCCCAAGAAAAATCAATCTACAATATAATTCATACCCTATCCGTGGACATATAGATGGATACGGCCATGATATATGATATAGTTTTAGATGGACACACTGAGTGCTCATCATGCATAGTAACAGTGCGCCAACCCTGAAAGTTAACCACAGTATCCATGCAAAATGAACAGCTTAAGAATCCTCGACAGGAACCTTCGAAGCTGTAGCGTGTTTTGAGAACGGATCAACGTGTGTTCGTTGCAGGACTCGCTCGACTTCCTCGACTCGGAATCGTACGAACTGAGAAAGTGCAACAACGAACCAAGCTTCAAAGTTTGCGTGTTGCGAGAAGGAGAACAGCTTATGTAAGTAGGACACGCTGGAATTACAACGTGAACGCGCATTTCAAGCTCCGATTGAAACGTGAGTGGATCGAAATTGAGTTGGCCGTCCCACCGACGCCATCGCCCATCTCGCATCTTATCAATGCTTAGATGGTCTCTCCGTCAAGGATCTCATGGACTCCCGCGTCCATGGCGGGCTCACTTATAACGACTTCCTCATGCTTCCCGGAAAGATCGATTTCCTTGCTTCTGATGTGATCACGGATACTAGAACCACTCGTAATGTCGTTCTAAGAACCCCGTTCACGAGTAGTCCTATGGACACCGTCACTGAGACCGAAATGGCCATCAGTCTCGCGCTGCCGGGTGGTATTGGTGTCATTCATCACAACCAGTCCCCCGAATCTCAAGCAGCCATGATCCGAGCCGTGAAAAGACACAAGAATGGATTCATCACGGATCCTGTGGTCTTCTCTCCAAATCACAAGTGCGTTATGCATTTCACCTGTATCACTTTACGGATGATTTCCTTTACCAATAACCTTCGTTCTTCTGAGCAACGGGTTTCGCCTGTGATCTGCGGATATCATTTGTATTTTGGCATATCTGATCTTTCATCTCACCGTCCCGTGCTCATGTGGTCATAAAACCGATGCTTGTTCTCCAGAACCGGGTGCTTGGAAACTAAGCTTGTCGACATCGTCACCTCACGCGAATTCGAGTCGCCCGATACACTACTCCTCGAATTCATGACTACGTCTCTTGTTCCTGCATATGTCATTGACTTCATGGACCACGTATGGCAACACCGAGGTACGAACCTTCTTGTGTTCGTTTAATCACCGTGCGCAAAGAATAGATATGACGTTCTAATGCGAATTTTTCGCTGTACGCATTCTTTACGCACTGAGTCTTGCCAACTGTTGATTCGAGCTCCATGGTACGCTGCCACGCACATCGGGCCTCAACTTCATTCTTTATCGTTAGCTAATGAAGACCACTTCTGCCATCCAACGCAACCGAAGATGATGTTGAAAACACGCGCATATCTGCCTCACAGCTCTACACCAGCGGTTCCACAGACGGGAGATTCTTTGTATTCCTCTCACCTCCTTCCAATACCTTACGCTCTGCCGTAGGACAGTGGCTTTACATAAATTATAGTTGGTGGTCTTACTGTGATTCGAGGACAATAAACGGAGTTTTTTTTAAGAAACACTTCGCGCTCGAGCGAATTTGTAGTACTTTGAATCATAAACAGTTTTCATCGAGGCCCACACAATTACGTCACAACGATTTTCAACGTCCCTTGCAAATAGCGCACTTCAGCGTGTTATCTCCAAAGTTTGCAAGGCATGTTCAGTTCTACGTAGCCAGGGGCAGCACCCATCAAACTTCCTTTTTTAGCCAAGTGAATCTCAAACCTCAAACTTATCTTAAACTTACACAACTCTTATCGCATTGGCAAGCCACTGAAAAGTACAACCCTTGGCCCCATCCATTCCATTGCAGTGGATTGCATTTCCTGGTATCTGAATGATCATTGATGCGTTTGACAGCGTGTCGCGGGGTTTGGTCCTCATGCACATCGTGGTCGGCGAAAGTTAGCAGCCCGCGAAAACAAGGCGCTCTACACGATATTTGCGCATTGCGGCCTCGTAATATGATATGAGATAGAACCTTCTTCAAGGACGCCTTATGTTCGCCCACTCTGAAGCCCCGCGTACTAACTTAGTTGACCCAAGGCGAGCAAAGACAATCAAATCGCGCCTCCAATCATTGAGCAACCATGGAACAAGACTCATCTCGAGAAATTCCGGTACCATGGTACGTTTCATAATGATCAGGAACTTACTAAGCCTGAGGGAACGATCTACAGGGGGATAGTTCTCAGGGCCCGTCGCACACCCACGGTCAGCTTCGAGCAGCCAGGTCGAAGGATTGAGTCTGATTTCAAACGTTCCCGAGTTCTACCGCTGATTGAACTGGTGTACGATGACTACGTGCATTCTTGCGCGAAAACCGGCTGATGGTAGGCGAAACAACGATCACGGGCAAATCTCGGACTTCCAGGTGAGAAATTAAAAAGTGGATGCTGCGCCGCTTGGGCACCCTCGGCTTTTCGTTACTCCCCTGTCGGTGTTACAGAGCGCTTGAAATTACGGGTAGTACACTTCTGCGGTATATGCTACCTGTGACCGGTCAGGGCTTCGGACATGACATGACTATACTGGACTGTACTCCGTTTACGTTGTCTATTTTTTATATCGGAAGTCGGGATCAAGAGCAGGTGTCAGATACTTATAAAAGCAACGATTATGGGGTGAGTACTCGTTATTGGGTGCTTGGTATTAGCATCTACTTCCTCTCGTATGCTCGATATAATGCTCTTCATTTTTCTCCTATGGCTTCATCTAGCACATGCAGCATCCATCATATCGCAATCCACTTCCTATCCACTCAACGCTCATTCGAATATCCGAGGTCCTAAAACCAACCTAACAATTTCTAATAAAGTCATATCTCCAGACGGTTTCGCGCGCTCGTGAGTTTGTCTGATGAATTTTTTACACCTTAATCATTGTTATAGTGCAACGCTTGCTGGAGGAACATTTCCAGGTCCAATTATCGCAGCCAAGAAGGTTTCTTTTTGCCAATTTGATCGAGCCTTCAGGAACTAACTAAGTTGAAGGGAGAGAAATTCGAGATAAATGTCGTGAACAGACTCACTGACGATGGAATGCTCAAAAGCACCAGTGTGGTGGGTATACATATGTTCAGCGCTCATGAGCCAGACTTATTCCACTCTGTTTAGCACTGGCATGGACTCAATCAGAACGGGACTAACTATGTAGATGGAGTCTCGTTCGTCACTCAATGTCCCATTGCGCAAAATCACTCCTTTCTGCACTCCTTCGATGCTGGGGAACAGACGGGAACCTACTGGTATCATAGCCACTACTCGACACAATATTGGTTTGTTGACCTAAAGTGTTTTGAAATTTGCAATAAATGACCTAAACCCATTTAGCGATGGCCTTCGTGGGGCTTTGATTATCTATGATCCTGAAGATCCTCTATCCTATTTATACGACGTTGACGATGGTATAGTGATTAGTTGTCAACATGACGAATTCGGACACTTACAGCATTTCACAGAGACCACCGTAATCACACTCGCTGACTGGTACATCTCGTAATTATTTGCGACTTGAATCCGCGTCACTAATCGATCATAGGTACCATGTGGTTGCCCCTGTCCTGAGCCATCTAAACATTGGTGGCATCACTGGCAATTCAACACTCATCAACGGTCTTGGCCGATACCAAGGGGGACCCAAGAGCAAACTTGCGGTGGTCAAAGTGAAGCACGGGAAGCGATACCGCCTACGCCTAGTAGCAATGTCCTGCCATTCCAACTTTATATTCTCCATCGATAACCACAACCTGACGGTCATTGAAGCGGACGGTGAGCTGACAGAGCCCCTCCTCGTGGACTCGCTCCAGATACTTGCTGGTCAGCGATACTCTGTTGTGCTCCATGCGAATCAATCAGTCGACAACTACTGGATACGCGCATTCCCAAACACTCCAGACTCAAGCTTCGTCGATGGCCAGAGCTCTGCTATCTTGCGATACAATGGTGCACCCGTTGCAGAGCCAACTACAAACCAGACAACAAGTACTATGTCGTTAGTTGAGACCAACTTGCATGCGCTCATCAATCCCGGTGCACCCGGGATTCCAGAGTACGGAAAGGCAGATATCAACTTGAAAATGGTGATCAGCAACACAGATGGACTATATTCGATCAACAATGTAACATTCACGTCCCCCACGGTGCCCGTACTGCTCCAGATCCTCAGCGGCGCACAAGATGCAACCAAACTCCTTCCGAATGGAAGCGTTTATGTTCTAGAAGCTAACAAGGTCGTTGAACTGACGATGTTGACTGCTTTCTATGGTGCTCCTGTAAGTTTCACGCACGTTCGCTAAGTTACATACATCTCATGGTATCCCCCTAGCATCCGATTCATCTTCACGGTGTAAGTATTTCTGGATACCAATCTGCGCCTCATTACTCACTGTAATGATAGCATAACTTTGATGTCGTGCAGAGCGCCGGAAGCAGCTCTTTCAACTATGTCAATCCCGTCCGCAGGGACGTAGTATCCGGAGGGGTTCTTGACAACCAACAGATGGTGATTAGATTTGTCACAGATAACTCCGGTCCATGGTTCCTCCACTGGTGAACACGGCGATATCTATGGATCCAGCACTAGTACTAATCTTATCATTCACCTAGTCACATTGACTGGCATCTTGAAGCGTGCGTTTTGCGAGTTCTCTGAAACTCTGCAGTAATCTGACCATGTTGCCAGTGGTTTCGCTGTAGTTATGGCCGAGAGTCCCTCGGAGACTCGGAAGCATCTGGGTCACATACCTAGTAACTACTTTCGATGTCCAGCTTATGCTCTGATTGAACTGATGGTATGCACAGCCGCATGGCACGACCTTTGCCCGATATTCGACTCGTTAACCCCAACCCAGATTGGAGCGGAGAATTCGTATAAGGAAGCACAGAATATCACCACATCACTATTTCCTCTCACATAGTGTTCACTGTTGTATAAATCGAAGAGATAGCGCTACCGGGACTCTTATAACGGAGGCCGTTTTGTACTACAAACACTATAGCACCTGTGATAACGTAGCCTATCATCGATCATCTCACCCACCACCTTTCTGTGTAATCCATACGAGTTGTCCAGACTACGTCCAATGTTGTGCACACGCGAGCTCTGCATGACACTTTGTATTGTGCGAAACTATCCCCAATCGTTACTGTAGTATTTCCACCTGTTCAGGTCTTGACATCTCATCTACCTTTTGCAGGACTAATAACTGACTCCTGCCCGATGCCTATTGACTGAACTTCTGAAGCATGTCGCTAGCGATAGTCGTCAACTCCTTCACAATTGTGGTGATCCTCTCTCCATGCACCGAACCTTGCACATCCAGTTCTCTGAAATCATCGTTGATATCTTTTATAAACTGTTCGAGACCAGATTTCGAGGCAATCTGCATATACTTCTGTGTGCCGTCCACAAGGATGGGAAGGAACTTGGGATGGTGTGGGTCGAGCATAATATGGCCGACACTAGAGCCCCATGCCATACTTATCACGTCCCACCACTCTTGCGTTGCGAGAAAATCAAGCGATGTAACCGACGACTGCTCAGGTGCGATTTGGAGGAGGATTCCAGTTATATAATATCATAAAAAGGCCTACCCTTTCAGGTATGATTTGCGGCGGCAATCTACAAGCAGGCTGATGAACCAATCTATATGGCCATCCCTGATCAAATTTGGGTGCCAATTGGAATTCCCCGCGAGGACAAAGACCAGGTAAAGACAGGTAGCGTCGCGGAGGCGGTCAGGATCATCATCAGTAGGTGTTATACCTGCTCGCGGACAGACCGCAGTCAGGAGAGTAGGGGAAAATTTGGTCAAAGCCATGTCCGCATCATCAGTGGTATCGATCGAGGCCAAGACTTCTCGGGCGTTGTGAGCAGCGTGAAGGGCAATATGACGTAAACGGGGAGGCATGCTGTTGCCCATGCAGGCGATGAGGCTCTTGATGAACAGATGTTGTTTAGCGGGGTTGCAGATCACTCCCGTGCTGCACAGGATCAAAAGGGCTTCCCCTGCCGTCTCGTGGTCGTCGGAATAAGCGTAGTCGAGGCAGTCCACCACCCAGTCGAAGTCTTCTGGCAAGTTGAATCGCCTGCCAGCCAAAGCGAAAACATTCCACACGCTGTCAGTGTGCCAGGACCTATCGACAGCGGTGAGCGTGAACTGCAGTGCCTTTCGAAAATGTTCTAATGACACCCAAGAATCATTTTGTTCGGATTACCTCGCTCGCAAATAAATCTTCCTGCACATATCCAGGTTCAGCATCGTCTGGGGTCAAGGTAGATAATCTCAAGTAAGCTCGATTATGCGACAGATGTCATCGAGGAGGTGCCATGCTCGGCGCCCAGCCCTTGTGCTGTCTTTGTCGAGATCCCCTCCATCGCATGCCCAGAGTGCCTTCTGGAACTGCGCCAAAAGAAACGTAGCGAGTTGAAGCAGAGCAAAACCACACAATCGCTTCGTTAAAAATAGCAGAAGAACCAAATGGGTCAATGACACCTTTTATCAATCTGAACTAAGTCCTTGTCAAACTGAACCTCAACCATGCTGCAAGCGAGAAGGGTGCAGTTGGCTACGATTTGATTCGACGGAGATAAAGACTCGGAGCCCAGCAGCTTTGATATGACTTCTGTGGCGAGGCGTTCTACGTGTTCATCCACTCGTCCAGTAAGAAAGTGGTAAGGAAAAAAATGTGAAAGCCACTGGGAAACAGAGTAGGGACAAGAAACCAATTCTGCATATTTCAGGGTCGAGTAGCTATCTTACGATATATTGCAAGCCGTGGCAAGCACCGTGAAGCTGTCCATCTCTGGGAACTGCATGTCATCAAATACGTCACAGTCCGTGCTCTCCTGGCCGAGGAATTCACCACGGCCAGGATGTGCCTGAAGAACACTAGATGGCAAAGAGCTATTGTACATGCCGATGCCTTCTCCTTCAACGACGGTACAATGCACCCCTAAATATTCAAGCAGGTTATGTGAATATCATACAGATGATGCAGCATGTCTGTAACGTCGAGATCCAGGGGCCATTCAACATGCGGAACAAGGCTAGCAGCAGCAAGAAATGTTTCAGGATCCGTAGATGTCTCAAGCAGCCACTTGATGCTAGGTGCTTCGAGACAGCTGGTGGGTATGTGCGGGAGGCTGAGGTTCAGGGGGTATTCATTCTCCGCGAACACGTTCAGGTTCCGGTCGAGCGAGTGTGCTTCCGAGTTTACAACCGTCGTCGAAGAGCGCAGAAGCAAGAAATGCAGCCCGTTATGAGGCGCGGAAAAGAACTGCTGAAGAAAGCGCCGTGCGAATGATACCGCATGCACAGGACTTGTGGAGCGAAATCAGCGATGGGTGTCGTATGCGACAGTAGCAAAGACCATCACCTGCCAGTGCGAGGACAATCGAAACCAACTTGACCTGAGGGTACCAGCAGCCGCTGTAGCACACCTAACAAGAACGGTCAAAGTTTGGACATGCGTAAGAAAACGAAACTTGCCGTGCACCGATGTTGTCAGCTGCTGGAAATACCCGGATGCTGGTTTGAACATCAGGAGTAGGACTCCTGCAATGTGATTCAGACTGGAAACAATCACCAGAAATCACAAGAGAACTCACTGTCAATGCGCAACATGCGCAACATTGTCGATATCGGCGTTTGAAATGGACAGGGGGGAGATATCAAAGATGCCATCAGTCAGCGAATAGAACAAAAATCCGAAGACCGTTGTTCCGATGATGCTATGCTGCTCATACCACATGTTGGCGCTGAGGGCGATCCCAAAGAGAAGAAGCGAGATCTAAAGGAAGATCGGAAAGGATTGCACGACGGCATCAGAATATCAAGTGATGATGCCTTCAAATTGCGCTTCCCGCGTTTCTCAGGCGAGCCGCGGCCATATTTGTTCGACTTGCAGTACCCAAGCCACTGCTTGCATAGTGCGGCGCCGAATGCAGCGAGCAAACTCATGGACAAGCTTGCGTAGGCGATCGTTTGGATCCTTATATTCGGCGTGGACGGTGACCACGTAGATGCCGGCGCTGCTGGAGTCAAGCCCGCCTTGGCGAGGTTTCCGAGTCCAATTTGTAGGAGCTGCGTGAGAAGGGTATTTGTGGTGTTGCTAGGGCCAGGACTGAGATTCGACTCCATCGCTACGATAAAAGACGTGCTGACGGCGGAGAATAGACCGAATTGATCGAACACCAATTTCAAAACGAGTCAAAGATAAGCATGCGAAACCTACGAAGACCGATACAATGTCCATGTCGCCGTCGTGTTCCTCCGCAACTCTCCTGTATACCGCTCGGAAACGAGAGCGGCCGTCCCTACCATCCTTGAAGGTATTTATTGAATTATGGAGAACATCCAACACTTCCTTCATGATTTTCATTCTGTGGGTATATTGTCAGCTGTCAGGCTTTTTTTTCGCTCACAAGTCACGTAGATTTGGCTTCCGCACCACGATATCTTCCGCCCTACTGAGACGATCTATGACCTTGTGTTTAACAACATCACTAAGTAGAACTTACGCAGCTAAGCCGCCCTTGGGTGAAAGATTGAAAACGCTTTCCAATGTGTGAGGTTCCGGTGGCTGGCAAGGGGTGTTCGAGCTGAAGTTATGGTGAGGAGGATGCAGAAGCATCCGGGCGAAAACACTCACATCCCCAATGGCAGCTTCACCGGGATTTGTATCATCACTTATCTCTGCGATTTTCTGACCCCTTTGTTCCGTCCCACCAACCTTGCTTTGCAGCCAATAGGTACATATTCCTCATGTCAAGAGCATCAAGCACTTCTACACATAGCCGAAGGCTGTCGAAAGAGAGTAGCGTCGACGACAGCCAGCATCAAAGCGCTCACAGCGACGTGCAGCTTCCACCTGAAAATATTACCGTGGGACACACCGAGGAGTAAGTTGTTGCTTACTGGAACCTATACCTCATCTGACAGCAAGAAAGCGAGAGGGAAAATTGCGGACCTTCGGTGACAGAGCCGCCAGTTTGGCTCATCTGCGATCATGACAAACACGTGTTGATACTGAGGGGTTCGCGAGCGCTGGACTGCAGCGGAAATGAGCAGCCTAGGCCCAAGTAGGATACAGTCAGTTTCTGATTTCCGCGGTAAGGACTGATTCAAATGATCCAAGGGCATACGAATTCTGTGATATATAGTATTAGATAGACGCGCTGAGAGAGAGTATTGCATTTTGCATGCTCATTATGCACAATAACAGCGCCAAGCTTGACGCGGATATCATACAAGATATGCAGCTTGAAAGTTCTCCACGGACCTTCTGTTTCTTGTTGTACGTAGGACTCGCTCAACTGCTCGATTGAAATTTGTGGCAGTTGGACTAGTGTTGAACAACGAACGAAGCTTCAAGCTTCAAAGCTAGCATGTTTCGAGGAGGTCAGCCCATGCTCGTTGCAGGATTCGTTCGACTCTTCGACTAGTACTGCGAGTCAAGCAAGTGCAACAGCGAGCGAAACTTCAAAGTTAGCATATTTCAAGGAGGACAGTCTGTGCTCGTTGTAGGACTCGCTCGACTTCCTCGACTCGGAATCGCACGAGCTGAGACAGTGCGACAACGAACCAAGCGTCAAAGTTAGCGTTAATTAGCCTGCACTCGATGTAGGACACGCTCGACTCCCAGTCCTGGGGCTACAACGTGGACTACAACGAGCGAGAGCAAGAGCAATTCAAGCTCCGATCGAAACACGAGTTGATAATGAATTACAAAATTTCTGATTCGAGTTGGCTAAAATGCCCGCCCCATCGAAAGCAGCAGTCCTCTCTCCCACCGACGCCATCGCCCATCTCGCATCTTATCAATGCTTAGATGGTCTCTCCGTCAAGGATCTCATGGACTCCCGCGTCCATGGCGGGCTCACTTATAACGACTTCCTCATGCTTCCCGGAAAGATCGATTTCCCTGCTTCTGATGTGATCACGGATACTAGAATCACTCGTAATGTCGTTCTAAGAACCCCGTTCATGAGTAGTCCTATGGACACCGTCACTGAGACCGAAATGGCCATCAGTCTCGCGCTGCTGGGTGGTATTGGTGTCATTCATCACAACCAGTCCCCCGAATCTCAAGCAGCCATGATCCGAGCCGTGAAAAGACACGAGAATGGATTCATCACGGATCCTGTGGTCTTCTCTCCAAATCACACCGTTGCAGACGTCCTTGATATCAAGGCGCGTCTTGGTTTCTGCGGTATCCCTATCACAGGTGCGTTATACATTTCACCTGTATTACTCTACGGATGATTTCCTTTACCAATAACCTTCGTTCTTCTGAGCAACGGGTCTCGCCTGTGATCTGCGGATATTTTTTGTATTTTGGCATATCTGATCTTTCATCTCACGGCCTCGCGCTCACGTGACCATAAAATTAATGCTTGTTCTTCAGAAACCGGATACCTGGGAGCTAAGCTTGTCGGTATTGTCACCTCGCGTGACGTGCAGTTCGAGTCGCCCGAGACACTCCTCTGTGACGTCATGACTACCTCTCTTGTCACCGCTCCTCAGGGTGTCACGCTCGGGGAAGCCAACCAGATCCTCCGCGCATCTAAGAAGGGCAAACTCCCCATCGTCGATGACGAGGGTCGTCTCACCTCTCTCCTCGCCCGCTCTGATCTCCTCAAAAACCAGAACTACCCGCTTTCTAGCAAGGACCCCACTACCAAGCAGCTATATGCCGCTGCTGCAGTCGGCACGCGACCTAGCGACAGAGACCGCCTCAAGCTCCTTGTCGAGGCCGGCCTCGATATCGTCGTCCTTGACTCATCGCAGGGAAACTCCGTGTTCCAGATCGACATGATTCAATGGATCAAGCAAACGTTCCCCAAGCTCGAGGTCATCGCAGGCAACGTCGTCACTCGCGAGCAGGCTGCCAGCCTCATCGCTGCGGGGGCAGATGCCCTCCGCGTTGGCATGGGTAGTGGCTCTATCTGCATCACGCAGGAAGTCATGGCTGTCGGTCGTCCACAGGCCACAGCCGTGTTCGCTGTTGCAGAGTTTGCGTCCAAGTTCGGTGTCCCGGTGATTGCAGACGGTGGTATCAGCAATGTGGGGCACATCGTCAAGGCACTTGCCCTTGGTGCAAGCGCCGTTATGATGGGAGGGCTTCTTGCAGGTACCACAGAAGCACCGGGAGAGTACTTCTACCACGATGGAAAGCGTGTGAAGTCCTACCGAGGCATGGGTAGTCTTGAGGCTATGGAGCAGGGTAGACCGGGGGCGTCTGATCAGGTCAACGGCAAGCCCGGCTCCACGAAGCACGCACCACAACCCTCGAGCAAGCCCCATGAGAACGCCGCCACGACGCGTTATTTCTCCGAGTCCTCTGCTGTCAAAGTCGCACAAGGTGTGTCGGGTGACGTCCAGGACAAGGGCAGCGTCAAAGCGTTCGTCCCATACCTACACGTTGGCGTTCAGCACAGTCTCCAGGATATTGGGGTGCGCAGCGTTTCGGCGCTGCAGAAAGGCGTGAAGGAGGATCGAGTGAGGTTTGAGATCAGGACGCCGAGCGCACAGGTGGAGGGAGGCGTTCATGGGTTGCATTCGTGAGTGTCATGACTTTATATTGCGATGCGTCGCTGATGTGTGCTGCAGGTACACGAAGAGATTGTATGCTTGATATGATACGGCGGTTCGCTATGCCAGCTACTACCCCATATGACCAGTATTTTACATGTAGGTTCCTGCTTTGTATGCATAAAAACAAGGGAAATTTGTATGTACATCATTGTCGATCGAAGAAAGCTGTGATCATCTTGTTTCAGCGAACTGGCTTGCGCCTTCAATGTCAGGCTTAGGACAGTGAGTGTCGCTTTCAGGAAATTCGATCTTTCCACAGGCAGGATCCGTTCCCTCGGAGGTTAAATTTTAAACCTACCGTTGTGCCGATGATAGAGTTTGGCATCCACGTTCGGTCCTGTGTTTCTATAGCCCGCGTCCTATGTAGACGCGCTGAACGCGGACCGACATGCGAACTAATGAGCCTCCGACAAACCATTCCCACCGGTCTGATCAGCCTGGCTTATAATATCACGGATGCTCCAGGTATAGTCAGCGCGCATAGGCACTGCAGAACGGTCAGGAGTCTAGGCGCACGTGAGCGTGCAACTGTGACTGAGCAAACAATGCCTTTTGGATAGCCGCAGTCAAGCCACAGTAATGATTGATCTTATCTCTCCCAACAGACACAGGTTAACCCAAACTTGCATGTGTCTTCTGAAGGCCGAAGCTGTGTAGGCAATGTACTGCCCTTACGGAACAAAACTAGTCACCTCTGTGTAAGCAAGGCGTCTGCAACTACAACTACAGCATACGTCTATCACTGGATCTCTTCATCTCCATCGCTATTATTAGAGTCCCCCGCCGACTATAAGGTTCGCTGGTGCGTACCAAGGCATGCGCTCGCTCTGTTTACTCACGTTTGTCTAAAACATTACTGTTAGTCGCCCGCTACTATCCGCTCATACCTTCTCCCTCTGCTAGATCCAGACCCCTTCCACGTCCTGCCCCCGTCCGTACCCCTCTGAGTGTTACCCCTACATCCAGGCGGTTTCCAACTGCATTGATCCACTGACGTCTGTAAAGCGCTGCAGCAACTTTCTCAGTTATGCAGCACGAGGAGGCCGAATCAAGCACGTCAGCACGACGAAAGGAAGTAGAACGAGTGGCGTTGTTAGACTCGCCATCATTCGTTGCTCCTCGCAAGATTGCAGACTATTCACGCAAGAGTGCAAATGATCCACCGCCCTATGGTGCACAGCACCGCCAGGACGCGCTTTGGGAAGGTGAGCAGCCTCGTTGTGGTGCCCATCCACCGACTCACCAGGAAGCAGGCGGGAATAACGCACTCCCTCCTCTGTGGCAACAGTTTCAGGTGTTGGATCATAAAATGCTATATCAAGACAACAACCTGGTCATGGGTTCAGGGAACAGACCTTTACCAGGAGTGCGATTAGGTGAGCGAAGATTACTAAGCGCGACTGAGAACGATGGACTCATGATTGAGGAGGCCATAATGCTATATTGATACATCCAAACTGGACTATAAGCCTAGAACTAGGATACATCATTCAGTAAGATTATCCATTATCCATTGGATGTATCCCATGGTGGATCCCATATGTTGGATACACAGCCGCATTTTTCGCATTTTTGAAACTCAGCTGTTTGTCATTCCAAGATATATTCATTATTCACAAAACATATCCCATTTTGGTCACCTCCTCATGTCAGGTCTCCCCACATTATTCCCACACATCACATGTTCGCATTTTTCAGCCACACAGTGTGGGAATTACCCCACAACACCAAAAACATCGCCCATTTTGGGAATCTCCACAATATCAATTGTTCCCACACCCTCCCCATATCACTGCAGCTTCACCACCACACCACAATTGCTCCCCTTTCATATATAAGTAGTATTTTAGTATATATATGTATAATATAATATAATAGACCGCTTTTTTTGTCTATTTGTGTGCCTGCTCCTCCTCCAGGACCCTTTCAAAATGATGTAGGATACAAAACATTTTCGCACTTTTGCCCCTTTGACAAGGAAGTGTCCTAGGGTATTTGGAACATGTTTATGAGTATATATGAAGATATTCCCAACTTTATTTGACCCTCTGAAGTGTCCTACATCAATAAATATAACACATATACAGAAAAACACAAAATATGTTCCCATTTAATTATTTGTAGATGGATAGACTTGGAAAAATGATTCCCAGCACCTATTCAGTAATATGAACAATGTATCAGGAGCCTAGGACCATAGGATAATCCCCTGTTGCATGGTGTGCCCCCCTTCTCCTGGTGGTTTACCCCCTGTGAAAATTTTTCCTGTAGGACCGGACCTCAATTGAGGTGGGGGGTCTATTCCTAAGCATATTTAGAGTAGATATATCATATATTCAGCCTGGGAGACACACAGGATCCATCTACAGGAACAAAAATATACAATATTGTATGGTTGGCATTTTTGACGTTTTTTAGTACATTACACTTGCACACATGGTCCACCCTGCTCATTTATAATCAGTAGTACATGCATACATGTGTTCTACACTAAATATCAGCTAGATATAGCGCAAAAACATGAGATCTGATGTAGAGGGGGTATTTCTACTGATCAGAAGCCTACATGGTAGTCAAGCCTGTGATAAGTAATCAGAGACCTGTGATACCTCCAATATATATCCCTTATGATGTCCTCAAAGGCTTAGAAAGATCCGTGAAGAATTGATGTAATGACAGGCAAAATGACATGTGTGTGAAAAGTGACAATTGAGATCTTTTTGCACAAAGTGACATTTATATATGATACATGTCAAAGATTTCATTTAAAAAATGTAGGATAGATTGTAAACTACCTAAGGAACCTATACTACCTACTGCCCTGAGGGTAAATGGTGGAGGGAAGGGATGTAGTGTAAACATGAGTTGACCCAGCATTAAAGTCTGACTACTGCTCAACTGACCATTTTCGATGTTTTGGGTTTGTGGTGTTTCCCACACTCAATTTCATATCTATTTCACTTCCTCAGCACTCAATCATTGTTGGATTGTTCTATAAATTTATATATATGATGCTGTATATATTCCAAATGTACTCCAGGTTTCTGATCATTAATATTTGATGTTTTGAAGGCATGGACCCCTTATCAGTAGAAATAGCAAGCATATACACTAGCTCACAACTCCAGCCTATTGTGAGCTGATCTTGGTCATAAAAGCAAGTATATATGCTATGCTCATTATATATGAACAGGTTGGATCATAGATGCAATGGTAAGATACTGAAAAACATCAAAAATGTCAAAAGTGCAATTTTGTATGTGTTGTTCCTGTAGATGGATCCTGTGTGTCTCCCAGGCTGAATATATGATATATCTACTCTAAATATGCTTAGGAATAGACCCCCCACCTCAATTGAGGTCCGGTCCTACAGGAAAAATTTTCACAGGGGGTAAACCACCAGGAGAAGGGGGGCACACCATGCAACAGGGGATTATCCTATGGTCCTAGGCTCCTGATACATTGTTCATATTACTGAATAGGTGCTGGGAATCATTTTTCCAAGTCTATCCATCTACAAATAATTAAATGGGAACATATTTTGTGTTTTTCTGTATATGTGTTATATTTATTGATGTAGGACACTTCAGAGGGTCAAATAAAGTTGGGAATATCTTCATATATACTCATAAACATGTTCCAAATACCCTAGGACACTTCCTTGTCAAAGGGGCAAAAGTGCGAAAATGTTTTGTATCCTACATCATTTTGAAAGGGTCCTGGAGGAGGAGCAGGCACACAAATAGACAAAAAAAGCGGTCTATTATATTATATTATACATATATATACTAAAATACTACTTATATATGAAAGGGGAGCAATTGTGGTGTGGTGGTGAAGCTGCAGTGATATGGGGAGGGTGTGGGAACAATTGATATTGTGGAGATTCCCAAAATGGGCGATGTTTTTGGTGTTGTGGGGTAATTCCCACACTGTGTGGCTGAAAAATGCGAACATGTGATGTGTGGGAATAATGTGGGGAGACCTGACATGAGGAGGTGACCAAAATGGGATATGTTTTGTGAATAATGAATATATCTTGGAATGACAAACAGCTGAGTTTCAAAAATGCGAAAAATGCGGCTGTGTATCCAACATATGGGATCCACCATGGGATACATCCAATGGATAATGGATAATCTTACTGAATGATGTATCCTAGTTTTAGGGCTATAGCCCAAAAGGATATATACATCCAGCAAGATGAGGTGGATTGAGCACAGATTATCCTGGAGATCTTATTCCCAGATGTGAATAGTACATATCACCATACGGGTGGTCCTACTTCATCAACCATAATACTCAGACTACATCATGGAAGAAACCTGTGCTGGAACATCCAGCAGGGAGCTTGATGCTGGAGCGCATCATTGAGGGTCGGTCTCAATGTATATGGGATGTCGCATGCTTGAGCACTAGTTGCAATATAATGAGCTTGTCATCCGATGGTTCAATTCGTCAGTGGACAAGAGACGGAAAACCAATAGGGAAGCCTTGGGTTACTAGTGACGGAGGAGTGGTAGCCTCGATAGGAGTGTCTCCAGACGAAACTATGGTCATCAGTGGATGCGCAGATGGCAGAGTACAGCTGTGGAACATAAAGGAGGGCAGCATGGTAGGTAAACCATGGGAGGGGCATACTGATGCAGTGAGGTGCCTCGATTGGTCTCCCGACGCCATGGAAATAGCTAGTGGATCGGACGATGGCACCATACGACGATGGAACCCAGATACTGGACGACAAACCGCACCATTGATAAAGACCCGTCATGGTTGGGTGTATGCCATCAAATACTCTCCGCAAGGAGGTGAATTCGCCAGTGGTGGGGCAGATAAGATCATCCACGTGTGGTCAAAGAAGGGCAAGCTACTCATCGAGATCAAGGGACATGAGAGCACAGTAACATCGTTATGTTGGTTGAAGGATGGCACACGCATCTTCTCCGTGTCCTCGGATTACACCATCCGAACGTGGCAGTCGTTTGATGGAAAGGAGCTCGCTGTTCTTCGGGGTCATACCAAGGCCATCACATCCCTCCGTCTTACCCCCGATGAACGTTATCTCGTCAGTGCATCAAGGGACTGCTCCGTTCGCATTTGGGACCTCAAGATCAATCAGCCAGTCGGAGACCCACTTTTCCATGATGGCGAACTCTTGGCTCTTGCCATATCCCCTGATGGAAAATATGTTGTCAGTGCTCAATTGTATGCACAAGTTTATGTATGGAGCCTAGAGGCAGCACTCAAACAAAAGGCCGGTGATCAAGGTGGCATGCGTGTATACATTACTACTGTCATTGGCGCCTTCTCTAAATAGACTTTGGGTTCGCACAGGATGGCAATACAGAGCCCGACTTGAAGCTCAAGGTAAGTCATATCTATGTGTCTCATGCTGCATCTCACTTTTTTACCAGGGATGCGCAGCTCCACCTAGAGACGTGCGCCGATCAGTTGTGAACATCGTTCTTTCACTTATTCATCTTGTCAGATCTTTGATGTCCATTTCATACCTAAACGGCAGGCCAACAACGGAGGCATGGCAAAATATGTCAGTCTAGTTTCCATCTCTCCTGAAATTTTGCTGACACTCACACAGGGCAAAGACTTCTTTGGTGATGCTACAGACCGCACGCCTCATCGCTCAGCTCCACTTGCACGCTCATCATCTCCCTTTCAGTGGCGCAACTTGTTCAGTTTCCTGCACCCTAGCACTCAACCTGCAGATGCACCCCAACCAACACTGCCCCAGTCATGGTGTTGGAATTTCACCTTATCTCCTGTCAGAACATCCGGTTCCGTCATTGCTGCTGCTCATGAAGACAATGTAAGTAGCTCATCACCGACATTTGTCCTGCTTTAATATCATTCACAGAGAATCGGCATTGCCCCTCCATCTGAGGCGGAAGTAGCCGCAGCTATGCAACGTACGAACGACGATAATGCCAACATTTCACTGCAACAAGGTCAAGCTGCAGTGGGGGCACAATAATCTCAGGCTCAAGTTTACAGGCAAGGACCAACACCAACTACTCAGAGGCAAAATTATGCTGCCAGCAAAGAATCATATGAGGCAATATGCTGTGGATTTTGTCGTCACACTAGCCATTAGGCCCTCTGTGAAGCTGATGCATGGGGTGAGCGTTCTTTCCACTTCCACATGTGCTCAAGCAACCATTGACCCATCATGAACATGTAGCTTGCCTTCATATTAATGACACCCTTGCATAGATGTTTCTATCTTTGCCACATCAGTTATTGCAAGTATCTGCAGATTGCATATCTGGACGATTTATGGTTGTAGGTTATGGACATCCTACAGAAACATGAGCACTCAGCCTGAGCTTGGTAAATGTTTCCTGTGGTGTGGTTGGAGCTATCAGCGGCCATGGCGGACATGCGCCTCACGTCTAAGCAAAGAACCTACTATGCACAGCCTTTGATTGTACCGCCGTGATGAAGAGACCCTCGAGTCTGACTGCTCAATCACACAACTTTAAACATGGTTCAGCCCTGACTTTATGGCTACGAGTGAATTAAGCAGGCCCTTAAGTTAGAGAAGGAAGACAGCCAACCCATTGGGGAAGCGTCAAGAAGTATGCCAAAACCGGTGACATGTCCTTATCTAAGCTTATCAGATATCTCATTTTTCAGATCATGACTTGGCCTGCAAACATTTGTTGTAACTTGCAAAATAAAATATCTGACTAAGTATCGCATCGCAGATTGATATTGAACGTGAACTATAAGGGACCGTACTGGACAATTTGTTTTTTTTTGCTTTTGGCTTTGCGAAACTTGACTTGAGCTTAGATGTTGGAATGTCTTCCGCGTTACTAGGATGTTTTGATTTTGATTTTGATTTTGATTTTGATGTGTTGAGCTTGGCTTTGGTGTTGAGCTTGACCCTCGGCAAGTGCCGGCAGAAAGTCCAGCGTCCACATCGCCGGCACACTCAATAACTATCTCACCACGCACGTTCCCCGCATCCACCCAACGCCAAGCCCCAACGACACTGTGCGCTCACCCCCAGAACAACACACTGACAACTGCCGGCACAATGGTTGGTGAGTTTTTTTGTTCGTTTTGTTGTCTTTCTTGTCCGTCGGCGGCGCGGCGCGGCGAACCATTACATCCCTGGTCCAACATGCCTCTTGGAGGCGACAAGCCTGATGGTTTTGTTCGTTTTATTTTATGTATACGCTACTGACAATTTTTCACGTCTGCTTGTTCCTAGACCGAGTTCTTCCCCTACGACGCTCGGTTTGGCCATCCTGCTCCGAAGCTTAGTGGTGGAGTATCACCCACCCTTTCTTCACCTCCATTTACGGCGGGCAACACGTCGTACTGCCATCCGATGCTCATTGTTTCTGCTTCTGCTGTTGATAACCCATGTAAACCCACAAAGTCACCATCAGTAGTCAAGGCAAATCAGCCTAATTAAGTATTTCATGAGCAGCTCGATAGTCTCGAGGGGAATTTATTGATACCCATGGCTGTAATTAATATGAATAAGCTGTGCAACTGTTGAAGTTGTCTTGCGTTGTGCTTCGTAGTGTGCTTGGCGTGGTCGTCATCGTCGTGTGCCACTAGTGGCACACAGCGAGTAAGCGTGGGAAACAGCGACGAAACGCGATTTTACCAATGACGCCGACATCCTTGGGCTTAACAGTCACGGTCTCGAGGGGAATTGGCTGTAATCCAACATAAGCTGTATTAATCACATAGAGTAGAGTTATGATTATGTCGAGGCAGAAGTCAAAGTCAAGGTCGATGTCGCTGTCGAAGGACACACCTTCCTTATTCGGTAAGATCAAAGTCGAAATCAAGTTCAAAGCAAAACTCTAGAATTTTGTCCAATACGGGCCCTCATAGTGAACCTTCCTTCCTCACTTAGATCATCATGACCTCCAAAGATGGTTGGTCCCGTCTTAACTTAAGTGCAGATACAGCTACTCATGACAACTTCGCAGTGCTCGTTGGTGTCATCGGTGGTAGTGGGCTATATCATCTTGATAACCTGACTTTTGTGTGAGTTGTGAACTAGATCAAGCTATGTCCTGTGGCTCATGACTACCTCCTCAGAGAGAGAGTTAATCCAGAGACTGTGCGTCTTCATCCTCTAAGAGTCCCCACGAGCTTACCCAATCTGCATCGCTGTCTTTTCAGCCTTGGGGATGCCCATCTTCGCCCATTACCATTTGCTCGCTACCTTCGGGATCTAAGATCGCCTTCCTTGCTCGTCACGGGCAGCACCACTCGATCGCACCGTCGGCAGTCCCTTCTCGCGCGAACATTGCAGCTTTAAAATCCTTGGGAGTCCGGGTTATTCTTGCATTCAGTGCTGTTGGCTCGCTACGGGAAGAGATTTCCCCGGGATCTTTTGCAATTCCTACGCAGATTATTGATCGCACGAAGGGCATACGCCCAGCCAGCTTCTTCGAGGGCACGAATATCGTCGCTCATGCTGCATTTGGTGATCCATACAGTATGAAATTGATCCGTTGGCTGGAGGTGAGAGTAGAGAAGGCTCTTGCGGACGAAGGTCGAGGAGTGGTTCTTCACAAGGACAAGTGCATCGTTTGCATGGAAGGTCCTCAGTTCTCCACCAGGGCTGAGAGCATTATGTATCGAGCGTGGGGTGGGGATCTCATTAATATGAGTGCTTTGCCTGAGGCGAAGCTAGCTCGGGAGGCAGAACTGAGGTGATTTGAGCATTCCCTTAGCTTTGGCTTGTACTGAGAGACCATCTAGCTACGGGTTAATCGCAACTGCCACAGACTATGATTCATGGCGTCCTCATTCGGAAGCAGTCACTGCCGCGGAAGTGTTCAAGACTCTGCAGGACAACGCTAATACATCGAGGCATGTTGCAGCAGCAGTTCTCGAAGATCTTCATGCTGCCGCGTTAGATGGGGACATCTTAAGTGAAGAAAAGGGCAGCATGCGTTTTTCTATCATGCCGCGAAGTGGCGAACAGAACCAGGAAGATATCAAGAAGCTGGCCTTCATTCTACCCGACTACTTTACGCCAGGCGATATTGCTAACTAGATGGTACCATCTCAATGTTCCCTGGGAGTGCATTGCACAAGTTTATAGACGGTCTAGATACCATATATTTCCTTCAAAAATAAATCTTTTCATCGCCTGGCAATCTGACAACTCGTGGGACCAACTCATAGTTTTCGAGCTATATAAAACACCAAATCTACACGGTATGACTCGGGGAGACTAGTTTTAGGTGTTACGAGCCTCGGTGTTTATTTTAGGGATGCGAAGTAAGTAAATGAAAAAGGAACAATTGAACGCGAAGAGGACGGAAATGTCAGGGGAAGAGTGGCCATAAAATCCTGTTTCTGTCTTTCCCCATTGCAAGGGAAATAAGTGAGGGAAAGGGTGCGGTGATTTTCCTGCCTGATTACTGGGTGTACACCGACAGTAAGACACTGTTGGTCCGTAATTATCCAAATTCCAATCCAAGGTCCGATCTATGTTACAGTATGTGGAGTAGTTAGCATGTCTGCGAAGCTCGCCCCGGTTGGTGGGCGATTTTGAGATATGAAATGCGCTAGGGTTTGGGTATCTACAAATCGTGCTCAGCAATGTAGCGCATGATGAGGAGCGAAGCCATGATGTCTGGTGATTGGGTCAGCCACTGTCCAAGAACAAAAAACAGTAACCTACCTATACAAAGATGAGAAAATGATTCGTGAACGGTCAGAGTGTTTCCGGAGACGCTATAGGCTGGCATGTGTGGTTGACGAAGATCATAATGAGCGACTAGGTAATTTTCTTCTGAAATGCACTATAAAAAAGACGGGTTCAGATATGTATAATGTCAGTAGAAAAAAAGGATATTTAACGTACCGACCATTCGTGACCGTCTGCGCTTTGGTGCTCCCATCTGTATTCCCGACCATCACTCGCCCGGAATTTTCTGGAGAGAGATCTGTGGTCCATCAGGTTTGGGAATACATAGCAACACAGGGGAACAGCATACCCTCCGAAAAAGGCCGTCTTTCGTAGGTATCTGTTCATCGGTATTGTCATGCTGGGCGCAGGAGGATAGAAAAAGTTAATATTTCCTAGTCCTCCTGCAGCGCCCTCTGCAAACTCAAGTATCACTGAAGGCCGCCTTTCTAGATGTCGCGTGTCTCCGTGCCGAGTTGAACGGCGCGCCATGCTGTAGATAGCCAAAACGTTGTCGTTTGCAGCAGCAGGATGTGGATGAGGTACGACTCGGAGAAACATGCGGTCGTAGATGTCATCATAATCTGAGCCAGCTACGTTGCCTGTTCGATCCTCGAACATGTAGGGCATTTGAAGAGGTCTCATGCTTGTCGAGGTGCTAAATGATGGAGTACTTGGGAGGCGAAAGCGAAACGAAAGTATTGGACTCGATGGGTCCCCCTTATATAGCCCGCGCGCTTGATGACCTGTGCGGTCGCTTCTTCGGACTAACAAGGTCTAAAAAGGGAGCCAAATCAGACTCCGGACGGACTGCGTGGTTGGCGCGCATGGGGTATTCTAGTCTCGCGGAGTTACAATTTACCCTGACAAAGTAGCACTGGGATCATCAGGGGAGCAGAAAAAGGCACCTGCCTTGCTGTGGTAAGGCGGCTCGTAGTGTTATTTACTTGGGCTAGAACAAATCGCTAACTTGGGAAGCACGAACCCGTTCCCAGCGGGCAATTGTTTGCCAGAATGAGGCAACGTGTGACTGCTGAGCCGAGCAATGAATGCTAATGAACCCATGGGATTCAAGCGCTTGCCAAGTGCTGTGTACAAAGTTCAGTGCATGATGTCAAACCTTACGTGATTACCTTCAATGGTACCCAAGGAATGGAAGCCCCTGGATGCTTGCAAAGTTAAATGTCACATCCAACCAATGAGGTGCATGAGACGACCTACATGTCCTCTTGCGCCACTACCAACGTGCGAATCTCCTCCACCCCTTTTGCAATAACACCGACAATTGGAAATATCATTAGCTGTACGCACGCTGACACCACACGTGCCCCGCAAAAAGCGCAAGAACCAAGGATCAGGAAGTTCTGGAAACCTATGCAGTGGCGCCTATGGCTGCGCTTATGACATTCCCCGGTTTCAGGCCCAGTGTGTAAGCTCGTGCGCTTACAGTTACAAGAATATTCGACGAGCGTGTATAAGACACCACAACTCATTGTAAGGAAAGCACTGCTTGCAAGGTCCGGGTGCAATGGCATGGGAAGCATGCCAAAAAAGTGATAAAGCTTGAACGCATCCCTGACAGGAAGGTTGAGCACGAGGATAAGTAGTAAGTGAAGTCGTGAGAAACACATACAAGGCTCGCGGGAGATCCACTCTAAAAATGTGATTGAACAGTGAGTCATAGTTCAGAGTCAAACGACCGTAAGCATGACTCTAATAGTAAAAAAAACCTTTTCTTCCAAACTGACAGAGGTGAAAAAAATAAATAAGGAGGTGCTTTGTAGAAGTATGGATCATCAGTAATCAAAGAGAGCGCTACAATGTGAGAATGTACATCTTAGATACCGAGCGCAGACGGGCTAGGAGTCGGAGGTACCGGTATGTCAAGTAGGCGGTGCGCTTGTTTGGAAAAGTAGTCCAGGCTTTCCCCATGGGATGCCCCACAAAATGATGACGCAAAAGCCCACGAGGAGAAGCACGGGCATATTAAGCTGTCAGACGAACGACCGAGATAGCGGTTGTTCGGAACTCACAGTTGCAAAGTCGGTTACGCGACACAGGGCTGATTTACTGACTTCCACGCTATTCATCATTCGGGAGATAATAATGGCAGTACCCAGAACCAGCAATTTAAGCAATCTGAACACGCAAGACCATGAACGAGATGAACAAGATAAGATAAAAGCGTACGGGAGAGGCTGTTGGCAGGGATCGACATTTACCACATCTTTCCCCCATCAAAGCCACCGTCCGCGCCAATATTAGTTGCAGAAGTCTTCGCGTCTAAGAACAGATCATTCATCTCTCCAATATCCTCTACTTCAATCTGACTTCTTCCAGAAAGACCAGCTAGGATTGAAGCTGGGGTAAGAAGTTGGAGAGCATATCTATAAAGGCAGTCATGAAAAGTTTCGCCGATAATCGAGATATCTCATACCGCATAGATCCTCGTTCACCCTCCTCTGCTATTCGTTCCAAAACGCCGGCACCCAGTTTGAGACCTTCGACGTTCGCTCGTAACTGTACCACCTTGCCAATCTGCTCGCGATTATAGCCATCCGTCTTTACAATAAGACACCTTGACAGGGGAAATCAGTCGAAAATATGTCATGAGGTGTGCAGACTAACCGATCTAATAGATCTACGGGAACACCATGAGGTGAGACAATGTCGGTTGTCCCTCGCACTAGCGCGTTTCCACGATTGGTAGCAAGTATTACAGTAGGTGCCATCGGTGATTCAAGAAGGGCATTGAGATAGGTAAAGCACTCGATATCCAGCATGTGCACCTATAGGAAAATGTTGGACGTTTAGCCTTGTTCCTACGGAACGCTGAAAAGACAAATACCTCATCAATGAAAACTACGCCCGGAACAACCTCTGCAACGCCCTGGTCTACGTAGCCTTTCACCACTTTGTTGACTTCCCTTCGAAGTTTGTCTGTCACCTCCGTTCTTCCACTCTTCACGAGGCTACCCATAACGCTCATAATGTCTTGACCGCCTTGTGGACGTGCATTGGCGGCATCCAGATCTCCGAGAGTAACGTCTTGTACAAGTTCTTTGCGCTTGTGAACGTCGCCTTTTGGTAATGGTACATATGTTTCGGATTCGAGGTCGTAGGAGGAGGCATACGCATCGGAACGTCCAACTCTCTGCGTGAAAGAAAATTAACCTGTGTATGCTTCATCAAACAATCCCGACACACCTTGACTGCACCAGTGTTGGCTTCCACATAGATAACATCACCGACCACGATTTTTTCTTTGAGGATTGCTTCATAGATGGTGGGATCTAGTCGCAGCTGCTTGGTACCTTTGACAGTTTTAAGACCAACGATGACATGCGAGACTGTCTTTCCATATCCGCTCAAAGGATTCTCAGATTCTGCTGGTGTGAGTTCGGTGACCTCTCCTTCGTAAACCTCCTTGGTTTCTTTTATCCGCAGACCTGTTAGAGAGGGCTGCTTTGAGTATAGATTCATAGACGCGAGGCAACGCCTTCGAGGACCCCAATATTGGTGTGTTCACGAGCAACTTGACGAAGAAATCCAAGATCTAAGATATACTCACCGATTGCCCTCCTGAACGATTCTGCAAGTACCTCCGTTTTCTTCACCTCTGTGCTGTACACCTCAGAACCAACCATCGGGCAGAATGGTACTTTGAGGCCTAGTTCATGGGATACTGCTAGAGCAAGAGCTGTTTTTCCTGTTCCCGGCGCGCCTACGAGAAGTAACGCGCGTCCTGAAAATTTGCGGGATTTTATGAGGTCCACCACAACACCGCATGCCTACGAGTTCTGTCAGTTCCAAAAGAAAGAAGCAAATAATGTGATCACGACCTCTCGAGCATTAATTTGGCCTATAAATCCTGCACCATCAGGTGCTGCAAGGCCGTCTGATGTGAGTCCCAGTCCTTTGATGTGTGAGTGAGGAGCGATTCTGGAAGAACGAGCATTGGATGTGGCTGATGGCGGGGGTAGAGCATTGTGAGCGACAGGTGCCGATGTAGATGGTGTTGCGCTGGTTGCTTTCATGATGGCTTTTCCCTGAATCGCGTTGAAACGCGACAATTGTGACTGTCACGATATTATGTCAGCAGGAGGTTGTTTACTTCTAAAGCTGTTGCCAAACAAGCGCACCTAAATCTCCTGTATGTCCACCATAGGCTAACTGACCTAGTTCTACCCTTGCGAGAAATGTAGTCCGTAAGGTCGACATATGCTCAATCTCTATCCAACAGGCGGTGTAGATATAGACGCATATCGATGTCGCAATCATTCTCAAGCTTCTGAGAAGCCTCAGATGGATTCCTATCATCCACTTACACGAATAAGTCATTTGTGACTCATTATGATGCTACGTCAAGCAACGATGTGTATGACGATCGCTTGACTCCCAAGGGTGAGAACAAAGCAATCAAATACTCTGACAAAAGATCCTTGGTGCACTGCGATAAACAACGTTTCCGTCAAGTCATATAAGTATGGAGACAGCTATCGTCGTTCAGGCAGTAGCGAATGGGTAAACAAATTTGATTGGCGCAGTTACTAATTAGCACGAATTGAATCTTCTTACAGTAAGCGTAGGCAAATTGGCTAGTCCCCCTACTAGACGGTCACATGCACAGACCGTAGACGAATGAAGGTAGGCGTTCCTAGTATGCACACCGAATCCAGTCTTCTTCCGACTTCAGCACCTCAAAGTCCGGAGACCCTAGTTACAGGGGGCGATAAGCATCCGTTATAAGGTCCATCTCGTGCTTGGATGTCTACCCACGCACTGCTAGGCTAACCATGATCCCCGCAGTTGATGGTCGTCTTGTTATCCTCGCCGTCTTACCTGTTTCCCTTGTTGTCGTCACCGCCCTTAGGCGGTTCACTGAGAACAGACAGAATAAACCGTCCCTTCCCCCTGGCCCAGTGCCGCTCCCGCTATTAGGAAACATCTTATCTATAAACACTAAAGAACCTTGGTTGACTTATACTCAGTGGCATGCCGCTTATGGTACGTGGTCAGACAATTTATGCATTTGTGGTGCAAATGATTCTATCAGGGGACTTGGTCTTCGTGCGAATTCTAGACCAAGAAGCTGTCGTGGTCAATTCTCAGCGCATTGCAGAAGCCTTACTGGACAAACGTTCTCGCATTTACTCCGATCGACCATACTTAGCCACACTCGAGCCGTGCGTTATTCTAATATCGTTCTATTCACCCATTCTGAAGTGCAGGCAGATTTGGCTTTTCGATCGACTTTGCATTCATGGGTTATGGTGATGAATGGCGTCTTTGCCGACGACTCTTTCACCAAACTTTCCGTCCCGAGTCTGCAGTAAAGTTTCTCCCAATGCAGATGAGACGGGCTCGTGAGATGGTCGTCAATCTAATTGAGGATCCTCAACATTATCGTTCCCACTTCGTAACGTCAGCCAATCCGTTTGTGAACATTGAATGATTATTAACCTGTCCACAGATTCTCATTATCTATTGCGATGTCTGTTGTATATGACTACCAGGCCAATGCTCGTAACGATCCTCTGATTCGAGTCGTGGACAATGCACTGGCTCCTGGCTTGGCTATGTTGACTCCAGAGAGAGCAGTCTTACTCAAAACTTTCCCCTTCTGTGAGCTCAGCCCTCTTTGACTAGAAAGAGGTGACATTTTCTACTCTAACGCAGTGCTGAAGTTACCTGACTGGTGCTGGGGATCCTCGATCAAACGCGATGCTCAGCTTTCGACCAATCGCACGACAGAAATGATGGACGTACCATTTCGGTATGCGCAGCAACACATGGTGGGCGCGTATTGTTTAGTCTGGTTCTAGACACTGATTCCATGCTTGACAAGGCCGAAGGCTGGTCCCTTGAGCAGTTGACGATGGTAGCAGAAAATTTACAACGGTTGGAGAGGCAAGATCAAGAATCTAAACCAATGTTAGAGACTGTCTTGAAGAAAGCAGCTACTACTGCTATGATAGGTTTGTTACCTTTTTGCGAGAGACGTTATGCTCACAATTTCATGCTATGCAGGTTCATACGAGACGGTCAGCGGATGTCCGAACTAGTTTGGGTACTGCTTAACTTCTTCACAGACTCCTTCAACCCTGATGGCTTTTGCTCTCGCCATGGTATCTTATCCGGATGTTCAAAGACGCGCACAAACAGAGATCGACTCGGTGATTGGAAGTGATCGCTTGCCTATGTTTGAAGATAGAGCATCATTGCCCTACGTCGAATCAGTTCTGCGGGAGACTTTCAGATGGCACCCTGTTGCACCCCTTGGTAATCTTCCTCCCTGAGTGATTCGCCACTACTGAAGATATCTTATAGGTATACCACATGCTATCTCGAGTGATGATATATACGATGGTTACTTCATTCCAAAAGGTCCGCTATCTTTTTCCGATGAACACATCATTTGTAATATCGTACATCAGGAGCGACCGTGATATGCAACACATGGTCAGATAGGTTCTCCCCAGCTACCGAGATGTGCTGACCCTATTCGCAGGGGAATTTCACGCGATGAGAAGCGGTACCCTGACCCATCTCGCTTCATTCCAGAGAGGTTCATGGACGTCGACGGCGCGTTGACGGATGACGACCCTGCGGAATACGTTTTCGGCTTAGGCCGGCGCGGATGTCCAGGTGGGTTGAACTATCTTGATGTTGTATAGCATGTAGTGACTCAAGACATTGATATCCTTTCATCAGGCCGATATACTGCTGATGCCTCTATATGGTCTGCTATTGTGACGATGTTGGCCACAGTGAACCTTTCTCCCGCCAAAGATGATCAGGGCAATGTGATCGATTTCACCCCCCAATTCACGACGGGACTTACTCAGTACTCGTTCTCTTGTGTCATTCCATCCTACTGTCACTGACACTTTATCGTTTTAGTTCCGCTAGGGTCTTCCCTTGCAGTATTTCACCACGTTCTCATATTCATCCAGGATTTGTTTAATGAGCTCCGGTGTAGGGGGATGTCCTCGACCGGACGGGATAGGGTATCAGAGGTCGAGCCAGGGTTCGGGGTCTTGCAGCATGGATCCCCGACTCTACGAAGTAGGGAGGGTTCTGTCAGCTCCAAACGGCCAGGCACCTGTATGCAAATGTGCGCCTGAAAATATTTCCTTTTCAAGTCAAGGTTCGCTTCGAGAAGGTTCTAGCAAACTTCAGAAGGTTTCATATGGTGATCTTGATGCGCGGGTCTCTGCAGAGTGGTTTGTACTATTTAACGGGTACACATCACACCACCCCGCTGACCTCGTTCGTGTTTGACGGAGAAGGAATCGGGCCTGCAGAGTACGGTCTACACCTCAAAGGTGCGCTGGTGCAGGCCTACATCACCTTAAGCCAAAACCTGGGCAAAAAAATTTAACACATATCACAGGCTCGCGTAATTTCATCATGTCTCACTTCCCTTGTCCTGCCAAGCTGTTGCCAGGTAAATGTCAGCAATCGCGCTTGAAATACCGCCAGTTCTGCTTTTTTCATGCTTTCGTCTTGCGATTGAAGCCTCCGCGCTCGTAAACCTCTCCTCCGACGTGGTACCCTTGAGTCACCCCACTCTGCGCTGATTGTCTGCATTTCACTGAGATTTTGGCTTCCTGCTGTTGTTCTCCTCTGTGGTGAGTTTCGGTGGTTTAATTGCTACATTTTCGCTGATTTTTTCCGCACAGCTGCCACCTGGTTGTCCACGAGATGTCACCGTTTATGTGCAAGAGTCCCTGCACGCGGGCGCGCGTCCTAGCCGTTGCTGATTGTCCGCCGCATGATGTCGACCATGAAATACCCTCATACCCTCGTTTTTATGATCCGTTGTACTACCCTGTGTATCATTCTGCTATCTATGACACCTCGGCCAGTTTCTGTCGCTGGTTGCAGACCACACTTACAGATCACATACAGCGTTGTTTCAAGTGCTTGCCTACTGTTGATGCCATCTCAGTCCGATTTGTGGCACCTCATATAGTGGTTCAAGTGGGACATCTTGCTGTTACCTTTTCCCTCTCTGTGTTTGAGTCTTCAACATACACTCACTGTGCAGTCTTCACGCGCTTGAAGGTTTGTTCACGGCAAACCATTTCAGATCTGGAGACTTCTTTTATAGCTGCGTTCGATGCTGAACCTGCATGGTTCTGTCACTCCGAAGCGTGTCATGAAGCTAATCTCCGTGCGTTGCCGGCTAATGTTCTGCAAACTGCCGCCCAACTTCTTGGGTGTCAACGATCTGACGCCCGCATCAAAGCTTCGTGCATACAGTTTCTCATTTGCCACTTTGCGCGTACTCGGACTGAACTTCGCGCTATAGCTGATGAGGAACTCCGTCGGCGCGTTGCTGGAGCTCTTCCATCAACTTCTTTGCAAAGCAGAGCAACGCTTCTCGCCGCCGCCATTCAATCCACTTATGGTGTAGAAGTCGCCACAGCTTTGCGTACAGGTCACCTCCTAATGTCGCGGGCAGGTGAGCCACCTTGCCTTAATATCGATTCCACTTGGCTGTCCATTCCAGTGGAAGAGCTCACCAAATGACTCGAGCGTCTCCCTCGTCCAGATATCCACGCATGTATTCGTCACTTGCCAGCTGATTTCCACCACATGTACCACTCGCGTTCACATCGGAAGTCGTGCAATGCTCTGGCGGATTGCATACGTCGGCGGGCAATCTACCTCCATGCGTGCCCTCCGGCGGTGCTGTGCGACATTTATCTGATATATTTTCCCTTCCCGAGCTCATCCAACCTTACCCGCGATCAAGTGTTCAGCGCGACACTAGACCATGAATTTGGTTCTCTGATCATTCAGCGTCTCCTTGGAAATTGCATCTCCACCTGCTCAACGTAAAGTACTTCGGGCGGAAAACAAACAGTCTGTCATTGCTGCTGCACGAGTGCACCGAGTGTCTCGAGAAGAAGAGTGGCCTGTTCCTGTGTCTCAAGAAGTGATATTAGAGCGGCTGAACGAATACGTCAAAGGTTCTGCATGGGAGGACCCTGCTGTTTGCGCTGTTTGCTCGCAGTATGACAGAAAGGCTATGGAGATTCCCCTTTCCAGTGATTTGACGTCTCTTCATCTCGACCTGCTACGTGTTTCTGATCCTTACATTATCAAGAATTGCATCGTGCAGTCGCTCTCAACCTGCTTCACCTATGGCCACGACGTCCTCAAAGGTCTCCAGTTAGACAAATTGGGACTCGTTTCTCGTGTTTCTGGAGATGCATCGCTTATGATGTGCTCTCCTTGCCACTCCGCCTTGACCCACAACAAACTTCCTGCCCTTGCACTGGCCAATCGCCTGTATCGAGGCTCCCTTCCTTCCCAATTCAGTGACCTGACCTGGATTGAAGAAAAGGTGTGCGCGATTTACTCGATCACAGCGCACGTCACACGACTTTTCCAGTCTTCTGATCCAACCCAACCGAAGGTTTTTCATGGAAACACCTGTGCACATGACATGAACATTATGTCCACTGCCTCGGTTCTCCCACGAGCTCCCGCAGACATCAATGGTTTCCTGAGTGTCGTTTTCATCGGACCTGAAGCTTTTGACCCCAAACGAATGGGTACCCTGTTCCGCGTGCGAAAACACAAAATCTGGACATTTCTGCAGTGGCTCAAGGCACACAATCACCTATATGCTGACATACCATTAGATGAGACCATCATGGATCTTTATCCATCTGACGGCACTCTCCCCGGGCTGGATAACCATGTTGTTGTAGATCACAAATTGAATCCACAAGCTGTGTTCGCAAGCGAGACATCTGGTTTCAGTGGCCATCCTGCTTCTCTCATGCACGACACTGATCCCGCTGACATCACTGCCAACCTCGAGAGTGCACCTGTTTTGGTAGAGAAGATGGGCGTTTCCGATCCAGAATGTGACAAACTGAGTGGATGAGCCTTTACAGCTTCGGCACTTCGTAACCTCCTCCCCGGTGGTCACTCGACTGGTTTACCTGATCTCGTTCTGCATCGTACTGATTCAGCTATTCCTGAATACAATAACACTCCGCTGTTTCCTGGGATGTATCCCACCCTGTTTCTGTATGGAATTGGTGGCTTTGAAGATGATCAACGTATGACACCTTTGGCATTCGACCGGCAGGCCAAGTATTTCCTCAATCTCTCAGATTGGTGTTTTCGATATCATGATACATGACAGGTTCATGTCATATTGATGCATCAAACAGTGCAACTGTAGCACTCCAGTGATGCATCATTGGTGCAATTGTACCACCACCCTCCCACCTCCGCTTTCTGATGCATCCCCTCCACTTTCTGATGCATCAGTCCTCCAGGTTGATTTCTGATGCATCCTCCCCTCCATCTGCTAATGCATTAGTCCTCCAGGTTAAGTTCTGATGCATCCCCTCACCTTCTCCGTCTGCTAATGCATCAGTCCTCCAGGTTGATGCACTGTGATGCATCATGCATCCCACCCGCCCTCGGTGCCTTCTCGCATGCCGCCCTCCTCGCATCCCTCCTGCTTTTGTGCGCCCACATGCCGCCCTCCTCCCGCTTTTGTGCGCCCATTGTCTTGCACCTGCTGTTGCCATTTCGAGCCTTTGCTCTTTTTTGTGCCTGCTGTTGCTGTTTTGCACCATAACTTGTTGTTCAAACAATGCAATTTTGATACCAACTCTCGCTAACATGTATTGAGTGACCGAAATTCTAACTAAGGTTTATGTGCTTAAGTCCATGTCTTCGAATGTGTCCACCAGAGCCAGGGTGTCAGCCCAGCTGGTCTTGAAAGACTCGGCAAGCATTCGACGTAAAACTGGCTTGACGTTTGGCATATGCCATCTGTCCCTCGTGTTGATCTGCATCGTCAAGTTGTAGTGCATTTCCCAGGCCCCGCTCGTCCCAGCACTGCGCATCCCACTCAAAAAACTGCAGAATCCTTCGCATCTCCTCCTTCAACAATTCCACCTCTCCTGCCCAGCGCATCGCCCGTGCCCGGGCTTTGCACCACTCTATTCGCATGTCTGATCTACTGTGAGCCTGGCTAGGAAGCAAAAATGAAGAGCCGCCTACCTTCCAAGGTATTGTCATTGTCCATCTCGTTGGGAGCCGCTCCCCACATACTCTAAATCCATGACAGCTTTCTCGTTCCCTCCGATTTCTCCCCATAGTATGTCTGTCATCGAGCGGATGTCAGCTCGGTCTAGTGGCTGCAGTGACGAGTGCCACCCGGACTGGGTCTGATTCACTCGTGGTGCAAGAACAACGAGGGATTTATGTGCATGCTCGTAAGTGCTGGCAGCGGCCTCGATCCTTGCTTCAACGGCTTTCAATGTATTCCATGCCCGCGTGTTCGCTCCTTGCCCACGAAGGTGCCGATCCTTATACTTGAGGATCGCAGTCAGAGCACGTAAGTTCGAACGTAGAGAATGGAGGGCGTCGTGAGCTTGCCCATACCGCAGCTTCCATTCAATGGCTTGGAGATGGGTGTCACAAGGAGAGGTCCTGCTAATATGGGACGGCAGCCACAACTTGATGGCTTCTGGTGCAGCGGCCACATTGTTAGATACTGAGGCCTCGCTCGCACGTAGTGCAGCGAGAAATGGCATGTATAGTTCCTGCATTTTCCCCCAGGCATCAATCCTCCGTTGGAGAGTGTTGCTTCGCTGAAGCATCTTTCCTTCTTGATTGTCCTGTCGCGTGGACTCCGAGGCCAGCTCTGTCTGCTTTCATTCGCCGTCTATCAAAGTAAGAACGAGGTCCGATAAGCAACGATTGGGACACTCACTGTTGTTCCTCGAGTTCTAAGCCAGTGCTGATTAATACACTGGGAGTGCAATCCTCGTGTAGGGCAAGGTAAGTCCCTGTTTGAAGGTCAATCTGGTCCTCCCTAACCAGCTCCAGTCGTACAGAAGCCATAGTGATACCTGTGATATACGGAGGATTAAGATGAGCACATAAGTATTACCATCACAAACTCATACTTACTTTCTGCCTTTCGTTCGAAAGGATTGGGCTGTGCAGTGTCACGCTCCCAAGCCTCCACCTGTTCTCTCCACTGTTCGAGGGTGGCACCGTATTCGCCTCGCAAGCCATCATCAAGGTCCTCGAATGCTTCACAATGGTTCTCTCGCTCCGGCAATGCATCCTTCATCTTGTGAAGCATAGTACTACCTGATAAAATGTAAGTTAATGTATTATTTTGACAAAAATAGACGCACCAAGTCCAACAAGTTTTTTCCAGTTCGAGTCTCCGAAGTAGTCGTCAAGGGTGTCTCGCTGTGCACCAGGACCCATTTCTTTCGTGCTTGAAGCAACAGGGTTAATATTAGCCCAGCCACGTTCTGGCGCTTCTCCGTTGGTCCTTCCTACCCCGCTCTTGAAATTGAACGAGAAGGAGGTTTGGCACTGCTCGATATGAGCGGGTAGGTGGAACTTGGGCACAAAAAATGAGACGGTCTTGACGGTATGCGAGAGGTGCATTGAAAACGGAAAGGCACTCATACAGTGCCATAATCTTTTGTGCCACTGGCACGCGATATCATAGGATACGTTGAGAGTGTCGAGTACAGTATGGCGAAGTGTCGAGAAGAATAGATAGTCCATATTAATATATCTATGTGCCCGCATTAGATTGTCAACTGTGTGAAATGCAAATGACGACTTACCTTTCACCCTTTTGGAGATCCCCCACTGCATTAGGCCTTTTCATGTTGTGGCGAGCACAATCAATTGTACCTAAACCAGTAACGGCGAGTCCGCGGTTAGATTTCGTATCAGCCATGTTTACAGCGGCGTGACTTGAACACGTTGATTTCTGCAAAAGATAGATGTGAGTATACAAATAGAATAAATAAAACTAACTAACCTCTTGGATGCTGTCCGCACTGTCATGCAAGAAGCCTTTATAAGCATCTTCCTCCATGAAATAACCCCAGCCACAACTCAGGTTTGGGTCAACATTGTCATTTGAGACAGCCTTGCGTTTTAACCGGAAATTCGCATCAATCGCGAGGAATAATCCGTATAACCACCTAACAGTACCCATATCAGCAATCATTCTACTCTGGACTGAAGCTCACTCTAAACTCACTGTCGAGGGGCATCTTTCCAATCCGCTGGAAGGTTCTTCCCTGGGTGTGGGCACGCTGGGCACAATATGGCACATTCACCCTCAGCTGTCCCATCTATACCACTAGCCTCGTGACCTCGCCCTGAACGCTTAAGCATCTTCAAGTGGCGCCACTCGCGTATCATTCGCAAAAACGACTCGTATCGATCCTGTAGGGCAGCTGGAGTAACTGCAAAGATACTTGAAAATATGAATTTACCTTGACAGGAAGTAGGCCAGTGTTATCGGACATCCGCCTGAGCGCGTGATAAAACTCATATGTAGATATTTTTGACTCGAAAGAGAGTAAGTGGGATTGCTCAAGAACAGAGAACGTTGCGGCCGTTTTTGGATCTGATGTTGTCGAAGGAAACCAGGATATTCTAAGCAGCTGCTGCACGTGGCTTTTGGCTGTTGCACAATTGCAGAAGTCAAGGGCCACTTCATGGATACCGCGGGTGTCGACAACGACAAAATTGTTGTTAAATGCATGCTGAGGATTAAGACATTTCTGGCCAGTGGTGTGGCCAAGCTGGATGCAAAGGCCCAGGGTTTTCAGTGAGGTTTGCTCGAAGTATTGACCGTTCCACCTCTGCATCGATATCTTATATTAGTTTCATGTCCAACTCTCCCAATCAAATATGAAAATGTACCTGCAATCGGTGAAGTGGGTGGCGCACATGGGCCGACAAGATGCAAGTTGTGCAATAAAGCTCTGACCCTAAGCAGTCTTCACACCGGTACTCCGGGCTGGGACGATTACATTCCAAGCAAGACTGAGCACCGGCTTGGCCACATCTCCCTTCGAGATGGATGAATTCACAAAGGAATATTCCTCGGTGCTTCAACCACATCAGCAAAGGATTATCCTAAATAATCACGGTAAGCACGGTAAGGAAAAAGTCAAAGAATAATGTAGTGTACATACACCCGCTCCTCGGTTTCTGCTTTCCTCACCTAAAAAGTCCAATGATACTTCGGGCGGGAGATCATCGAATGGCTCAGGAATTGAAAACGGCACATCGTGCAGAGTCGGTGCAGTATGAGTTAGATTCTTGATGGTTGCTTTAGCGTTCTTGGGAGGTCGAAGATGCTTCAGTGTATAGCCAATGGTCCCATCTTTATGAACATCATATTGGGTATGCTGGCAAGAAGGCGGCACCAAGGTGGCTGAGCAGTGAAAAATTGAGCTTGGGTTTCTTCTTTCAGTTTCTGTAACTTCTTCAGTGCTGCGGATGTTGCCGGAGTGCATACAATAGTCTGAATTGAAGATTCCCCGGCACAAGGAGGATCTGTAGACATTCGTCGTTGAATATTGCAACAGTTGATTACCAACACGACAGCACAATTGACCAAACCGTAGTGTTGCACATTTAGGGTTAGGGTTATTGCCCGAACATGTCAATGCATTGTTCTCAAAATGACTAGTACTTGGCATTCTCGTAGTACGACATCATCCCATAACTAACTAGTCCCAACTGTAGACTGAGCAACACCCGCATAACCATAACTCTAATCCTAACGAGATGTCAGCAAATGCTACCAAACGAAGTATAGTATCAAACCTACTAGTGTGTCACCTGCTCGCTGTGAGCCTACGTCTGATGGCACGATGAACCTCCTGTTCTCCCAGAACAAGTGACTGAACCACAAAGACGGTAGCAACATAATTGCCTGGTGTCCAGAGTTCAATTTTTACACTATTCCTATGGTAGGTGTTAAGTATAAAAAATATTAATGAGAACGTGAAAACTCACCAGAGATATGCCGGAAAAACACCGATGTAGCAGCCCCGAGTAACACAATAAAAAGGGGGTTTTAGATTGCGCTGGGCAGGCATGTTATAGAAAATTCCTTCATATAAATATAAAAAGCACTCGTCCGCCATAGCATTCATGGCCTCCTCAAACTCTATACTGCCCTCGTGCACAGTCACGGACTCCTCTTGTTCGGTCATGTAGGGTGTCATAGTAATACTGATCCAAAGAGGATCAGCGGATCATTCATTGAGAGGTATCCTGGGAGTGGGACTCAAATGCGCTGTATTTTTTGGATTAGCCTGGGAAGCACCTTCCATTCATAAAGTGAACTACTCACCCTGGGTCACGAGCATTGACATCAATGTCATATTAGTGGTGGTCAATGCAAGGGAGACTGGTATTTGCAGTGATTTTTGAGTTAGCCTTATGAACCGCCATTAATGATATGGCGGACCACTCACCCTGAATAACGTAGCAGCGTCTAGTAAACTTGATTAGACTTAAAACAGTGATATGATGCACTCATTGAGAAATTTGATTTCCAGTGCGGAGATCGCAGATGCGGGTCACCAGATGCATCACCGATGCATCATTATGGTTAATGCGAGACAATGATGTCAGGAGTAGTCTTAGTGATAAGATTACAGTACGCACAGTGAATAACAAAAATGTCTGTTGATCACATAGATTGATGTATGGGGCGGGCATGGGAGATGGCTGTATCATTGGAGATATGGGAGAGGAAAGTTGAGTATTACGCCGGTGGAGTGAAATGCTGGGAAGAGATGCAAGAATGGAGTTGGTGGAGGGGCAGCCACAGCCGGATGAGATGATGTCAGAAAAACGAAAGGGACGTCCTGAGGATTGTGTTGATCGCATAGATTGATGTATGGGGCGGGCATGGGAGGTGGCTGTATCATTGGAGATATGGGAGAGGAAAGTTGAGTATTACGCCTGTGGAGTGAAATGCTGGGAAGAGATGCAAGAATGGAGTTGGTGGAGGGGTAGCCACAGCCGGATGAGATGATGTCAAAAAACGAAAGGGATGTCCTGAGGATTCCATATTTCGTATATTGATTTTACAGCTTGATCTATTGGCGGATACAGTACCGAGGTTCAGATTAGAGGCCAAAAATGGCGGCTGGAATTTAAACGTACCAACTAAACCAGTTACATATTTTGATTTCTGGGAGTCAGCAGAGCCAAGAAACTGACTGCCGGACCAGGTGTCTTGGGTGCCCATGTTCCAGTCTTGGTCGTTTGGGCTGAAAGCAAAGATGTTCCAGTTGGCATCAGATGCAATGCATGGAGTAACTTACTAAGTTGTAATAACACCACTAGCCACAACGTTAACTTTGGGGGATTTACAACTCAATGCTTGATAGATACTCAGAGTATGTCTGCGGGGGTTCTAACTTGCGCGGTGGTCTGGGTAATAGCTAGATTTGAGTAAAGCACAAGCTGAGTCTTAGCTCATATGTTGAACTTGTAACTCGGCAATTGCACTGCCGCTTTAGGCTCCAAGTCAATCACTTCAATCACTTCAACCGTGCACATGTTGGAACTACTATACTGATCACTCAATAACTCTATAACTACTGCTGCCTCACTCATGATTTTGCACACTGTGTTGGATTGGTACCAGCATCTGCCAACTTCTGATGTCGTCCAGGTGAGTCTCTAGTAGCTGGCCAATATGACAAATGTACTTGTCGCAAAGTAGTGGCTCATGCAAACGCTGAATTCCGATGTTCAATATCCAAGTGAGTCTCTTGCCCGATGCAAGATTCTGTACTTATTTGTGATGCTCTATGTAAGTGTACTATAAGCTCACCCGCAACCAAGATCACCTGCGGGATTTAACACTCTTTTCTGGTATTGGTTGGCAGTAAGTACCATCGTTCCGCATTCCTTCTTTGGATGACCATTTCCTTTCAGTGTACGCCCCAGTCAACAAAAGGTAAAGGTAAAGCCACTCTTCTGTGCACACTATCCATCTGAGCTCACTTTTATCGAACAAGGTCGGTGTCGTGCTCCTTATTTCACTTCGCTTAGAGCCAGTCAGAATGCATTTCCTTTCAGCGTATGCCCTGATCAACATGTCGCGCACAGGTGAAGTCACTCTTTCATGCATGTCATCATCCGAGCTCACCTTGATCAAACCAGATCAATGTTCATCAACTCGCTCAACTCGCTCCTTATCGCACTTCACTTTGATTCAGTTTGTAATGAACGATTGCCCGATCCACCAGACACACAGACTGGCCCTAGACACACAAACTGGCACCGACACCACCATTTGCATTTTGATTTTCCTGTGATCGGACCCAGTAGTAAGTCTTTGCTAGCTAAACTCAGTTCGGTACCCTCATTACCTGATCCACCCAGAGACACCGACTGGCGCCAGAACAGACTGGTACCGGTACCACCGTCTTTGTTTTGACTGTCCTGCAATCGGATCCTGTAGTAAGTCATTGCCAGCTAAATTAGCCTCCTTTTTCATTCGCCGATATTGATTTTCAACGAGCCCTGATCAGATGCCAGTGGAATGATATAAGGACGGGCATAGACATTGGTAGAGGGACACACTTGTCTATCATTGCACAAAGAAAAACAAAGGTATGATAGCGACACTCTTAACATGGTATATGACTTAAAATCCTATGACAGATGCCAGCAGCTCAGTGGACTACTAAGGAACAATACAAATGGCTCCATGAACAGTTGCCGGAGTATATTGCACTACACTGGCGAGGACAAGGACTACGCGCACTTCTGGGCCAAGACTCATCTTTATTGGTTTAAAAGTTGGCCTGAGCGAGCCGCCCTCTTCCCCTGATATCCCCATCGAAATACCACTAACAGAAGAGCAACAAGCTGAAGAACTTGCTGCCGAAAAAACGCGTAAAGTAGTGAGTTGTCAAATGTTTTGACAACTTTTGACTGCTAACCAAAACCCTGGTAGTGATTGCAGACCTGGTTCCGTTGGCGGACAAACGCGTCCAAGAAAAATCGTGGCCTCAAGAAGGAAATCTCCGTATTTGAAAGCGCACTGCTGCCGAAGTCGCGCGCAAAATCTGTCGAAGAAATCTACATGGATATGGTCTACGATGAACGGATCAAACCTCTAGTAGCGGCTGAACAAGAGGCAGGTAATGTAGCTACAGCTGGTCGCCGCATGGCATTGGGCCGAAAGTTTTGCAAAGAGCTCCTGGAAGATGAGTCAGACCAGGTGAAGAAGGAGGTGAGAGAGAAGTACAATAAGCAGAAAAAGGTAAAGAAGGACATGCTACACGATAAAGCTGACGATGACGACGATGACGACGAAACCGACACTGATGCCATTGTGAAGTAAGTACTAGTTAATGATTATGATTATGATGTTACTTACACGGCCTATAGAGGTATCGACGATTTACCAATCATATGCCAGTGCTTTGCATGCCTCATCAAGAAAAAGACTCGATTTATAGTCTCCTTCATGTGCGCTGGACCGGACCCGAGGCAGAATTGGAATATCGTAACTTTATCGTAAGTGCACCAAACTGTAAATCTGACTACCAAGCTCACCTTACTAAGGTGCCATCCATCAGAAACTCCTGCTGGGAACGACTTTTCTCAGTTATGCCCTGACAAGGACAACACTTTCCTTGCCGCATACAGTGGCTCAAAAAACTGTCCACATGTTTGTGCTATTTTCACCATTTACATTATTGTATATGAATGGACAGGTAAACCAAGGATATGCCAGTGAGGTACTCTGTAGTACTCCTTTGGGGCATGAATGTGAGCCCTTGCCCGTGGAAATCCATGGTAATGCGGTGGCGCTATAGGCCTTACAAAATGATGACTCATGTGGACAGTTTTTTGATCCAAGTATTTTACACAGATAATTAGGTGTTCTAGTATTTTGTGTGACCTCCCTTGGCCTTAATTACTGCCTCTATCCTTCTAGGCATACTTTCAATCAACTTCTGACAATCCTCTGCTGTAATCTTTCCCCACTCCACTGTGACTCTCTCCCATAACTCCCATACTCCTTTAGGAGGGTGTTCATAGGCTAAAAGCTTCTTCTTGAGTACTCCCCAGAGATGTTCAATGACATTAACATCAGGGGATTGTGCTGGCCAGTCAAGGAGGTGAATATTGTGCTCTTCAAACCATTCTCTGGCTCTTCTGGATGTATGCTTGGGATCATTATCCTGTTGGAAAATAATGTCTTCTTCATCAATTCCTGATTCTGCCATGCTAGGCAGCAAGTGGTGGTTGAGGATGTCCACATACTGCTCAGCATCCATCCTCCCCTCAACTTCTGCAAGCATTCCCACACCATTCCACCCCATACATCCCCATACCATTAGAGAACCTCCTCCAAACTTGAGAGTTCCATTGATCTCTCTATCTGTAAGAGGGCCCCCCTTCTTTTTCCACACATATACCTTCCCATCTGACCCAATTTTATTGATTTTGGTCTCATCTGACCATATGACCCGCTTCCAGTCCTCTACAGTCCAGTTTTGATGGGCTAGGGCAAAGGCTAGTCTTCTCTTCCTATGAGTGATGGAAAGAAGAGGCTTTTTCTTCTTTGTTACAGCCCTAAGATTGGCTTCCTTAAGGACATTCCTCACTGTTTGTGAAGAAACTGGAGTAGGGATGATGGAATTGATATGATGAGTGACTTGGACAGCATTATCAGCCTTTCCTGTGGTAATATGTTGGATAATGACCCTCCTATCAGTAGAGGTGAGTTTGGATGGACGACCTCCACTGGAGTTTTCCTTGTCTGGGTGACATTCTTTGATGAGCTTAGCTACAGTAGACTTGCATACACCAGTTCTAGAGGCTATTTGACGAGTAGAGAGGCCAGCAGTAGACAGAGAAAGGATATTATCCCTTTGAGCAGAGGAGATGGTTTTCATGGTGATTATGACTGTGATATGTGGGACACACTTCATTATATACTTAGAGATAATTTTAATAATGTCATAATGACACCACTTTATAATTTATTTGATAGTGGCATGACTTTATGGTGTCATAACTAATGATTTATATAATTTTAATCTAGGGTCAAAAAACTGTCCGCATGAGTCATCATTTTGTAAGGCCTATAGTGCCACCACATTACCATGGATTCCCACGGGCAAGGGCTCACATTCATGCCCCAAAGGAGTACTACAGAGTACCCCACTGGCATATCCTTGGTTTACCTGTCCATTCATATACAATAATGTAAATGGTGAAAATAGCACAAACATGCGGACAGTTTTTTGAGCCACTGTACCAGGAATACGCTGAGTTGATATTCCGTAAGCTAATCCTTGTTGTCCAAGTCACTATAGGCTCACCATAAGACTCAACCATCAGCTCCGAACAAGCGTAACCCGCTGCTGCCAGATGTCGAAGACGGCGATCAGACTGAGGAGCTCGAAGGATGCAACAGTGGCAAAGAATCCGAGGATGGTGAAGAGAACGACGAAGGACAACGTGGTGATTCCATCGACTGGGATAATCTAGGTAGGTCTTTATATCATTTCGCAGCCACCTGATGCAAACTGATGCATCAATAACAGGCTTCGCAAGTTCCTCGACCGGAATCAGTGATGCATCACCACTCGGTGAACTTAATCAATCCGCACTCTACTCTGAGGTAAGTACTTTTCATTATTCTCCCTATTTAATCTAACACTTTGCAGACACAGGCACAATGTGATGCATCATTCGTACAGGCCCAGCCTGATGCACCGTTCAAACAGGCCCAGCCTGATGCATCATTCAAACAGGCCCAGCCTGATGCATCGCTCGAACATGCATGGGACAACATTGCCACCGTGCCTCCCAATTCGTTTAGCACGCTGCAATCCAGTGTGCCTGGTACCGTCGAGGCGCTTGGGTTGTCTTTTTCCCATGCTGATCTTATGGCACTGGGTTATTTTGGTAGTGACAACACCACGCAGAACTTATTTTCCCCCGCATTCAGCTCATCAGCGCCCTCATTTGACACACAATATGACACGCACACGTGGAATGGTGCCAATTCTGATTCACAGGGGTGGGAGATGCGTAGCCTGTCCTCCTTCTTGAGCTCTCCAATATCTGCCGAGCGCAGCACTGCCACGACTGAGCAGGATGACGCCCTTCCTCAGTTCACTCAACAGTTGCCCATTCTTCCAGCGGCAAATCCTCCTTCGCCAACTGAGCAGGATGACACCCTTCCTCAGTTCACTCAACAGCTGCCCATTCTTCCAGCAGCAAATCCTCCTTCTCCGACCGAGGGCATACAGGATCTTGCTGACACTCACGCTGGTGCTGGTCTTGCTAAGTCAAAGCGCAAATTCAAGTCAAAGCCCGCTACCAAAGTCAAACACAATCCCGCCATGGAGTCCACCCCCATCATCGCACCCATGAACACTGCCAAACCCAAACCCAAACCCAAAGCAAGACCTGTCGCCAAATTAACGGAGACATCGCACACCGCTGTGGATGAAGGCAATCCTGTAGCTCAACGTGCCTCAAAACGAATTCCAATCAAATCCAAGCGGAATGATATTGCCGACGCCATTGGGTCAGATGGTCTGACATTTGTTAGCATTGGTAAGGAAACTCAATCTGTTTCAGAGGATGCTAGGGCAACGAAGCGTCCCGCTAACTCAACCGTGGAGGGTGTGATTTCTGCAAAGTACGTCTTCGATATCTTCCTCACTTGCTCAATGCTAATGGACACAGGAAAAAGCGAACGAAGGTGTGAGCCTATGTCTTCATGTCATGATCGAAAATTTGCTTCTCTACTTAATCATTTCATTCTCGTTCATAGTAATATTTGTCGCTAAGTAGTACATATAGTCTCTGTGTGGGTGATCAATGGATATAGTTGTGTTGTCATTTAATCCCCAAGTATATGGAGTGCTTGCAAGATTCACTGGAGGTAGAATACTATGTCGAACTATGAGATACGTGGCAAACATACTACAAGTGATCCCTGAAGTTCGAGGCTGCAAACTAGTACATAAATCACATATGTTGGATCCAGTCAGTGCACCAGGGAAACTTCAAAGTGCCTCGACGCTCATTTTGATTCTGAATTTGCAATTGATATGGATATGGGCCACTGGGTGTCTCTAGCTCACCCAAGCCCATCCAAAGGTTTCCAAGGAGTGTGGATCCACACCTGAGAGCGACCATACACAGAGATGTCTGGCTCGCATACGAAGGTGAAGTCGAGAAAGGGTATATTGGCAAAGGTGTAGTGGCAAGCGGGGCTGCAAGAGGGATATATGCGCAGGGTAGTACAGCGGGCAGGTGTGTACAGCTGCAGGGCTGTAAGAGGGATTCGTGTGCACCGCATAGCGGCGAGTAGTCGGCGGCAGGATGATTCGTGAGCAGTGTATAGAGGCGACCAGGTGGTGGCGGGATGTGGACCTGTACCTGGTGGTATTGTTGATTCATACACGACCCTGGGGGCATTGTGCAGCTGCAGGGCTGCAATACAGATTTGCGTGCAGTATATAATGGCGAGCAGCTGGTGGCGGGATGGTTCGTGCGCAGTGTATAGCGGTGACCAGGTGGTGGCGGGATGTGGACCTGTACCTGGCGGTATTGTTGATTCACATATGACCCCGGGGGCATTGTGCAGCTGTAGGGCTGCAAGAGGGATTCGCGCGCAGTGTATAACGGCGAGCAGCTGGCGGCGGGATGTGGACCAGTACCTGGCGGTATTGTTGATTCATGTACGACCATGGGACGATTCCCGATTTTCGGTTTGATGCATTGCTGATGCTAGTGCATCAGAGTGCATTACTGATGCATCAGAGTGCATTACTGATGCGTCACTAATGCATCACTGCAACGGAAAATTCACTGCAGCGCTTGATGCATCACTGCATCCCTACAACTGCAATGAATTCTTGCATCAAAATGACACTGGGGCCTGGATACATTTATGTTTGTTCTCTTGAATATGCTGCAGAGGTGACGTGCTCATCTGCAGACCTCTTTTGTCGTGCGAAAATCCAATTTTGAAAGTGTGGCACACAATCTGACTACTGTGTCCGCCAGTGTGCTCCACCGTTTGGCAGCACAGCTCGAACAAGAATGCAAGCTGTCAGGTCTTACCACAGATGAGCAGAACACCCTTAAGCTTCTATGTCAGGTCAACACCATGTCCGCTCGCATTCCTGGGTCACAAGCTGCAAAGGTATATGTGCGTAACGAGATGCGCAACTACTACGGCTACTTTGGCTTACCGCATGTTTTTTTGACCTTCAATCCCAGCGCTGCCCACAGTCCGATCTTTCAGGTGATGTATGGGGACCATTCCGTGGACTTGAGCGAACACTTTCCACGTATGCCAGCTGGCCGTGTGCGTGCTTTGCGGTTAGCTCAAGACCCTGTGGCAGCTGCAGACTTTTACGAGTTTTCTTTTAAGTGCCTGTTTCGTTTCTTGTTGGGCTGGGACTTTGAACAGGAGCAATCAATAAAGGATGGTGGTATTCTGGGGCATATTCGAGCATTCTATGGCACCACTGAGTTTACGGAACGCGGTGCTCTCCACGGGCACTTTCTGATATGGTTGGAAGGAGGAATGAATCCCTCGGAACTCCATATGTGTCTTTGGACAGACTCTGACTTTCAAGACTGATTTTTTCGTTTCTTCGAGGCAGCAATTCACCATCACCTGCCTGATGTTGAAGATTCCATCGATGAACATTTTGAACCTCGCATCCAAAGGCCTCCCATGCCTCCATCCAAACAGCCTGAAGGAATGGATGCAACTGAAAAGTGGGAAGCGTTATTCATGTCTGAAGTCAAAAAATGTGGGGAGGTTCTGCAACGCCATCACTGTTGCTCGGTGTGTCACAAGTACAGCAACCAAGGCCGCTGTTGTTTCTTGTTTCCGCATGAAGTTGTTGACGCATCTCACTTTGATGATCAGACAAACTCTGTGGTGCTTATGTGTTGTGACGCAAACGTCAACTACTTCAATCCTTACATCCTCGTATTCTGCCGTCACAATCACGATATCAAATGCATTTTATCTGGCAAAGGAGCGAAACCTGCTATGTTCTATATCTCTGACTACATCACTAAGATGGATGTGAAGACTTATGAGGTATTGTCTCTATTATCTTGTGCTGTCGCCCAAATCCCCGAACAGATTGCGCATCAAGGAAATGTTGTCGATCATGGTAAAGCACTCCTTCACAAGTGCTTGTCGCAGTTTAATCAGCAACAACAGGTCCATGCTCAACAGGCTGCGCGATACATTCAAGGTTTTGATGACAGTACTTGCTCTCATCAGACTGTTCCGATGATGTCATCCTTGTTACTTGCCTATGTTCGTGAACAATACATTCACTGCGACACGATGACACCTGATGACCATGATGATGACGAAGTCGAACAAGTCCAACTCCGAATCGCGACTGACAAGGATGGAAAGTTAGTGGAAGCAAACCAGATACATCATTATCTGTACCGCTCAGACACTTTGGCCCAGATGAGCTTTTATGATTTTTGTCGTTGTGTTCGTGTAGAAACCATCAAGAGCAGCGCCCACGTGAAGAACACACATGAAACACGTCTTGGGGTCTATAGAAGACATGCGTTAAAACCTGGACATCCCGCCCATGAGACCCATGAGCTTCAGGAACACACAAATGAACAACGAGGAGACGGCTATCGAGAATTTATTCCGCGAGTGGTTGGATGTTCCATACCTCGTCGTTCAGATGCCACAGCTTGGGCTTTATTTGCCCTTGCACATTTCAAACCATTTAGTGTGATCGTCCCGCTCCTATCCAGCATGGAATCAGCAATTAGCACCTTTCAGAAGTACTCTTTCTTGGGTTGCAGTCACCAAGTGATGAACAACTGGGAAGCAATCCATGAATGCAAAGACGAAAGAGATGCAGATTGACTTCACAAGCAAGCAAGCATGACAGCAGAAAGTAAGGCTTTATCTACATCATTAGGACTTGCTAGCCTCATGGATGATGATGTTGAAATTGATATGTCGCGCATGCCCTCACGCTGTGCTGAAGAAGATTTTGCGATCAGTCAAACTGTTCTACTCATGCAACAATGTCAGTGGCTCACATCCCGTTCCAAAGCGCCAATGGCCCCAACGAAAGTGTCCAGCACAACTTGTGACCCTGGTGACAAGTTCTCTCATCTCATTGGGGAGTTGCCACGCCATCTCAAGACATGGAAAGTGGAGTTGAAGAAGCAAGAGAAGGATATAGCCAATTCCTGTGGCAACGCCCTCAATCCGGAGGCACAATCCACCACATTACCCCCCCCCTTCCGAAGTTGGTCCTGAATTACACTGCGATCCTAATGCCGTGCCCCAACTGACAGACATCCCAACCAGTCAGGACAATGCTATGAAACTCTTGACAGCACAAGATGTTATCGACACTGTTGGCAGCGAGTTCAGCCTGAATGCTAAGCAGTGGGTTGCATTCCGTATCATTGCTGAATTTTTCGTGGCCAAATATGTTGAAAAGCGGTTGCCAGAAGAGGAGCAGTTGCGGATGCTTATGACGGGTCCAGGAGGCACTGGGAAAACACATGTGGTCAAAGCTGTTCAATGCGTAATGGAACACTATGGCTGTGCACATCTTATCAGATTCCTTGCTCCAACTGGATCTGCAGCAGCACTCATCAATGGCATGACAGTACACAAGGGCCTTGGCATCAAGATTAAGAGTAAAAACAGAGGGAAGGGCAATCACGACATTGGTGCCACGGTGGAAGATTACTCTGTGTTGATCAGCGTCGCCAACAGAACGCAACTGCAAGACGAGTGGAAGTATGTCGAGTTCATTCTGCTCGATGAGGTGTCGTTAGTGGGTCTGCAGTTGTTGGCCGAAATTGACCACGCCTTGCGATTT